AAACAAAAATAGTAGAATAATAGTCGTCAAAGGATAACTGAAGGAAACAGCTTTTTTCGTCGTGCTTTCTCTCACTTTTTGGGTCTGAATTTCTTTTGAAATCGGTATTGGTCTGATTTCTAGTGGGACAATTTGATTGATTGTTCTGCGAATGATATTGGTAGCTGATTCACGCCTTGGATCAGGATTGTTGACTCGTAATTCAACTGATCGGATCGAGCCATCTCTAGATCGTACAATGTCTTCAACTTTTGCTAGGCGCCATTTTTCTCGGGGTCGAAGTGGATCTTTGACAATAACCATTTCCCCAATAATTGGCGCTGTTTTCTCACAAGTAGCGACTGAAGTTTCTCTGAGTTGCACAAAATTTTTGTTATCAAGTAAGTATAAATTTTCCCAGATATTCCAAAAGCGATCCAAGTATTTTTTGACTTCTTTTATTGAGTCAGTATATGCCATATATTCATCAGGAATTACGTGATAAGCGAGTTTGCAAATTCTCGGTTGAATGGAATCAATTGGTCTGATCAAAGTTCCATCATGCCCCGGATTTTCAACGTAGGTCAAGTGTCTTGAATTAACTGCTTCTTCAGTCATTGCCTGGAGGGTGTCAAGGATACTTTTTGACAAAGTTGTTTTGCCAATGGCATGTTTCAGACCTTTTTTGGCGCAGCCGACAAGGCGTTCTTCGTTTTCTTGAATCGAAAATTTTTTCTGATGGCACCGGAACAAAGTTTTTTCTGTTACTTTCATGCAATCACCTGTGAATTCAGATGAATTAATTTCCCCTAGATCCGGAATGTGTTGCAATAATTTTTCTTTTTGTGATTTCGATAAGCGGTCATAAATTCGTTTTTTGATGAATTTCAGAACAATTGTTGCAGACTTCAAAACTTTTTCCCGCGAGTTCGAAAATTTCATTTTAAAAACTGATTGATACTCTGGTGTCACTGTTGTAACTTTGGGAACATGCGTCAGAATTGTAGGAGTTTCCTTTTCTGGCCAACATTTTTTGTTTTTAGAAGAGGTTTTAAGGTCGATGAATCTCTTCCCTACGATCGGATAATTGTTTGCGAGTGTTTCTCTTTTATCTTTTTTCCATGGCTCGGTGACCTTTATCTCCCTGTTATTCTCAAGGGTCACTGTCTCCGTAAAATGATTTACAATCTCGTTGTTGACCTCCGCGTTAACGTCGTCCGTTATGCCAATAGAATTGAGGTCAAACATGGACTGTATATCGCTTTGCATGTGGGTCATCATGGCTCTGGATACTGTGTGTTGACTCACTGATGAGGGTCTTCCACAGAGAACGTGTCCGACTATTGTGCTACAGGCGTTTCGCCCAGATGAAAGATTGAGAACTTTCTTATCGCTGTGCACAACAGTCCAAAAAAGGTCGATTCCAATTAAAATATCGGGGCGAGAAATTCTGTTTTTTCGGTTGGGGATTTTAATTCCCGCTTTTTTCAGAGCTGTTTCTTCTTCGTCTGTGATGGCTGGTATTTCTACTGTTTCCGTGATACTTGGGGTAGTGAAGGCTTTGACTTCGTAGTAATTTCCATTCAGAGCGTGGATAAAAAATCTAACGCGTTTCGACATTATTACCATAGGTTGGTTTCCGAAACTGACAAGATTCAATTGGACGTTAGACTCAATAACTTCCAGATCCAATAATTCTTTTAATAGTTTCTTTCCTGTCTCCCATTTTCCTGTGTGTTTTCGTTCTGTCGTGGACAAAGGGAGGTATGATGCTTGTGATTGCACTTTTGGCAATTCCTGCTAAAACAATTTTCTACAGAGTGATTTGCTTTAAGGCAGTTGTGACACAAATTGTTTTCCTTCACAAATTGTCTTCTATCCGTAACACTTTTGACCGTTCTGCAGTCGCTTGAAACGTGATTATTTCTCTCGCAATATGTGCACGTTTTTTCTGGGTATCTGTGATTATTTTCCCTGCTTGATATGTTTCCCGAATATTTCCCTTTTTGCCTGAGTGAAGTTACATTGAGTGAGTGCGCATAATTTTCTTTCTTGACCGAGTGTCTTTCGATGTTTTCCTCTCGCTCAATAATTGTTTCGATGTCGTCGAGTAGTTCCGACATAGTGTTGTAGCATTTTCCAGCTTTTTGCTCTTCGTTTTTGGCGAGTTCGCCAAGGATCCACTTAGGGAATTTATAACGGACTTCGTTTAGAAAAGCGTTGGCGTTGTTAGCTTGGGGGAAGATGGTTCCCTTTCTCCTCCAAGACTAAATGTAGAAGCCAACTACATGGTATGTTGCGCTGTCGCCTCCTCTCCCTACAGAGCTGCCGGAGGCTACTTTATAGCCTCCGGCCGAGGGCTGTGATATTGGCCCCGATTAGGGGGACGCTGGCAACTATGCCTACAACATCCCCCTCTGTAGAAAGTGAGACGCTCCTGCGTCAATTTATTAAAAACTTCTGTTACATAAAAAGTATACAAATTATGCGAAAAACTAAAACTTTCAAATCAATGGATACAGCGGTATGAGTATAAATAGAAGAAAATAATTGTTTCAATAATAATATCTGTGCGAATGTGCGGTTAGAATATAATAATATAAGTGGATAGATTATGAATGTTGGCGATATCAAAAAAAATTTTCCCATCAGAGTTATTTCAAGTTCAATAAAGTTGTGGATAGAATGGTTTAGACAATTTTTCTTATTCAAAAATGAGACTATTTTCGTTACTCAAAATTAAACATATAGTTATTGCAATATTGTTATTTTTTTCCAAATAAGTGAAAAACTCGGATTTATGAGTTATAGAAACTGAAAAATTACAAATTTACAAATTGGATTTCGAGAGACGTAGAATTTTCCAAGAAGATTTTCGAAACAGATAGATTTACTCTTAGGAATTGAGAATTTAAAGAGACTGTAGCGGGGTTTTTCTGAGGATAATTTAGAATGCTTTTAGCGATTGATAACTTCAGAGTATAAGCGTGTATTTTTATAAGAAAGAATGAATTTCGTGGAATCAAGGGTTATGCTGCTCGGAACCTGATTGGGATTCTGTGTTGACGTGTGGGGCGGCGAGTGTCGTTTACTTCGGTCGGCGTGTTGATCTCAGCTTCGACGATTAGTGGGTGATTTTCTGGGAGTTCGAGCGGTACTTCCGCTTCGGGAGATTTTCTTTTGAAGAGTCGGGCGTCGTCCTTGTGAGTTTTCATTATTTTTCCGTTTTGATCGAAGTGTACATTTGTTTCGTCAACTTTTGTGACTGTGAAGGGTCCACTAAGAAATGGAGATAGTTTGTTTCTTGGAGCGGCGCGTTTCACTAGAATGGAATCTCCAGGACAGATCTTACGATTCCGAATTCTGTGGGTTTTTTCGTAGTATTTTTTCTGAAGTATTTGTCCTTGAGTAATCTCCTTTTTCATGTGTTTCCAGAGTTCTTGCAGTTGGATTCTTATTAGAGTAGTGTGGTCGCTGAGGTCGAGGTACACTGGCATTGGAGTTTTCCAGGTGACGTCGGCTGGAATTCTCGGTTCTCTTCCAAATGTTGCGAAAAAGGGAGATATCTTTGTCGTAGAGTGCTCTACTGTATTGAGTGCAAAAGTAACGAGACTCAAGTAGTCATCCCAATCCGATTGAGTAGCGTTTACAAAAGAAGATAAACTTTCTTCGAGTGATCGGTGATAACGCTCGACTTGTCCGTTGCTACTTTTATGATATGGGGCGCTGGTCTTGTGTAGAATCTCCAGTGTTTTTAGAGCTTCCGTGAACTGGTTGGAGAGAAAATTTGTACCATTATCGGTTATAAGCGATTCTGGTGTACCGAATTTTGTGATAAGATTCTCCACTATTGCTCTTATAACAGATGAAGAATCTTGAGTGATCAGTGGAACTGTGATGAACCATTTGGTGAAGGCATCAACCAATGTTAGAACGTATCGATTTTGTTTGGCTGTGATTGGCAGTGGACCGAGTATGTCGACGTGCCATCTTTTTCCAGGTTCATTTTCGACAGGTAAGTTGTTGAGTGGTTCTCTTGTGGTTTGAGAAGCATCTGTTTTTCTTTTTCTGCATTTCAGACACTCCTTCACGAAGTTTTTGACGTCCCCGTCAAGGCCTGTCCATATGAGCCTGCGTTTGATCGCTTGACCTGTCTTTATGGCTCCAAGATGAGCTCCAGTCTGTGGGTCTTCATGAAACGCTTTGATGATTTTTGTGGTAACTTCTTTGCTTTTCGGCAGGACGATCAGCGGCGGGTGGCATGCTGAGCGCGGTTTCGCATAAAGAAGACCTTCATGGACAGTGTATCTTTCGTGGTTCGGTGAAGATCTGGTTGTAGATTCCTCTGGTTTTGTAATCTCTTCGATGGCTTGACGAATCCAAAGAGAGTTTTTCTGAAGGTTTCTTATTTCTTCCAGGCTGATAGTTTCAGATTTTTTTCCAGTATTTTTCGGGTTTAAGTCGACGTTGGCCACTTTCTCTTTTCTCTGGATGGGTTCGCGAGTCTCATCTTCGAGGTAGCGAGAAAGGGCGTCTGGTACGACGTTTTGTTTTCCCGGCCTGTATAGGATTTGAATGTCGAATTCGGCGAGTATAATTTGGAATTTCGCAAGTCTACCGATGAGATCTCTCCTCGTCATCAGGGATGTAAGTGGACGGTGGTCTACTATTGCAGTTATCCGGGATCCGAGTACGTAAGTTCTGAATTCGCTCAGAGCGAAGACCAGTGCTAGAGCTTCTGCTTCTATAGCGGGATAGTTCCTTTCCGCAGGGCGTAATTTTCTTGAGGCATATGCTATTGCTTGAAATGGTTCGCCGTCTGCTCTTGATTGTAGAAGAACTGCTCCTATAGCAATGCAACTCGCGTCGGTTTCGATTCGGTAAGGTCGGGATGGCATTGGTCCGACCGGATAGGTGCAGTCGTTAGACGGTCTTTCAGTTCTTGGAAAGCTTTTTCGTGGCTTTCTTTCCAAGAAAATTCTTCTTTTTCTTCGGTTAGATCGTACAAAGGAGAAGCTATTTGAGCATAGTTTTTAACGAATCGTCGAAAGTAATTTGTCATGCCAAGGAATGAGCGGACTGCTGTAGGTGATTTCGGTTTTGGGAAGTTTTCCAAAGCTTCTACTTTTTTTGGATTTGGTAGAACTCCGTCTCGGCTAATGATCAAGCCGAGAAAAGTCACGCTTGGACAGGCGAAGTGACATTTGGACAGACGAATCTTGAAGCCGAGTTTAGATGTTGTTTCCAGTAGCGCTTCTATATCTTTTAAATGTTCTTCTGCTGAGTCCGAAGTCAGAAGAAGGTCGTCGAGATATGTAAAAGGTCTTCCTCGTGGCATTCCTGTGGTTGGAATCTTCTTTCGTTTAACACGGCATTGACTGAAGCCTGGACGGTGGCGTTTACTGCAGCAGACAAGGCAGACTCCCTTTCTTCTAGTTTTTGCAGCGATTCTTCCTTTTTAGCTTTTGTCACGGCGTCGTCAAAAGATGTAGGTTCTCTGCGACGAACTTTCCGGCGCAGTTTTGGATCAAGACCGGCTAGGAAGGCGGCTAGAGCAGAAGCGTCGCGAGCGGCGGTATTTGATGGATACGATCCGATGGAGAGCTCTCTGATTTTCCTGGAGAATTCATCCACACTCTGACTATTTTGAGACGCGGCACTAAGAGCAGCAAGAGCTTCTTGAGTGCGAGTTTGAGTGTGATAGGCGGTTTTGAAGGCGGAAGTTAAATCATTCCAGTCGGCTCGAGCTGTCTTGGGGATGGTTTCATACAGCTCTCTAAGTTCTCCGGTGAGCATTGTTGGAAATGCTCTTCGAGCGTCTTCATCGCTTAGACTAAGACTGTTAGCATGATCATTGACTCTCCGAATGAATGTTTCGAAGCTTTCAATGCTTGGCAGAAATATAGGCCAGGAAGGCCTCGTGGATGCTTGGAGACGTCCAAAATTTAACACGAGATCATCCAGCGACGATTGAAGAGCTTGCATATTAGCTTTGTGCGCGCTTCGTTTCAGACTACGCTGAGTTCGGGGTGTCGCAGCGACAGGTGTGGCTATTCCCTTAGGTGTTTTCGTTGACAGCTTGAAGGTCTTTTTCTTGACGGTGGTTCAATATGTTTTTTGGAAATCGTCAAGTTTTCCTCTTATATTTTTCTCATCATCTTTTTTCTCGGTGGCTTTTCAAGGGACGAGGTGACTTAGGAATTAAAAGGTTGCGAAGAAGAATGGATTCAGAAAGTTTTTAGTGGAGGGAAAGGCGACAAATTAAAATTTAATCAACCAAGTGCAAAAAAACGTTAGTTTGAGGAGAAGAAGTAAACGAGAAAAAGTTGAATAATCGGAATAGAAAAACAAGTTTTGAGAATTTTTTTGAATTACAGATTTTACAGGAAAGTTATGTAGCTTTTTTTGACTCGATTCGGAGTTCAATTGAAAGAAAGAGTTGGAGTGAATTTTTTTGAAAAAGAGGTAGCGGTTTTTTTTTCTTCGAATTTCGCGAGAGTTGAGGCTTTCGGAGGAAAATTCGTTTTAAAAGGAAGATGTACCAGAGTATTTAGGAAAGATTACAAATGTTTGCAGGAATTTCATGAACTGAAATAATGCATGTTTGGGTTAGAGAATGAAATGAGATGGATTCAAAAAAAAAGTTGAACAATCGTTTGGCAGGGACGTTGTTTTAGATCTATGTAGTTCTTATGAATTTCAAATCAACTCCTATTTTTTAAATGAATTTGGAGTGAAATTTCGAATATGACATAATGGAGACAGGATGAAGAACGAATTGTGAGAAATAATAAAGGGTTAAACAGAATCGAGTGTCTGAGAAGTAAGAGAGAATGGGGAGAAAAAGAAATCAAAAGTATTGTTCAAAACTGAATGAAGTTGAAGGTACAAAAGACGTTCGGATGAGAGAATAAAATGGTTTTCAGTGGTCAAGGGCTCTTTATATACATGTTTAAATTGGTCTCATTTAAATTGAAAGAGGGCGGAGCTGCCTATTGTTGCGAATTCCCTTGAATTGCCTTATTTTGAGAAATGTATCTTCAGTTGAAATTGGATGAAATTTTCGGAATTGGTTTCGTCTTCGAAATTTCAATAATATGCTCCGATTTGTGAATTGCCCATAGTTTTTGTTGACCGGTCAGCCTCAGGCGATTTTTCAGATCTTGGAATTAATCTGCCGAAGAAAGAGGCGAGGAGGAGTGAGGGCTCTTTGCGCGTTTGATGTTACTCATACCGTAGGCAAATTTTGATGTAGGAAGTTCCCGTCGCACTTTTTGGTTGAAATAAGAAAGAAAAATGTTTTTACAGCCCATTTCGTTTCCGCTGCTCGGGGAGGAGGCTCTGGTTGGCGTCTCAGAGACGGTCATAACTACTGAAAGTTCATGCGGTCTTCTGCGGAGGGGCGACGCCTGTTTGGCACTGGCTCTCAAGCTGCTCATGGCTTTTTAGGGCGCGATAAGGCTTGGAAGGGAGAGATTCAGGCCTCTTGGCCGTGCGGTACCAGCTTTGCACGAAGAATTTGCGGAACTGAGCGATATTTTCTAACGCTGAAGAGAATTCCGCGCCAAGAACTATCTTTTGCGATCACAGAGTGGTAGCTACTTCACTCTGTGTCAACCACACATAAAAAATGAGCCAAAATTCAAATGCTGAGTCCTTTAGGAAAGACCGTTTCCTGGCGTCTAACCTGGACCGCCTCCTAAGCAATGGCTTGTGTGGCCTCCTAGTTAACGTTAACTTCTTTCAAAAAGCGTACCAGATTTTGTTTTTCCCGAGGCTGGTGGGCGTTGATGGGTGTCTTCGATTCTGGAGTCGTACGGCAACAGCGGAGCCGTAGGCGCTGTGTCGAGGAGGATGATGTGAAGAAAAAATAGAGTCGACTCGAATCGGAAAGTGCTGGATAGTGCGAATTGGGAATATTGCCTAGTTAGGATGGAATAGTAGCGGCCGAGTTCTTCCTTGTCTCTTAGAAAAGACAAGTAGGTGGAACCTCCATGTTAGCTTGGGGGAAGATGGTTCCCTTTCTCCTCCAAGACTAAATGTAGAAGCCAACTACATGGTATGTTGCGCTGTCGCCTCCTCTCCTACAGAGCTGCCGGAGGCCTTTTATAGCCTCCGGCCGGGGCTGTGATATTGGCCCCGCTTAGGGGGACGCTGGCAACTATGCCTACAACATTGTCTAAAAATTTGATTTCGATAAATTTAATGCAGTTCAACAATACAATTTTGCTAAAGAACTCAGAAATAGTTATTATGAATCAATGAAGGATTACATTTTCATGGAAGAAGATGTGTATTATTATTATTATCCACTTTTTAGTATTTGATGTATCAAAAACAGAATGATAGAACTATTGCATCTCGACCTGATGTTACAATAAAAGCTTCCTTTAATAAAAACATTGCTCAAAGTACTAAATGTTATTGCTTAATTTCGAGCGAAAATATTGTTGAAGTGATATTCATTATCAAAACCTGCTACAAGCTCTAGATCTTGGAATGAAATTGAAGAAAGTCAAGAGAATTCTGACATTTGATGAGAGTAATTGGCTTGCTTCTTATATTGATTTTGAATACTGACCTTAGGAAAAAAAGCTAAAAAAATGATTTTTGAAAAGGATTTCTTCAAACTTATGAATAATTCTGTTTTTTTGGTAAGACAATGGAGAATGTTCGCAATAGAGTTGATGTTAAATTAATATTCTCTGGGGAAACTGAATTAATGAAAAAAATGGAGAAACTCATTACATTTCGAAGAAGGATAGAATAGGAAAGTTAGCTAAGTTGCCTAACTTCAATAGTAATATAATAATAAACAAAAGAACTGAATCTTGTTGAAATGGCAACAACTAAAAATAGTCCTATGTCGATCAGTTATAATCCATTAGTATCCATTAGTATTCATTTTAATCCAAAAAGTATTGAATAGTATTCATTATAATCTATTGATATTTTTTTAAATGATATAAATTAAAAAAATGAGTAACAGAAAAAAATATGATGCCTGGAATGATTACAAAAATAAAAATGTTTACATAAAGAAAACTAAATTCTGTAGAGACATCGGATGTAGTGTAGATTATCTAAATAAAACAATCAGAAAATTTGAGAATCCAGATGATAATAAAATCGAAGACCTTCGGAAATCTGGAATCCAGGGAATTGTAAGAAATAGAGATGACAAAGGAAGATTTCAAAAAGATACTTCTAAGAAGCTTGCTTTCGCTGAATCCGTAAGATCTGTAAGATATTCACCTAATGAAGGATCTGCAAGACTAGAAGTGTCTGGTGAAGGTAGTGAAGGATCAATGAAAGTAATTGATATCTCGAAAAAGAAACGAACTCCAGAAGAACAAATTGCTTTCATTCAAAACAGTCTTAGAAAAGATCGATCTGGTCAAACCAAAAATAATTGAGTCAAGAAACTATCAGGCTCCCATCCACCGAAAACGTCAGGTCAGTTCCTTCCTTTCACCGAATGATTTTTTGAATCTAAACAAAATTTTCTATCTTGACATTTCAGACAAACCGTCCCCCTAAACCTGCAGAAGCAACAGGGAAGCCAACACGGAAATCATCCTCCCTCGAAAACGAGAAGAACGATTTCAAGGACAGTGTCTTGACCGAGATCATCGCACGTGGTGTTTACAGCGACAGGTATTTTCTTGTTTATTTTTCAGAGTATTTTGATCTTTTTATTTGTAGTTTCATTGCTGATGTGATCAACGAAAAGAAAGAAAAGTTTATCGGCCGATTGCCTTGGGTAATGATTTTTTGGGCAAGATGAAAAAGTAAAAAAAAATTCCAGGAAGAGCTGGAAAAAAGCGCGAGAGCTTTGTTCAGACAGCTCGAAGTCAAAGAGGAGGCTCCCATACGATTAAAGTCAGTTTTAGCTACTTAGTTGGCAATAACTTTTCTCTCTCAGAAGGTCATCTCGAGATCTCAAAGCAGCATCAATAACTTCTTCAGTTTCCACTTCTTCTTCTTCCTCTGCTTCTTCTACAACCTCAACGCCAACTTCTGAATCATTTTCAGCTGTGTAAGAGAAATTTAAGGTTTTTATATTTAGAAAAAAAAGTTTTAGTTCGACGAATCGCTCCGAAGACGGTTGAAGCCATCGACCGATCTGATTTCCACTACCCTGTCTTTTAGCATATGCTGCCTGTGAATGAATAAAGTGACGTATGAAGGGAGGGCGCGGCGGACGCCAAACATCGAAAGAACAAAGTACGTGGGGCATCCCAGGCCACAAGGTCCGTCGAGCGACGTCCAGAGAACGCACAGAAAATATCAAATGTTTGTAGTTTTAAAAAATAACTTAAAAATCCAGTCTAGCTGAAAAATTTATGGTGAGTTTGATTTAGGTATAAACAATATGAACCGCTTAGATCGATTTTTTTTTTCTAATAATACAATTGTACTGGTATCTCTAATTTGAAAACTAAGTTTCAATTTAGAACTTTTAATCAACTAACAGTAGAAAGGGTTTTTTGCCTCTAGTTATTCACGAGATCTATGAAATAATATTGAGAATTACTTTTTTTCAGAAATTATCTACTGCTCTTTCGAAGAAATCCTGATTTGGTTAGGTTTCGGTCACACTTTTTATGTGAAAACTTTGATCAGATTCGATATGCAGTGTATTCTAGTCGTAGTCTTTTCAAAACCTTCAGAAATTCATAGATTAATGTCTATTTTTTGCGTTATCAGAATACCTTTTTTCGTTATCTTTTTTCTAGTGTATCATTCAGAAATTCGGAAAGTCCACAAGTGATCCAAAAACGAGCTAAACCCTCGAATTCGTAAGAAGAAGTCTTATGGAAGCCAAAAAGGTTGTTCGTTCGCTGAACCATCTCGCCAAACTTTCTTCATAAAAACTGACGGAACCGTCATGTGACGCTATCCAACCCAGTTTTGGGAAAGATGTGTTCTCCTGGGCCCAAAGTCCATGGAGCGAGCTCCAAAGAACCTGGCGTCGCGTCTGTTTTGGCCTTGGCAGCGTCGCGAAAGATAAGAAGCCCTCGTGCTGTATACAAACCGACCGATCGACTACAATAAACCGCGTTCATTCAAACGTCGTGAACTTCGATCGACTTCCACATAAACAAGAAAAACGATGCATCGCAGTGTTTATTTGGGCTTGATTAGTAGGTTGAGCGTTTCCTCGAAGAAAAATGCTATGAAGTTCAAACAAAATATCTGTATATTTGATCGTCCCTGGTAAATGAAATTATTTTTCACATTAATTCAGAGATTTGTTGACGTAAGCCAGAAGACTTCGAAAAAGTTATTAAACGTTCTATAATCTTCGATTTAACCTTTTTGAAATCGACAATTTTTTTAAATTAAAGAGAATAAAAAGAACAAGAATTTTTGATAAAATTCAGCTGAAAAAATAAGGTAGACCAGTCTCGAAACTGATTTTTCTTTAGGCTTTTTTTCGAAGCTTTTTCTCAAGGACCTTCTTTAAAAAAAAGATCAAAATTATTTTCCTCGACTATCTGAGAACGGAGTCTGCTCGCCCAGTCGTCAAGGAAGAAAGGAGGGAACCATTGTAAAGTACTATCATCCGAGAATGAATGTCGAGGCGGCTAAAGGAAGAAACGAGCTCCAGGACGGCATTACAACTCGGACACGAGGGGTCAACAGACGTTCGCAGTGGACTTTGCACTTGGTCTGGCCAGTTAAAGGACTTGCTCGGAAAGAAAAAAGAAATGGAACAGACTAAAGCCTAGAATCATCAATGCTGAATCAGACAAAGTTGACTATAACAATAAGACAGTTTTCTATGTTAGAAAAAAAGGCGGAACTTCCTTGTTTTTTAAGAACTATCTGGCTACTTCCAAAATTATTGAACTTTCTATTGAAATATCAAAAAAAAAAAACCTGGTACCTGACTAAATTGAACGTATATTTTCCAACTAGCATTCGTTTATTTGCAAAATACAATCAAAGTAAAGTTTGCCTGAACCTGAAGAGCAACTCTATTTTTAGCATTTCAAGTTTATTATTGGAATTACTCAAACACTGACTTAAATAAGAGTCAGGAGGGAACTTCCCTTGCATGCTTACACCTAAAACTTTTTTGTCCTAAAAAAGTAAAATTGAACTTCGCTTTGCTTAAGTCCAAAGGTACAACTCTAAAGTGTAGCGAAACACCGAAGAGCGACGATTATAGCAAATTTTGACAGTCTTCGTGGCGGTGTTTGTTGTTGATTGGTAAGGATCCGCCACGCCGTAGACTCCGCCTTCGCCATCGGTGGCACCTCGTATAAAAGCGATCGACGCGGCCGCCCCGCCTGCTGCTTCATCAAGATGGCTCAAGCTGCTAAAAACTGGTATCAGGTACGTTTTTCGACAGCTTTTCCTGTTCAGTCGGAGGTATTCAGGTAGTAAAGTCTGCGCCGAAAGGCCGCTTCAAGGGAATCAAGAGAGACTACGAGGTCGAAGAAGTTCTTCGTCTCCGTGGCTCCATCGACATTGAATATACTTTGGCCACACGTGGTGCCAACAAGGTTCGTTCGGAACTCCTTATTTTCAACTTTCAGTGTTCCTTTTTATAAATTAGTAAGTGGATGTTTTTCATATTTCCTCATTTTCCAGTTATGGCAGCTTCTGCACACGGAACCTTTTGTTCCAGCTCTCGGAGCTCAGACAGGAAACCAGGCAGTTCAGATGGTTCGAGCAGGACTCAAAGCCATTTACCTTTCAGGTTTCTTTTTTTGTCTCTTTGTACCTTGTTCTTTTGACCGGCTGGAGTTGATCAGCGACCAATTATTACACAGGCCTATCTGCCCTGCATAAACTAAACCAGCATCTTTGAAAGACCCAGTTTTTCGATTTTTGATCTTCAGACCAAAATACTAAGAAAATTGTTTAGGTTGGCAAGTGGCAGCTGATGCCAACACGGCGTCGGATATGTATCCCGACCAGTCGTTGTACCCGGCAAACTCAGGTCCAGAACTTGCTCGGCGCATCAATAAATCACTCCGCAGAGCTGACCAGGTCCACCAACAAATTGAGATTGAAGGAACTCGTAGTTCAGATTGACGCCGTGGAGGCCGAAGACTACCTGGCACAGCGTGATTGGTATGCTCCGATCGTGGCTGACGCCGAGGCAGGATTCGGCGGAGCCTTGAACTGTTTCGAGCTGATGAAGGTAAAGATTTTTGGCGGGTCAACCGCCTAGAGATAGGCCACTGATAACGCCTAATATTGTTGCCCGCGAACCCGTTCTCACCATTTTGTTTTCCAAATGAAACGTTAACGAGAGCGGAGAACGCCTAATGATTGCTGAATGATAAGATAATAACAAATTTCTGCAACATAATGACTTTCATTTTGAATTTGATTGATTTAAATGTGGGTGAAAATACGGTAAAATGAACTTTTCGACAAGTTTCTTTTGCTGGAATTTCTTCGTCCAGGAAAGTCACAGAATTCGAGAAAAGAAATATTGAAAAAGTGCAAATTGGAGCTCAAAAAGAGTGAAACCAAGAAGTCCAACTTTCGGGGTTTTTAAAAAAATGCAAAATCAATTGCTGAGAAATGAAATGAAAATAAGTTTAAAAAAATATGAAACTTATCAGTTCTTCGACCTGAAAAAAACCACAAAAAATTGGGTTTTTCGTCTCAAGCGGCACATTTTTATGAAAAACAGCTCAAACTGCTTAGCCCCATGTAAATTTTTTTAAAAAAAGGTTTTTATGTTGACTTTGAGATTCGAAAACTATCGACATTTACTTGTTAGAAGTTATCTCAGAGTTTATAAAAGTGTGCTGAAATTTTCATTTGATTAAATTTGATTGTTGATTCGAGTAGATCTAACTGATTTTGAACATAAAATTGAAAAAAAAAAGAATCTATCGAAATTACATAAATTTATCTTTTTTTGAAATACATAAAACGATATATATACTTACAGTCTTATATCGAAGCTGGAGCTGCTGGTGTCCACTACGAAGACCAGCTTGGCTCGGAGAAGAAATGCGGTCACATGGGAGGAAAAGTATACCCTAACATAATTTCAGAAAATAAATTTCTTTCTCAGGTACTGATTCCTACCGCTCAACACATCCGGCATCTGAACGCTGCTCGTCTGGCAGCTGACGTCTGTGGAGTCCCCACAATCATCGTGGCACGAACAGACGCCGAGTCCTCCCGTCTTCTGACCAGCGACGTCGATGAACGGGACCACCCTTACATCGACTACAAGGCTGGCAGAACCATCGAAGGATTCTATCGTCTCAAGGACGAAACTGCCATACAGTACTGTATCGAACGCGCTATTCACTACGCTCCCTATTCTGACCTCATCTGGATGGAGACTTCGCATCCAACAATCGCCGATGCTCGAGAATTCGCTGAGGGCGTCCATAAGGTTGATTTTTTGAATGATTCCACGTTTTAACTTCGAAATGCAGCAATTCCCTGACAAGATGTTCGCCTACAACTGCTCTCCTTCCTTCAACTGGAAGAAGCACTTGACGCCCACGCAAATGGAGAAATTCCAGAAGGAGCTTGGCGCAATGGGATTCAAATACCAGTTCATCACTCTGGCTGGCTTCCACGCCAACAGCTACAGGTTCGAAAAAAATACTGACGGATTTTATCATGCCGAATCAATTTCAGCATGTTTGACTTGGCACGCAACTACAAGGAGCACGGAATGCTGGCCTATTCCAAGCTTCAGGAACTCGAATTCGACTCAGAGAAACACGGCTACTCTGCTGTGAAGCACCAGCGCGAAGTCGGAACCGGATACTTCGACGTCGTTTCCAACGCCGTGACTGGCGGCCAATCTAGCACCACTGCTCTGACTGGCTCCACGGAAGAAGCTCAGTTCCACACCGCCACCGCCAGCAGCGAGGACGAGGAAATCGTCTCGGTCAGTCTACTTTCCTCATCAGAACTATTAGAAAAAATTACAGCTAACTGCGCCATCAGTTGCCGGAGACGAGAAGATTCTCACTCCCGATGCCCTTCGTTTCATTCGCGACCTCAACATCGAGTTCGACGGACGTCGACAAAAGCTTCTCAAAAAAAGGAAGCAGACTCAAGAAGGTTTTTCAAATAATTTTGAATTTAATAAAAGTATTGCTGACAGATATCAACCGTTCCGTCTGGTTCCCGGACTTCAACAAGGAAACAGAAAAAATCCGCACAGACCTTGGATGGAAGGGAGCTTCCATTCCGAACGATCTCAAGGTGAAGTCAAACGTTCACAACTTTTCTAAACTTTAGTTTCAGGACCGAAGAGTGGAAATTACTGGCCCTACTGACCGCAAAATGATAATCAACGCTCTGAACTCGGGTGCCAATGTGTTCATGGCCGATTTCGAAGACTCCAACTCGCCAACGTGGAGAAATCAGCTCGAAGGACAAATCAACTTGTACGACGCTGTCCGCAAGAACATCAGCTACCAACATCCGACCACCAAGAAGGAGTATACTCTGAACAACAAAACTGCTGGTTTCTTCAATCTTACAGAAAGCTCATTTTAAATTTATTTCAGTTCTGAAAGTGCGTCCTCGTGGATGGCATCTACCGGAGAAACACTTGCTCATCCACAACCAGCCAACTTCCGGCTCCCTCTTCGACTTCGGACTGTTCGTCTTCCATAACGCGAAGGCTCTTGTCGACTCCGGCACTGGACCTTACTTCTATCTTCCAAAACTCCAGTCAGCCGAAGAGGCTCAACTCTGGGCCGACGTCTTCAAGTACGCGGAGAAGAAGCTCGGCCTCCCTGCTGGCACCATCAAGTGCACTGTGCTCATTGAGCACGTCTTGGCCAGCTTCCAAATGCACGAAATCGTGTATGCTCTCCGTGACTACATCGTCGGTCTGAACTGTGGACGCTGGGACTACATCTTCTCCTACATCAAGACTTTCCAAGAACATCGCAAGTTCTTGCTTCCAGATCGGTTCCAAATCGGTAACACTTTTCGTTGATTTCTTAGTTGATTATTTAAAAATTCAGGAATGACGGCGCCTTTCATGAGAGCGTATTCTTTGGAAGTAATCCGAACTTGCCATAACAGAAACATCGCCGCGATGGGTGGTATGGCTGCACAGATCCCTATCAAGCACGACAGCGTACGTCGCAGAAATAGTAGAATTGGTCAAATGAAAGTTTTTACAGGTTGCCAACGAAAAGGCTCTCGCTATGGTCCGCGCAGACAAGGAAAGAGAAGCGACAGACGGCCACGATGGAACCTGGGTGGCTCATCCTGGACTCGTTCCGCTCGCCAAGCAAGTCTTCGATGACTTGATGCCTACTCCCAACCAGATCCAGAAGCTTGTAAGTAGAACTTGTGGGAGTTCTCCGGAGACAGTAGATGTTCAGCTTGGTAATCCGATGGCTACAAGCGCAGAACTGACAGCGATCCCCGAGGGCACGAGGACCGACGCCGGCTTCCGACAGAACATCAGCGTCACTCTCGGATATCTCGACTCTTGGCTTCGCGGCGTCGGCTGCGTCCCTCTCTACAACCTCATGGAAGACGCCGCCACCGCCGAAATCTCCAGAGCTCAGCTTTGGCAATGGCTTCGACATGACGCCAAGCTCGAAGGTAAGTTAAGACGGACATTAACTTACGATTATAAATCCGATTCTACTTTTCTCCTAATAAAAAAAACGAATAGAACATTTAGAACTTGAAAAATCAAGCTTTGAGGCGAAGGAAGAATGTCGAAAAATCTTTTCGAATAAAAAGTATTTTTTGAACCGTATTATTTTCTACAGACGGCCGCACAATTGACGCCAACCTGGTGAAGCAGACGATCGCCGCAGAAGCCGAACGTCGACAGATCCGGGCTGGTTCCGTCGTCAACAGAATCCCTGAAGCCGCTGAACTGCTCGAGAAGTTCGCCACGGAGGAACGTATGAGCGACTTCCTCACCCTCGACGCCTATGACAAACTTGTTTCTGACGGCTACTAATTTATTTATGCTTGACTTTTATGCATTTTTCCAATTCTGTACAGGTATCATTTTTTTTGGTGTGAATAGAATAAATATGAATTTTTCGAAGAGAAAACGCTGTTGTTTGTGCGTGCAGAGGGCGATTGGATGAATGGACACTCGAGATATTGTTTAATCAGCTCCCGATTCGGAATCTTTATTCTCACCCCGCAGCACTACACTTTCGAGGTGGCTGATATCTCTTCAAATAGTTGAACCTTTTTTTTGCTTCACTGTAAAAATTCACTTTCCGAACTTTTTTGCTCTTGGAGTTTTTTTTGCCTTTTTCGAACAATGCTCATCAAAATCAACCAAAACAAATCTATTTTCACAAAAAATCCCCATTTCCATGCATAGAACTATTTTTTGTCTCTTATCACATGATTGAAAAATGATTCCATATCATATAATTGGAAAATGGATACTTTTTGCGATACATTTTTTAATATTTACTTTATTCATCGAAAATTTTCCGTTCCATCGGGTCATTTGGTCAAAATACAACATGAGAAAAAAGTGCTTTCAACAAGGAAGAAGAAAATGATATTTTAGACCAACTTTGAATGAACAAAATACATTCTATTTTTGAGAGCGATGTTCTTTCTGGATTTTTTTTTCAAAAATTCCATATTTAAATCGAAAAAGGTCGCGTTTTCAAATTTTGAAGCTGAAATAAAAAATCCGAAATTACGTCATCTCACTTTTAACCTCAATTCTCAAAGACCAGCGCTTTTTCCGACGATTTCTCGTTCCCAGAAACCTTTTGTTGTGTGATCCTGTAACCTACCAGATTCGGAAGAAAAAGCGCAACCCCGCAAAAATAGCTTGAACTGGCGCGAACGGCTTAACAACACCTCGTCCCGATGGTTTTCTGTTTCTTTTTTCTTTCCACGTCGGCAAACATCCAAGTTCTGACACCGGAGCGATGTTCTACGACGAGTCCTACTCGCATTACTCGTGTCCCTCATTCCAGTACTGCCATGCTCTGCCGCCTAGGTACTGCAGTTCGACGTGGAAATCGATGGAGGCCGGCTTCCCACCGCCATTCACGAGAGATCCACCCGAGAGACGGCCAAAACCGCCTCGGAGACCTTCGTGAGTATTTGATTTCCTGTTTATCTTCATTAAATCGTTCAATTTCAATAAATGGATAAAGCAATGATGAAATGTCTTTGCATTAAGTCTACTTTGATTCAAAAAAACCCAAACATGCTGGAAAGCTGGTTGTGTTAAATAATTAGAGAGCTCCTTTGAAACCCCTGAAGGTGAAAACAATTTGTGAAAATTGAGAAATTTGATCGTGAAATTACCATAGAAATTGCAGAAGAGAGCTACCGTGGCTGATCATCATGATTCAATTCATCATAATAGTGGCTCTGATCGTTTCTATTTCTATGTATATGGTCAGTCGTCCTGTCGAGGTCAGTTGAGTCTCTCATTCAAATAAACTTTTTAATTAAAGACTAGCAATTTCTCGACAACAGTCACGTTCGACAGCGTCCAGATCAGAAATTTGCCGACACCTCCAAATTTTCGCAAAATTGTCAAGGTGCCGCCAGCAACTCGTCCCGTGGTAGAAATTGAAATACCCTCTATATTTGATAGTAAGAAAATCTTCAAGAAGGAAGATTCTTCAATGTTTTCAGAACAACTAAATAAAAAAACCACATGAAGGAAATCGACGAAGAAGAGGAAGAAGAAAATGAGTCGTCATTGGAGTCTGGTGGCTTCAAGGCTGCTGTTTTCTCGGAAAGCGCTATTTGTAGTGAAATCGGAAGGTGCAGAAAAGAGAAGAAAAAGTTGACAGGGATGATTTGAAGGTCTATACTAGTCCGTGGAGGAAACGCAGTAGATGCTGCGATCGGCACGATGGTCTGTATGACGGCCGTCCATCCTCACAAGGCGAGTCTTGGCGGAGGAATGATCATGCTTGTGAACGATAAACAGAAATTCTCGGTGATCACAGCCAGGTAAATGGTCGGAATTCGCGTATCTTCTTCGAGAATGCTATGGAAACTGATTCGAATTGAAGGGAAACTGCTCCAGCGGCTGCCAGCCAAGCTTACTTTTCTCGAAAGCGTGTGGACGCCGAACAAGGGGCTAAGGCTTCTTGTGTTCCAGGAAATCTGAACGGCCTTTTCCGAGCCTACGAGAAATATTCATCGAAGCGGATCAGTTGGAAACAACTTTTCGTCCTCACCATCCATCTCTGTACTCGAGGCTTTGAAGTAGACGAGGCGTTGGACGATGCTTTGCAAACTTATCCTCATTCAATGATCAATGACGAGCAGTTCAGGTATTAATGGTTGAAAAATTTGACTGATACTAATAATTTTTCTCTCAGACGTACCTTTTTCAACAGCAAAACAAACAAAACGTTTACAAAAGGTGATATTTTGACTTGTCCCGAACTTGCCGCGACGCTATCTGACTTGTCGGAATACGAAGATCCAGTCGACTACTTCTACCGAGGCGACATCTCTGAAAGACTTGTTCAAGAGCTTCAATCACGAGGTATCACAGCGAAAAGAACAAAGCTAAAAATTTTTGTAACCAGACGGTATTCTTACTATTTCTGATTTCGAAGACTACGAAAGCGACATCAGCGAAGCGATTTGTTCTAGCATCGACAGAAAATCGTCGATCTGTGGCCCTGGCCCGCCTTCCATTTTCATGCTCCTAGCTAACTCAATAGCCGCAGCGAGAAGTTCTGTCTTTTAGTTAGCAATACTCATTTCCCTTTCTTAGACTCCACCGAAGAAGAGGCGCTGGATATTGATAACATTGCTTGGGAAAATATTCGCATGATAGCCGATCCTGTGTTTTTCCCTTTGGCCAGAAGCTTCACTCGTTCACTAACAGAGCAGCAATCGATCGAACAGACAAAACTGATAGGAGTTTCTGAGAAAAGTTTGAGTAAGTACATTTTTGCTGTATATTTCTGTTAAGAGGAAAAAGCCGAACAGTTAGAAAAGAAGAGAAATGAGGAAGGTTCGACTACTGTGCTGGTCGTTGATGAAAACGGAATGAACGTGGTTCTGACCTTTTCTCTCGGAGACCAGTGAGTCAAAATTTCTAGAGAAGAAATGAGAGTTAACAACAGATTCGGGAACAAATTATACTCGCAACTGGGTTTCTTCATGAACAACCAGATGCGAAGTTTTTCTTCTTTCGAAAACACGCCGAACTCTCTTCAACCTGGGAAAGTTCCTGCAACGAGTATGTCTCCAATTATTTTCCTCAAAAATAAAAAAGTGAGTTTCCGAAAAAGCAATATCTAAACGACTTTCTCTTGAGGTTGAAGCTCTCTTCGGTGGGGCCGATTATGATGTTCTGTGGAGGACTTTACGAAAAATTGATGGAAATCAACTTGATTCCTCACGAGATTCTTTAGCTCCTGTGATCACCCTTTCCAGCTTAAACATTTCCTTAAAATTTGCCGAGAGAAACTTCATTAAAGGATATTGAACTATTATTTGAATATTTATAAAGATTCGTACCTCATTGAAGATGGGCCTTTGGTTTGTTTTTTCTTTGTAGCTCTTTTATGACTGAAAAAACGGGTAAAGGGTAGAAAAAAGGAATGCTCACATGAGGGTAACAGTCAGAAGTCAGTGGGGGTCAGCGCCACAGCTCTGAACTGATTGAAATCAAATATATACTTTAATACAGCAAAACGTCACCTTTTTTGAAGACTGACAAGCCTTTTGGGGAAGTGCATTCTCGGACATTGGTAACGCGAAAACGGACACGAATCGGACGTGTCGGGGGGCATTTCTAGTGACTACTTTATTAGCGTCAGCACGCTTAATTTTTCCCTAGAAATGCTCAGAAATGTCCGGAGCACGTCCGGTTCTCGTTATATATATACCAAGGTCCGAGTTTTTTGTACTGGCGGGCGAAATTTCAAAAAGTTGCTGTTCGTAGCGAGGAAAGTGCGCCCCACCGATCGGTGGTGTTAATATTTTTTTCGAAGCTTTTCTATATAGATATATATATATATCTATCGAAAAATGTGAACTTATTTTTCTCTAATTTCAATCTTTTGTTAGCTGTAGAATCTGTTTTGATTTTTTTATTTCCTACATTTTGTCGTAGTTCCAGTTTTAAGCATCATTATTGGCTGAAAACTTTGAGTGAAACTTCTTATAGGTATTTTGCAAGATGGTTCAATGAAATTCGCACCGAAGTTTTCAACTTTTACAGCACGATACTTCAACCAATTTAGATTTCTTTACAAGGTTCGTTTTTTCCAATCTTTTTTAGTGGATACATTAATTTTTTTTAGCGAAACATGGACGCAACAAGTAGCATTTTGGTTCCCCCAGAAGACGTACGTGGGATGACCAAACTGGTTAAAGAAAAGTTCAAGTAAGAATTTTGTTTATTTGCTCTAACAGTTTATTTTAGTGTTTCAGTGAAGTTTCCAGTGCTGGAAGTGGATTCCAAAGATATAGATGTGATCAGTAGGAGAGTTCGTTTGGAAGAATTTCTGATTGGACAGCGGTTGAAACCTCTGAAGGTAAGAATCTCAACGTGTTGAGATCATCTTTTCTCAGAACTTTGTTGACGGGACTACTCAAAATCGGAAATACATTGTTTTTAATCCGGACAAAGTGGATAAGGACGATGAAGTGCTAAAAACGAAGATTTCTCATTTAATTATCGACCAAATTGGAGAAGGTTTTGTCCTCAGTTTAATCTGTGCTCAAGCGAGTATATTGTAGAAAAGATTGAAAAATTACGATGGAATGAACTCGAAAAGCTGATTGGATTCGATAATTGGGACCTGAAAACGCTCATAAAATCTGTCCTACCTGATAATTTGGAATACAGGTATTAGAAAAAAAAAACTAAATTTTATTTCACGCCACCTTTGCATTTCAGTAGTTTCACGCAGTCTGGCCACATCATACATTGCAATTTTTCGGATCAACTGCTCCCGTTTCGGTTCATTATCGCTGAGATTCTACTCAATAAAGTCAACAACTGCAGGTTTGTTTCTTATCATTACATTCACAGGAAATTTCAGGCATCTTTTTCAGAACAGTTGTCCAAAAATCTTCCATTATCACCAACGTATATCGGAATTTGGAGCTAGAACTATTGGCTGGAGAAGAAGATTACGTGACTGAACTGAGAGAAGAAGGTCTGCGTTATAAACTCGACTTCAGTAAGGTAAAGCAGACTTTCAAAAGGTTCATTGTTTCATTCATGGTCAGGTGTACTGGAACTCAAGGTTGAGCCACGAACACGCCCGCGTCATCAAGAAGTTCGACAAAAACTCGTTAGGTTCGAATGATTTTTTGGATGGCGGGAATTTTTCCAATATTCAGTCTATGACGCATGTTGTGGGATTGGGCCTTTTGTTCTGCCAGCGTGGCTGAAAAGAAAACCAAGAAGAATCGTCGCGAACGATTTGAATCCGGAAAGTGTCCGCTGGCTAAAGGAGAACGTCAAGATCAACAAGGTTAGAAAATTTCGACAGGTAGCAGCTCTTTTATACTAATAATAGCCTTAACATCAACATTTGAAAAAAATTATATCAATACTCTCACCATTGTTTCATTTCCATCATTTACCTTTTCATCGTGTTTTTTTTTCGAAAAACAAATTTAAAAAAAGAGAGAAATTTCTGTTCGAATGATTTCGAATGTGTCGTTTCCGCTCCACTTTTTTTAACAAAAAGCTTTTCAAATTGGCATATAATCTCCATAATTTTTTTCGAAGTTATAGTTTAATATTTTTCTTTTTCGAAGGTTCCATCCACTGCACTTGAGGTTCACAAGGAAGACGCTTCGAAATTTATTTCTGGCGTCGTTGCTGACGACTTCTTGAAAGTGCGTTTTTTCAAAGATATTCTTTCTACATGCCAATTTAGGAAATTTCAAAAAATGAGACAGAAACGTCTTTTCCTTCAGGGGTTCACGTTATCATGAACCTTCCGGCCTTTGCCATCAACTTCCTGCCCGCTTTCAGGGGGATTTTGAGAGACAGGTAATTCGAAACTATTCTGATGTTTTCGAATTGGATTTTTTTTCCAGGTTAGATAGGGTACCGGAAGAGCGGAGATGTTCCTGGACTGTTTATTGTTATTTGTTTGCTAAGGTACAGTTTGAACCAACTTTGTTAAAAATATTTTTTTCTCCAGTTTTTGAATTTCCAGTCTTAGAATTCAATTTATTTGTTTTTAAGAGCTTTTTAGAAAAAAATTTTTTTGAAATCTAAAAAAATAACTTTCTTTTGTTCAAAGTTTAAAAAAACAATTGTCAGTCGCACATTGACGTGGAGGAGGACTGGTACGAGAAAGAGGCGAGGCGGATGGTGGAAGAGAAACTCGATTGGCCTGACCCTCTCATCTCTCACATGCACAATGTAAATTTCACTCAAACGTTGATTCTAAAATGTTTAAGAAATTTATAACGAAAAAAATGGGCAGGTTGTAGTTTTTCATGAGTCATAATTGTAGTTCGAAAAATATTGGGAGAAGTTATAGACATGTGTTTTTGGGTAGATAATCCAGGTATAACTTCAGAAGAATTTTTTTGAAAAAAAGAGGAATTAAAAAGTCAGCAAGAATTTTCTAACGATCACAAAGAATTTTATTTCAAGAGAAATAAGTAAATCGGACTTATTTTTCATTTCTTTTTTTCCGAAGATCCGTCTTACAATTGAAAGTAACACTCTATTGTGTTTGAATTGCATCAAACAATTTTCACCTAATCTATTCATTTGAGGTGCGGACAGTTTCTTCCCGCAAGGAGATGTTCTGCGCAGAAGTTTCCATCAGTTACGCCTACCTCACAGCCGAACCGAAGCCCTTGGAACCTTCAGAATCTGAAGAACCTAGCGCGAAAAAGGCCAAGAACTGATAACACTTCCTTGTTTTTGTTACATTTTGTTATATCTTTGCTTTTGTTGCTTGGTTGAAATAAAAGATTTGAATAAACACGAAAGTTTTCTCATTGAAAGGCACGCTTTTCCAGCATAATTACTTGAATGCATTGCAGATTACTCGTCGATTGCAAGAAATGAAGACTTTTTTAGACCCCGAGGTTTACTTTGAATGTTACCGGCGCGGCTCGCGCGACACAGTTGCTGCTTGTTTTCCCAAGCTTCCTGTTCGAATTTCGTGAGATCTTATCTATATTCTTCTCGATTTTTAGCGTTTCCTTTTCTAGATTAAAATGTGATTTTTATAATGACACCGGAATTTCATGTCCCTGAAGAGGTGAGTTCATTTTAAGGTACAACAAAAACGCGATATCAGCGCTCTTCCTGCCTTGAAGCTCTACAGTTTACGGAGGCATTTGGCTGAGCGACTTTCCAATAAGTTTCGCGAAAAAACTGGACAAAATAAAAAAGTTTCGTTCAGGCACAATGAAAAAAGAGTACGAGAGGTAGGACCAGACTTGGCCTGTTTGGAATGGCTCATGAACTGCGGCGCTACCAAGGTCCTATTTCCCAATCTCATGAACATTTTGAGAGATGAAGTTTTCAGTTTATCATTTTTCACACAATTCCATCCGTAAACCAAAGTTCGATAGATAACTCGTGCTAATTGAATAATGCCTGATGGTGGATGAAAATTTAATTGCTACCGCTTTTTTGGATTGCGTTTCTGACCCGCGTTAGTGGTTTGATCTCGCATCTTTTGCAAATTTGATTGCAAACTTTTTTTCATGTCACATGCCTTTCTGAATCAGAAATATCCCACTGAATTATCGAGAATAATCTAATTTCAAATAATAAATGGAGCGAAAGTTTTTTTCAGGTTTTAATGAGCGATTCCCAAGTGATTACCTCGATTCGACAAATGAAAGAATACCTTCCACACGCAAGAAATTCAAAGGTGACGTAAAAGTTCCGTTTCAAAAAAATAAAGAACTATTATTATTTTTTTACTACTTTTGTTAGTAATGACGGATAACTTTCTGGTTGGATGCACTGAAAATTTGGAAAGTTCTTTTCGCTTGAAGAGTTATTGATGATTTAAAAGTGTTAAATGCAGATATAGTCTCGCGTAGTTTAATCTTTCAAACTTCAAAACTTTTTTTTGCTTCAATCATTAGTGGTCTAGGTTTGCTAACGTTGAAGTTTGAAGGAAAGCATTCAGAAAAAGAGAAAAAAAAAACTAAATCGAGTTTTTACTCATCTTTAGAACATTAGTGAGCTCTTTTTTTTGTCAGTTTGTGGATTTGAGGTATCAATGTTCGTCTTACTTTTCTCGTGAATATTACTCTGAAAATCACGTCGAACTGAATTTTTCGAAGTCATAGAAAACAATAAGAAGACGGATATTGTGAAAAAAAGATTGGAATGCTTTGTAGAAAATATTACTCAATTCACAAATTAATCGTGAACTGACGATTGAAATTAAAATTATTTGAAGTCAGGAACGGAAGTTGTTTTTGTAAACGGTGAAAATATTATTATCTTGGAGAGATTTGAAAAAAAAAAATCTGAAATTTTCCGCTGAAAATTAAATTTCGGAATCCGTTGGATTCGTAATGAAAAGTTTCACGAACCTAATTTTTCCTGTAAACGTAATAATAAATGTTTTTCAGCGGGAAGTTTTAAATATCTATGTATGTGATAATCTGCCAATTAACCTTTCTTACTGAGCGAACGGCATTCGTTATTGATCTCATTTTTCAGGAAGAACCGACGGAGCTCCTTTCTGGCGACCTCGCCTACGAGAAACAGTGGCCCGACGCACCGCGGGTCCATATTGTCGAAGTAATTTTCTCTTTTATTTTAAGAGAAAAAGGCGAATTCAGGTGGACGCGAGCGACTCGGCTATCGCCAACGAAGGCTTCACTTATTTCCGAGACGTTCGCCGGTTAAAAACCCTCAAACTCAACTTTTGCGATTTTTTCGGCGACGAGGCTTTGAGGTTCTTGGCGATGGGCCGTCCAGCGCAGACCTTAGAAGAAATTGTCAGTTTTTTATTCACTCGTTCAAGTTCAGAAAGTTATGTCAGTTGGTAAAATTTTATTGCTAAATTGATTACTTCAAAAATTATCCTGTTAACGAGGTTCCATTTTACAGTTTCCCATCTCCTCGAAACTCGAGAGTTAGGCCTTTTTTGAAAGTCTTGACTTGAAGTTGATTTTCATTCATTTACACAACCATGACTGAAGAAGCAGATTGCAGGAAATAGTTCTGAACCCGTGTGTGACGGACGGCGCCGTCTACTGGCTGCAGAGGCTCAAAGCGCTCAAAAGGTAATTTTTCCGCGAAACCCAATCATTTCTTTTTGCAGCCCCTTCATTCTTGAATACCTTTTTCATGGTTTCCAGGGCTCACTTCTATTTCCTGCCTTATGTGGCGAATCGTCAGGCGTTCCTTCGCCAATTGAGGATCGCCTTGCCTCGAAGCAACGTCTCGTTTCCAGAGGTCGAAGAAGTCGGCTTCGGATACGAAGAAAAGAAAAAATAGTCTTTTTTTTCGATTTAGGAAATATTTCAGGGCAAACCGCGGAGTTTATCATTGTCCGCTTTTGCCGTTTTCTCGAAAAAAATTTCAGAGTTTTAGTGAGAATAGGATAATATTGTTATTTGACTCTTTGAAGTTTATCATATACGAATAAATTTGTTGAAATTTTCTCCCAATTTTTTTCAAAAAGATTTTCAAAAAAGGAGGGTTTTAGTTTTTTTGTCTTAGAGTTTTTGCAGATTTGAAAATGCATTCATGCTTTTTCGCGATTGTCCGAAAGAGATTTTATTAAAACAAACACGAGATTTACGGTGTGAAATTTAATTTATTTCTCCTTGGCGGGGGCTGTCAGCGTAGGTTCATTCAAGCTCATAAGTGTAATCAAATTGGGGCGGAGCTTGGTTTAGAAGTATTGCTATTGGCCGTCAGTTTTAATTCTTCCTTTTTTCGAGTCGCGTTGAAATTTTCCGGTCCAAAGTCCGCTTTTTCTAGCGCTTGATTTTTTGAACTCATTATTAATTAATAACCAGTACAAAGAAAAAAAAAATGATACATCAGGTTTATGGGGAAAACCATTTTCCTTTCATGGAGCTTTACTCAAAAAAAATGAAGTTCTCGATCTCTGTTTCACATAATTACTCAAACGGATGGTACCTAAATTATTGATTCTACATTTTTCACGTTATCTAGACTTGTTTTTTGTTTTTTCGCTCTTTTCTCGTATAAAAAGAAGTAGTTGACTGAGTTTTCTGAGAGCCAAAGTAATTAAAAGAGAATGGCTCAGAGAATCGCCAGTCTCGACAATCAGACCTCCGGCCTTGGCGTCGGCGAAACTCCCGCCATGGCCAACCTCGTCTCTTCCTACGGTACCACACTGTTCATGTGCATTCTCTACACCACTCTCGGTAGCTCCAATTAGTCGAATTAATTCGAAGACTGATTTCCAGGAAGTCTATCCATTATCACAAACATCATCCATCTCAGTGTCTACGCTTCGACTTGCGAGTTCCGTCGGAAGTATCTCTTCTTCATCGCTCTCGAGATTGGGGAACTCATCAATGGTGAGACCTTTTTCAGGACAAATCCTGACAACCCGGTTTCAGCGATCAGTTACGTCCTCACTGGGATGGGCCGCGGCACAGAACTTCTCGAAGGGAGCATGCAAGATCCAATCACCGTTCATCAGTGCTTCTACACGGTTCGTGAACTTCTTCCTAAGACCCATACATCACGACTATCTTACCAGTCTTCGGTCTTCTCATAGAAATAATTTCCTACTTTTATTTCACATCACCCTGGTCGCATAACTACCGTAATATCGTGAACCGAATTTCGGCGACAAATAAAAATAGCAACACAACTTTTGCCTCATCTCATTTTAGCAACTTTTTTTTCTCTTTTCTTCGAATTCTTTCTTCATAATAACGATTAAAAGAAGACAATGTTCTCTTTATTGTAGGAAATTTTGAAAACATCTGCTCATATTTTTTGGAAAGCAGAATGAATGTTTTTTTTCTTGTTTTGCTTTGCAAAAAACCTAACAGAATTTTATTCGAAGTTACATGATTAAGTTGAATAAAATGAAAGATGCCATTTAAAAAAAAAACACAACAAACGAAAAAAAAACAATTAAAAAGACAAAAGAAGATTTTTGGAACCGCTTTCGGAACTAATCAGGAATCGACTAGCCTGAATTTAAGCAGAACATAAAAAAGTTGACGATATTTGAAAAATTTTCAGAAATACTGGCCTCACGCGTTGATATTGGGAACTGAACTTCCGGCCGTTTGCATGATAATCATCTCGACAGAACGCATTTTTGCTGTCCTCAAGCCTGGCGCTTACAAAAGAGTTTTCACTGGACATCGCAAATTTCTTCTGCTGATGCTGGTTCCTCTGTTTGGCACGGTTTGTGACTTTATTATTTGCTTTTTAAGTGAGTGGGAAATGGAGAAAGTTAGATTGAAACGAATTGAGATACTTCCACAGTGTTGTTCCGAGAATGAGGGACTTTTCAGGTCTCCGTGTCCATCGGAGGTTTGTCAGCGTTGGGAAGTGAAAGGGACCGGCTGATTCCGACCCGTCACTGCGCCATCATCAACAGCACCGCCAAGTGGTCAGACTTCTGAGATTTCGCTCATCTATTGATAACGATCACTCTACTCTAAAAATTGAAAAAAAAAAACAATTTTCTGATGTACCGGTCTTCTGAAAGGACCCATCTGCAAAAAATTTTTGAAAAAAGGTATAAGTCTCTTGAAAAATAAGAAAATTTTGGGATTCGCTTCTTCAATGTCTAATTTACTGGATTTTTTGTAATTTCTAATGGACAAACTTTTTTGATTCTCCCAATAGCTCTTCTTGAAGGTACTCGACGTTCCATTTTCTGTTTGGCGTTACCGCCTACACAATGTCTTTTGCGTCGACGACGATGGTCTGGTCGATGAGAAAGGTTGGCGAGGAATTCTGACTTCTGAGACCATCGTTCAGTTGCAGAAATACAGCAGTTCGCGATTCGGCAGCGAAGACAAACTCAGCGTGGTGATGGCCATTTCGGCTTCGTCGATTCTTCTCGTGGCTCTGCCCGCCATCGTCATGATCTGCATCCGATGGGACGTCGCCAGCTTCAACGACGTCCAGGTCGCCCTGACCTACGCCTGCCCGGGGTTCGCCTTATTTTCCCCGCCCTTCTCTCAACTCCTGGTTTCAGATTTCTCTCAATCGCCAACACGATCATATCCTTCAAGTTCAGAAAAGAACTTCGACATCAACTTCTCCTTCTTCTGGGCCTCAAGTTAGTCAGCTGATGCTCTATTTTTGATCCAAAAATATGACAATTAGGTCCCTTGTTTGGTAATCCGAATTAATGAGAAGTTTTTACGCAACTCTTCTCAGCAGAGTCTCAATAATTCCACAAAAAGCGTCGTTCCCATGACATTCATATATGAATGATCATAGCGTGCAGCGGAACTCATTATTTTTTTTCCTAGAAAAAAGAACAAGTAGACGAATTTCATTACCAGTTTCTCATTTTATTTTCGGTTACGTCACCTTTGCAAGTTGATATAAAGATCAAAATATGGCTTGTTTGGTGAAATGTAAGCGTTGAAGTTTTTTCATGCAGTTTTCGATATGAAGATTTTGTGAGAATTATTCAAACTTGAGAAAAAAATATTTGCCGAGTAAATAAATTTTCTCGAAATTTCGAAATTTACAAGTTTAAATACAAAGTTTACTCCTACGAAAAATACTTTGAATACTTAGGCTGAAATCAGGACGAATTTTGAAAAGAACGTAGAAATCTTCAAGCTCTCATTTATTTTTATCTTACTAGGGAACCTCTCACACTCGGATTGGAGGATCGAGTGGAAATTTTGGCGGATGATATACCTAGGTAAGAAAACTCGAAAACAAGAGAAAGTAGTTCATAAACCACGGAAAAAGCCTGAAAAAAAGGTGTAGAGAAAGCTCAAAATCTGTCAATTTGTATGAAAAAAGAGCGTATTCAGAATCTAGTCATCAGTTCATAAAACTCAAAAAAAATTCAAAAGGAGTTTGAATTTTCCTGGAAATAAGGTTCTTGTTGCAGGAAACAAGCGGCCATCATCAAAGTGTTCAGCGCCTCGATGAAGACGACGCAAATCACACGACATTCTTGAACCTTTGAAAAGGAAGAGTAGAAATTTCGCATTATGGGTGTCTCTACACGGGATTTTCCTTTTTGTTTGCCTTGAAATCTTGCAATAAACCGCTTAATGTAATCCGTTGTTGGCCGGGATGCGTGGCAACCGCTGCTGAGCCCGAAATTCGCTGCATTCCTCCAAATGGACGCCTTGGCCTTGCTCACACCGGCCTTGTTTGGCGTGACTGCCATGTTCTGCGCGGCAAGACTCATCGCCAAGGCCTGCTGCAGTCCTTCTGAAATGCCTGGCGACGACGAATACCACGACGTCCGCAACCACGTCTTCTTCTCCAGAATTCCTCATTCGTGTTCGTTTCCACTCGTTTCATCCCTTTTGCATGACTGCAAAATCTCCTTCATAGATCATGAGAGATCTCATATAAAACGGCAAATTAAGTAAACAAATCGAAATGTGGCCCATATATTATATGGGAGCATCTGTTTTTCGCTTGTGTTTTTTCCGAAACCGTTTCTAGAAATCACAATTTATGAAAAACACTAGCAAACAACACGTTCAACTAGCTATCTCAAAACAATCAAAAAACCTTTCATCTTTGGTTTTTTCGGCCAAAAATAGGAAGCAATCGCCCACGAGCCTGACAACGGCCAAAATATTAATTATATGAGAAAGTCACCCTTTTTTTAGAAACTCAATACGATGTGAAAATCCGTTTTTGAAAGTTGATGTGATTTTCCTTTCTAATTTTGGAAGGTCGGCGAAAGCTGGCGCAAAAAAACACATTGAAAAAAAATAATACCATTTTTAAAAAAGGATTTTTTTAAATTTCAATTTGAATGAAAAATGTTTATTTTTTTAAATATGTAAAAATTTAAATTGTCTTTTACTGAAAAAAAGAATTATGACGTCTAATTACCTGTCTAGTTGTTCTAAATACTTTTTTTCATAAGTAACTTATGAAAAATACTTTGTTATTTCAATTTTCGTAGGTTGTCTTGAAAATTTGAACGCTTCGAGTTGGAAAACCGAAAATTTGAAAGCCGATTAAAGTCTAGTTGTACCTAGGCTTTGATGAGAGATGCTCATGATCATCTCAACTTGAATGGAAAATGTTTCCAGACAGCCGGATTGTGTTGGACGAGTCAGCCAACGTACAAAGCGTGACAATCACTCGAATCCAACAGACTTCGCCCTACTTTATGAGTCAGTTTCTCTTCTTCTTCTTCTTCAAAAATATTATTCTGTCTCGAAAACAATCTTTAACGAAATTTTTATAAGGAAATTCACACGCAAATTTCGACAAGTATTGGTAAAGCGGAGGAAAAACAAGTTAATGAAAAAAAGAAAAGAAATGAAATGTGAGATGTTTGGAAAACGGCGGAGAGTGAGGAAGTGGAGACCCGTTAATGGGGAATTCGTTCTGGCAGAATAGCATTGATAAGATTTCAAATAATTTCCATGTTTTTCAAGGAATTGTCAGGGAGAAGAGGGCTTTTGGCACATTATCGTAACCCGAACGATGAGCCACCCTTCAATTTTAATGCCAAAACCGTGAGCACTCAAGACTATTTTGCCAAACAACCAAAGTGGAAATAAATTAGCGCCGCCAGAGCGGAGCCGGACGAAGCAGAAGGTCGTCTGGTTTGACGGTATAGCCTGACACGCGCTGGCCGCAGGAGTCGTCGTCGGTCTGAACGAAGAGCGGCTGAGTGACGTCCTTGCTGTCGTCGGATTGAGTGTTGGTGGCGGCAGAAGCCGTGGAGGACGGCGGCGGCATTTCGGTCGGGTACTGGAACATGTAGTCGCCGTAGTCGCCGGGACTGTATGGATTGTAGGGCGAGAAGGTGCCGGACTCCGGCGAAAACTGGCAGTAAGAAGACGTGCTGCCGGTGGAAGTGGTCGACAGCGAGGGCGAAGGCTGGAACAGCGTCGAGATCGACGGCAGCACGATCTGAGCCGGCTTCGATGGCTCTGCTCCGCGCTTGTGTTTGGCTTTCTGAAGATATTTCAGTTAGAGATTCAAAAAAGAAATTGTTATAAGTTTATGCTCATTTGAGGTTTTCTTTTGTGGAGTTTAGAAAACGGAATTGTAAAACTTTTGGAAGGAACTGTTCGTTTTGAAAAAATTGAATCGGCACATCATGAAAGATTCTTGATTTTTTTAATGATAAAAGTCCAAAACATACTACTATTTCGTATCACAATGTTAGATTTTCGAAGAGAAAAAAAAGAGAAGAAAAGTCTTACTTTTATCAAAAATATAATTAAATTTCTTGAAATATCAAAAATTTAGCATAATAATTCATTCACAACTTGGGAAACAGTCCTTCTCTGAGATCTGTACAAGTACTAAAGTTATCTTCAATTATTTTTGCCGCGGTGGACTTCGACTTGACTAAAAAATTCTCGCTCTACTTCCCAGAATCAAAATGTTCATAAAAAACTAACCAATGACTTGGAGACACCCATTCCTTTGCGAACTGGAGGCGAAGGGAGCAGAATAGGCCTGAGCCGGATCGGCTGAGTCCAACTCGGCGGAGCTGACTGCATCATGATTTTCTCTGAAAAATCCTTTCCGTTGAATTACTTCCAATTTGACAACAGAAAGAAACGGCAATCGCTCGAAAGCTACACTAAAAGCGGTAACGAATCGAGTGCAATAAGAAAAAGGAAGAAGAAGCGGCGGACGAAAACGAGATGAGTGTGAAAGAATGAATGGAAGCGTCGGCTGAAATGCCGACCCGAGGCGAAAAAAAAGGAAGAAGATGGAGAAGTTTTGTCCTCCTTTTATTAAGTGTACGGCAGGGCGTCTCGTTACGTGAAAGGTTTTGAAAAAAAAAAAACTATAATGATAAAAAATCTCAAGTGTAACATATCGTCGCGTTAATGTCTATGTAAGAGCTCAGAAAAATGTGGAAAATCTGTAAAATTAAGAAAATTGAAAAAAATTTAACAAATTTGCAAGATAAATTAAAGGTTTCTAACTTTGATTATTCAAAGAAACTTCCTTCTATCATTCTACGTTCGAGTATTTGGAAAATGTGTCTTCCTATTTTTTAAAGAATTGAAAATAAGTGAGAAACTCTGAAAAGAGCTCACAGCAATTCAGCTTTTCAGTTTCTTTTGAAGCGAAGGTTCTAAATGGCGGCGTCGAAATGTGGATGTGGCCGTTCTTCTTTCAAAAAGGCCAGCACTTTGCCTGGCGCTGGACTGCTCAAAAACAATTGTGGGAAAGCCCTTTGCCCGCGCCTTGGAAACGGGGAGAAGCCACGCCCTCTAATATGAGCAATGCGGCCGCCGTTTGCCCCCTCGGCGGCTGTCAACACATTTTGAAGTTCGAAAGACTGATTGTGTCGTTTCTTCTCAAAACACTGTACATGATTTCCACGGAGAACCAGTTTCTAGTCCGAACATCGCTTAGTATTGTTTTCCACGTTTTTTCAACATTTTGGATTTTCAAATTTGCATGTTGGCGCTATGACAAAATTCAAACACCAAACTCAGTATATGAATGTGAAAAAAATTTTTTTCGAATTAGTTTTTTTGGAATAGAAGTCAGGGCCTTAGAAAGAAGAAAAAAATAAATGTCTAAAAAATAAAAACGGACTTTTAACTTTTAATGTTTAAAAAAATATTGGTAATTTATTTTGACATTCTAAGGAAAAAGTGGTGTGGAAGTTTTGCCTTTGGAAAAGTACTGAATAAAAAGTAAAACGAATAAGGCTCACTAAAAATTGTGAAATCTATCTCGGCAACCAGAACACATCAAAAACAAATAGAAGAAAGTAGCGGAGATTTCCGAGAAGGAAACTTTTTTGCTGCGAATGAGAAGCCTTCAAATCAAATTTCAAAATTGAAGTTTCGACGGAAACACAACATTAGGAGAAACTTCCAAAAAAGGAAAAAGGAGCCGAGAATCTCACGTTCGACTGCAAAACGCGTCAAACACGAACAAAAACCAAGAGAAAGAAAATGAGACGAGTGTGGGAACAGCAAAGGGAAGGAAAAGGAACGTCTCCTTGTTTGGTTCAACCGGCGGCGGCCGAGGTTAAAAACGCGAAATTCCACTTTCGTTCGCACTTTGCAGTCGCGGCCGATAGGCGTAGCAGAACGCTCCAACACAATATTTTCCCAGCATCGCGCGGCGACCAACGAAAAGCTTCAAGAAGTTGAAGAAAGGAGACGCGCGCGCCCGAAAAAAAGACGAAAAAAACATGCCCGAGCGGAGTGGAAAGTGTCGAAAAATGAAAACGAGATGCACCGTTCCGCGTTGGGCCGCCGTCTGTCTGCGGCAAGTGCTCCTTCGTGAAGTCCAGCTCCGCGACATGGAGAACGTTCTCTTCAGGTCGGAGGTCAGCCGAGAGTTTGGCGTTCTGGCAGAGAACACCTTCCTTCAAGGCCGCAGATCAGCTGAGAAGGCGAATTTCCCGGCAAGAACAGCTTTCTTTGAGGTCGCAAGCCAGTTGAGATTTTAAGATCTCGACAAAAAAGTAGCTCCCCATGAGGCCGCAGATCAGCTGGGTCTTCGCGGCCTTCATTTGATCCTTTATTTTCTAATCTCATATCTCAAAACAAAAGGTTATTCTTCCAGCGCTCCATTCGAAAAACAAAGCTATGCCAAAAGAAGCTTTCTTCTTCTTCTTCTGCGTTTTCAAAACTCACTTGCACCTGTTATTTTTCTTTGTCGCAAGCCTATTGTACTCCGATGATTCAACAGAAAGCGTTTTAGATTGTTTACTCAGCATCAAAAAACTATTAGCGATGGCTTTGTACGAAAACTTGTGTGAAAATTATTTTTTAAAAAGCTTTTCTGCGTTTCATACCTCTAGATTCTATCATAAAGAAATCAAGCTTTGCTAAAATACGTTTAATTTCAGTTCACTTTTTTTCTTCATTTCCTAATTTTACTTTTATGAAGGGAAAGGTATTGTGAGCTTTTCCGAAAGGAAAATGGACGATGGTTTTGAGGGAAGAACGGAAGAGGTCACATGTGTGATTATAAACATGGTGCATACGGTTGGCTTAGACGAAACTCGAGTAACGACCAGTAATCCGAGAGACTCGCGGGTCGCCAAAAGATCTGCCACTTTCTTCTTCTTCTTTGGCCTCGTTTTCAGTTGACTCCTCTAAGAGCCATCAATTTCCTGGAACAAAACCACCTGGCACTCGTCGAAAACCCAGAACAAGTTCTTGGCGCATGGAAACAACGTTTGAAGGGGAGCGGTCGTAAAATGGTATTCAAAAGGTTGAAGCTGAAAGGAGAAAATCAGAAAAGATGCCTTGAGAGAGTAGAAACGCTCCTTTTGAAATTTTCTTCAAAGTGAGCTAGAGTTAGTACATCGGCATGAGAGGCACGTGAACACCTCGGTACAGTATTTTGTTAGGTTCATGGAGCGGAAGGGGCATAAAGAGAGCAAAAAAGAGGAAATGTTTTCGAGATCATAAAAGAAAAGCTGAGATGCCTGAAAATTGCCGTTACAGAAAAACTGAAGATTTTGTCTTCTCTCTTTTTTGGAAGCGTGAGGCTGTATACTTCGCAATAAGTATGGAAGGGAACATCTCGGCACAGTACTCATAGCCGATCCAAGTCAAGCAGAATGAGACTTCATCTCGATTCGAGGAGCGTCGATGGACGTTCAAAGAAGACGACAGAGAAAGATAAGAACGACATGCAAAACAAAAAACAAAAAGTTGCAAGGAGCATGAAAAGCGGATGAAGTGCGCAAAGCCAGAAAAATGGCGGGAACGAAGACGAATTGGTTTTGCGGTGGGAAGAAAGTGATTTGAAGCGGGATTGTCGCCGCTCATAAATACGCATACACAGCACACGTACACACGGCGGAGAAGAGAGAACGCGGCCGAGAGACCCGTTGTTGGTTGGCGGCCGGTCGACCGAGGTATTATAAATGCAAACGCGCGCAGATGTCCTTTGACTCGTTTGGCTGGCCTCCTTGTGACACCAAATCATCGCTTCCGACACTTCCTAACTCAAAGTTCTCCCATTAGTTGTTACTCGGAAAATGAGGATGCGTCGGTCCTGAGACGTCTCTCGCTTTCAACAGAAGACTCCTGAGCTTGAGGGTGGAGAAACCAGGAACAACCCTAAAGTGAGCCTGAAGATGAAAAAGACCTCGGAAAGTAGATTTTGACTAATTTTTCTAAATGTTGACTTTCTAAAATTGAAAAACATTTTTTTGATTGGATTATAAATTCCCTGTTGTCTCAGGTTTTAGAAGAGCCAGAATCAGTTTAACGAAACTCGAAATGAAAATTAATAGTACTGGAAACTGTTCGTTCCTTTGTTCGTTAGATGCTACTATTTCACTTCAAAAAGAACTCTGTAGAAAAAGTCTCGATTAAACCTTCAAAGAGCTGTCAAACCTCGCTAGCCATTCTGAACGACAGATGGTTTTGACAATAGTTTTATCATTGCTCGGCACCACCTCGTCCTTTGATGGCGAGAAGCTGAATCATGTCGTTTTTCTTATCTTTACTGTAGAACTGTGCGGGTTACGAAGAACTTGTTCCTCAAGGGTTGACCGGTTGCGACTAAAATTTACGCTATTTACCTGTTTTCTCATTGTTTAGACTACTCATAAGTTCGCAAGTTGATTAGGTCTAGTGAGGGTACTAACTTTTTTCAGAAAACAAAAACGATTTCAGTGCACCTTCGAAAAAAAGGAAATGTTGCTCAAAAAAGACATATTTGACAAGTAAGCCAACGGGAGGTCTGAGAAAGGAAGAAAAAGAGTTCCAAAAACCACTTCTCGTTCCTGAGAAGCGCGTTTGAAGGAATTATGGGCGAAGAGGCGGAAAGACTCGCCAATCCGAGCGAGAGATGCCAAGGTCGGCAATTTCACTCGGTCGCGCTTCTTCATCATCTGCTGCCGTCGACGCATATTTATTGCGACCGGCAACACCCCGCTGCATCGTCAGATAGACTTGTAGAAGCAACCGAATGGACGATCTTCACCCACAGAAGCCACAGTAACCCAGACACCTTTTTCGACGCGCAAATCAAAGGATACTGTATCGACTCTCATTGTTTTGTATATACTCTCCAGGCAAACGTTGTCGCAAAAGACAAAAAAAAGATGCAATTCCATTTTCTCTCCTTTTTTCTCTTTTATTGGTTTTTGAGAGGTCTTTTGTGTTTCTGAGAAAAATTCGTATCAGTTATGATTTCGAAAGTTTGTCATGAGAAAAAGAAGTTTTTGGAATCGGTAAAATGGAACTGAGAGCTTTTGCGAGGAGGTATCTCTTCAGGAAAAACTACATCTATAGACACAAGGCAGAGAGAAGAAGCTGAAATGTTGGACGATTATCTATTTTGCGACGATGTACAACGGAAGAAGCAAAAAATAGGAACTCACCTTGCTATCTTGGCGAAAAGGTGGTAAAATCTTTCTGTGGGAGTTGAAAACTCATAAAACGCAGCAGGAGCGTTTGGGCAACACATAAAGTAAGAAAAAAGACGCAAGAGAGCTGGTTGAACGGAACGGCGCGCGAGAAAAGGAACAAATGAATGAATAAGCGGAGCTGGCGATGGATGTAACGTACGCATTGGACGCCGAAAACGGCAAAGAAGGCGGTGTCGTCGCCTTTTTTTCACACTCTCCGAACGCCGTAATCCTTCCTCACCTTGACGGGTCAACTTCGTTCTTCGATTTGCACAGTGGATAGCAAGAATGTTTGTAATCTCAAAAAGAACACAAAGCAAATGAGAGAATTGCATCGGAATACACTACAGTTGAACCTTCAAAAACAAGATACGAAAGTTTCAACTCTACATTCTCTCCACTCGCAGGTCATTGTTGACACTAGCGGCTTAAAAATAGTGATACTAACTATTGTTGAGCGGACCCAGCCTGTCTGTCTACTCACAAGGAAGGTCATTTCAATATTTGAAAACTAGCGGAATATTTGGTTCCATGGTGAACCTCAGACTTCTGGATCACAGAAAATCTGAGAAAAGGGACTAAATTGAGTGTAAGGAACGTTTGGAAAGATATAGCGAAGACTAGATAATGCCACTTGGAGAAACAATCGAAGGTCGGTGGGAAATGGACTGCGAGAGGAGCCGTTTTGGCCCTCGAACATGAAGACGACGGACGATGCATGCTAATTAAGGCCATTCACCTCGATGGCAATAATCGCGTGGGCTCTCGTCACTCTGTTGTTCCCCGAGGGCGAACGTGTTTTGCAGCCGATTGCCTATTCATTCCGGCTCGAATTAGACTACTACACATCAACCAGCTTGACCTACAAAGGTTGTGCTCCGAGTCCATTTCTTCCTATAACAAACTATGATGGAAAACGAAAAACTTAGTTTTCCTCCTTGACGGACTTCTTCGCAATCTCTTCTCTAAATCCTTCTCATAACAAAAAAAAGCTAGTTACTCTTCCAGTTTTTTTTTTCAATAAATTAGAAAAAAACCTCCCTGGTATACTGTGAATCACACAAACCAAATTATTGCTTTTTGCTTTTAGTTATGAAAATTCAAAGGTATCTTCTGAGCTTGGAAAAACGAAGTTTGAATATCTGATAGTCAGGTAGCTAATAGGTTAATTCTACTAACAGTATATCAAACATTAGTTAAGTTTTCAAAGTTAGAGCTTCAAGGTCCTCATAAGTCTCGATGGAGACCACGATCTTTCACCTAGATTTTCTAGCAATTCAAAATAGTGAACTCAGAAAAAAAAATAATAAGGAAATCATTGAAAGCTTTCAGCTGCGTTCCCCTATTGTTTACAAATCCAGGCAGGTGTAAACGAAGTGAACTTTTGTTTACTCAAACTACGGAAGATATTTTTATAACTTGTACTGAAGGAGGAATGAAGAGAGGAGTTGGAGAGTGGCTTGGAAGAATGGAAATTGGGCACAAATGGAAATGGAATCAAGAAGGAAAGAGACGTGGCTGACGATAAACACGCGAAAGAGAGGCCGAAATGAGCATCGGGTGGGCAGTTCTTCCCGTGGGGACAGATGGCCACGGCGTGTATATGTGCGCCAATTAAACATCCTCCAGCCATCGCGTTCGGCTTGGCGCACTGGCAACGATACCGTCTGCAGTTTACAGAAACCTCTTGAAAAGTCGTCAAGTTCTTTGGAAAGCTCCAAAAAGTGTCTGAGTGGTTTGAAAGCCAGGGAGGTGGACATAACAGGCGTTAAAGATGATAGAAGATGATAAGCAGTTTCAAGACAACACATGTTCGAGAACATGTTTCGGGATAAGATAAGGAATATTGCATTTTTCATCAAAGTTTCAACGCTCTCTCCATTCTCATGCGAAAAAGTCTGCGGAAAAATGGAGAGGAAGTTGTTGACCTCCTCCGCTCGTTTTTTGATATTTGACTCTTGTTCTTTTAGCTGCAAATGACGAGAGGCGGTGTTTTTGCAAAGTTTTCAGAACAAGAAAAAATGAAAGAGAAAAACCGGACTGTAATATTCTGCTTGGAATACGATAAAACAACGTTTGACTCGTTTGATAACGAGAATGATAGCGTGTCAAGTGATGGAGCCGTCGGAGAGGAATGCTCCTGAAACAATCATGACCATACACGGACAGACGGAACGGAGAATGAAAACAAAAGGACAAAGACAAAAAAGCTCGCAAGAAGGCGCAGTCAGAAGCGAGTCGGACATTTGTATGACCCCGGAGTATGGCATTGCACTCAACTCGACACGTCGCGCCGGCCCTTCCTCATTTGCCACCTTCTCAAAATCGTCCTTCTTTGCTTCGTTTCGCAATTTGCTTGTTGTCTTCGGGTTCGCGCTATTTCCAAATAACAAGTTCATCCCTATGAAGGAGACGACAGAAGACGAGAAAAATAGGTTCTTTGAGTTTGAGGACTTTTAAGAATTAATAATAACTAGTAAGAGGTGGTTGATGCGACCTCCAGTTTTTCACTCTGCAGAATTGTAAATAATGCAAAAAGACAAAATGAAGACCTCTGAAGTAGAGGATAATTAGAGAGGTCGAATGGCAGGTATTTGCGCGAAGGTTTGGCCATATTACGGCAGTCGCTGACATCCTGTTGGATGATGAAAAAAAAAGTTCGAAAAACCCTTACTGATGGTTCGTTTTTCCACTCCTAAGTAACTTGAATAACCCTTTTTTCAAAAAGGATTTATTAAGTTTTTTTTTTACGAAGGAAAAAAGCTGCTGTTTCTCTTTTGCGGTATTTGGACGTTGAAATATTTGAAAACTTGTTTTCTGAACGAGAGCTTCAAAACTTTCAATAAATAGTTGATTTTCGATGAGCCATGAATGAGAAACGAAGCGATGGCAGGAAGAAAGGCAGCCATCCAAACGGTGTCTTTCTTGCGCGCTGAGAAAAAGACCGCTGAGCCAACCAAAATAAACACGGCTGGCGAAATGTTCGCACGTGTGTTGACTTTGGTCAACTCCGACTTGAGAGCAATCGCTACACTTTGAAACAACTCAGACGACCGTTTTGCAGCATTTCTGAGGTTGAAAAGTCGAGGCAGACTCGCCGCGGCGTCATCACATAAATGAGATAGTTTCCGACTCAAGGTCGAGTTTTCATTCCGCTCAGAACGACGTTATTGAAAGAGCATCGATTCGGCAGAGACCTTCCTGGGTAACTCTTCGAGAAGAACTTCCAAGGAGGCGATTGTAGGCAGAGGTGTTGTTTCAAAGTAATTAGTCACGGCCTGGCAGCTACAATCGTTACTAATGGCACATATTGACGAATGTTGTAAAAAAGCGCCGCCGTCAGAGTCAAGTTGGCCTATAAAACCGCATCGAATGCCTTGAAATTCGTAGATTTCGTCTGAGATTAGGTGGGTGAATTGGCAGAAGAAAAAAGATGGCGCCAAGTCTGACCATGGCGACAACTTTCGAAGAAACTGTTCAAACAAAGCGGCCGAGCAGACAATTCAAACTTTCGATTTGTAACATCCGAAACAAAGGCAAAGTTTCCAAGGCTTCAGAACAAAAAAAAAGAGCCAGCGAATTTTCGGAACATTATTTGAATTCCAAAACTTCTTCGAAAAAAATTTTCTTTCTTTGGTCACAAAAACAACTATTGCAGAAACATATCCAGAAGAAAGCGTATTGATGAATACTGACGAGATTTTCGATCTCAAAGTTAAAATGAAAAGTTGTAAACGATTAGATTAGAAACGGAACGTGAGATATTTTTGCGCAACACATTTTCCGCATATAAAAAAATGCAATTGCATTCTCTTCATTTTTTTTTTCTATTTTAGTATCCAATGAGTTTGACGAAAAGAGTTTCCATTTTTCCACTTCCATAAAAAATACTAAGTTTTGTATATGAGCTTTTGAGAATATCTAAAGAATAAAATCTTAGTAATCCTAAATTTACCTTTAAAATTGAGAAAAGAAAGCTTGTCGATTTCTCCGTGCTGTTCCACAGTAGAAGAAGAATGAGCTTTAAAAAGTAACTTTCAAGTTAAAGAAAAAGTTCGTCGCGCAAGAGACCTGTTTCAAAGAAAAAGTCAAATTTCCATCGAAAACTGAAATCACCTTCGAAAATGTTTTGTAAATAACTGATGAAAGAAGAGAAAGGGAACATTTGAGCGCAACATCTTGGCAAGCCACGCCCCTAATTGGCAAGTCTCTCGGCCGTCGGAAGACACGCTTATTGGCCTGACCCGCGGTCCGGTCGTATATCTCCGCCATCAGATTAAACACGCAGCAAAAAGGAGAGATATCAAGAGAATTGAGTAGCCGCCGGGGAAAGTGCGAAAACCAAACAAAGGAAGCGACAACGAACGCCTCGTCTGATAAATAACGTAGTTTTCTTATCTATCCGTCTTTTCAGTCGCGAATTATGTATAATCTACGCCACAACAAGAAGAAAGAATCGAAAGCATCAAGAATTTTGAGAACCAGAAATCAAATTTCGCTGTGTTTTTCTCAACTAGGTGTCAAAGAATCAATATCTGAAGTCACGGTGTTTTTCGTTTTTTGAAAAAGAATTCTATTGAGTGGGAGCTCACTTCGATATTTCAATGATCGCTGAATCGAATTTTCCCACAGTCCAATTTCGAATATTCACTTCGCGAATAATATTCTCTATTTTCCCGGTTCTGGTGTTTTTCGAAGAAATCATCCCTTTGCTTGATGCTGGAGAAGAATGTAAAAAACTATAGTATTTATTTTATGAGATTTCAGATGAGATAATGAGTTTTCTGCTCAATCCTATCTGATTATCTCGAAAAAGGTTGACGTGTTTTCGTTTTCTATTGGAAACACGCAACGACAAAGAAAGGCCCAGAAAGGGCCTCAAGTCGAAGTACAAACCAGAGAAAAATAAAACTCATAAAATATTTTTTTGATGTCAAAAACTTCTCTCACCTATTAGCTTATTTCGAATTTCACTCTCAACTTCAGAAGTTTCGGTCGAACAATTGCGAGTTCTCATTAATTTTCTCCCTTAATACTAGTTTGACCAAACACCTAGCAACAGGAAAGTTCTAGCCTCTTCCCAGATGAAAATTATCTTGAAATAATGCGGGGAAACTCGGCTTTAGTGAAGGCCAAGAAGGGCAGCAATGCGATTTCGACACAGAACAATATGTCTTTGTTTGGGCAGCTGAGCCACAAATTCATTTTATGAGAATGGGTTTTTGCGGCAGGCTAGTCGACTGGGGCCAAGACGGTTTTTTCCGATTGTTGCTGGACCAAAGTGGCAGGGATTATGAAGGGAGGCGCGAGATTAGCGCCGCTGATTCTCCTGTCTTTGCAGATGTAATTGGCGCGTCTGACATCTCGTCGCGGATCGTACTTTATTTTTTATAAGATTGCCTCTTTCAAAGAAGTTAACCCAGTGGAAAATCTCGGACATTGCGAGGCTCCGAAAATCAAAAAGGAAAAATTCACTATTTTTTTAACGTCTTTTTCTTAAAAAAATATTCAATCTTTTTCATGAAAAATCTCTTTTTCCGGTTATGGAGTTATAAAGAAATAATCCTTGTCTACACTTTCGTCTCAGGAAAAAAAAAACAACAGCTGAAGAAACTGCTGAAGTGAACACCTTTTTTTCAGATAAAAACTTCCAATAAAAACCATAGAATTGTGTACTATTTAATGATATATACTTTGTCATAAAACAAAAATAGAGAGGAAGTGAATTTCTATTGAGAAAGTCTCTACTTGTGGGAATAGAAAAATATCAAAAATGAACAAAAAAAAGTAGACTTGGTTGGTGTGGACGGATGTTTTGTCAGATAGGCATCGGATGAAGTTAAATAAACAGCCGGCGCATAATAAAGCTAAACAAACAAAAAGAGATAAAATGGCCGAGTTCGGCGGTTGGTTCATGAAAATACTCGCTGTGAGAATGTTTACGAACGCCACGGGAAGTCTAAGACGATTATGGCAGTCGCCACCACCTGTCACTTTTCATTCTTTCGTTTTTGGAACTTTAGTCAATACTACAACTTTAAAATGTAAGTAATCGAATTTTAATTGAACACAAATTTTTAAAATTAATTCAGAACTTACTTTGAAGCTCTCAAAGTGAGAATAAATACTACAATGAAAAGTTATCATCGGAAATAAAGTCAAACACTACAAGGTGCTTTCAACTGAACACAGCAGCTTTATAAGTTTTCGTCCAGGCTCCTTCCTCCACCAAGATGATGTGTATAGGCCGTTCGCAGGGAATTTCGCGGAGATAAAGCCAATTCGGCGCTACTCAAACGAAGACATTGCATGAGTACCGTAGTTATGTTCAAAAAGCCTGGTAGCGCAATATTAAAATCACTGTCATTTTTTAAAACTTTGATATGAATTTTTTCATATTCCTCTTTCATATCAAAAAAATGACGTTTGGATTGCCATACTTTCAGTTTCCATTTAAAAAAAAATAGTGATTCCATGTTCAAAATATTTGTTAAAAAGGTACATGGTTTGCCTACTTGCAAAAATTTACAATGAAAATATAAATACAATATTCGAAAAAAATCTAATATGTCAGAAAAACGAATGAAAAAAGAGGAAAAGCAGGCCTGATTTGAACTTAACAAGTCGTGGTTCGCGTGAACCGAAAATTCCTACCACAGACTGTTTCGCAGCTGTTAATGGTCACTAAATTGGTCACTTTTTCGAGAGAAACCTTTAAGATATCTGATAGACGAAATAATTTTTCGATCAGTCATCTTTTTTTTAAAATTACTTTGCATGATTAATTAATGTGGGATCAGCTTCTACAGAGATACGAGTCGAGCGAAATAGACTGTATTGTGTGATTTTTTCATTTCACAGAGAGCGCTTGTCGCTTATTATAGTTTGCAGTATCTACTGAATATCCTTCTGACTACGGTACGAAGCTTGAACTTAAAAACTCCAGTTGCAAAAATAAACTGAAAAATAATCACTTGATCAACTTTCAAACAAGTTTGAAAAAATTGCTGAGAAGAAGCTTTCAAAAGAGTTGTTAAATTCGGGGTCGAGAGAATCATAGTCAACACGATATTGTTGTTGAACCGGAGGAACGGAAGCGTTATTGAGATGGCCGTTCTAATGGGCCGTGTGCAAACAAGCGTTCTCACAGATGTCCGCGGAATGGCGCGACGAAGGCCCGCGGGCGTCAAGTGCCGCCGAGCCGGCCTCCGTCTTCATTTGTCATTTCTCGCGCTTCGGCTTGCACGTGTGTGTCTCAGTGGCTGAATATGTCATTGGACGGCAGAGATTCCAGCTGGTAATGTAATGACTCGTCGGCCTTTCGAGTTCCCAAAAGGGGACGCCGATATTTCGAGACACGCGAGTGACGCATTACTAACATTCTAAAAAAAGTGTCAAGGGCTGAGTTTTTTTGGAAACAAAGGTAATCGCCTTGTGGGCTCCCGCATTTATTAGGGCATGAACAGTCAAAAAAAGAAGCTGGTAAATAATTTCTACCTTATTTCACTCTTCTTCTAAGCTTTCATCAAACACTCTTTGATCTACCAAATGAGAATCCCTATTCGCTAAATCCTTAATTTTTTCAAATTAAACTGAAAAAACCCTCCTGAGATTGAACAGGAAACCTATAGCCCGTTCACGGCTGGCTTGGGACAGCGAACGGGCGGTTTTACTTGCGCGGCGATGGTAGATCATGGCGGTCACGGTGTTCCGCGCAATGAAAAAAAATGCGAAATTTTGGGTCCCAGCGGCATATTATCCGTGGCGCATTATTGCGCCCTTCTCATCGTTTCTGATGCAAAAAATTGAATTTCTTCACTTTTTTTCATTGGTTTTTTTACTTTTTTTCTATTTCTTGCATTTATGTGATCCGCCTCTCTATGGGTACATCTTGTGGAGCTTTAAATTGCGCATTTTTTTCTAAACCGGTTTCAGATCTTTAACTTTTTTTCTCAAAAAGAGCTGAAGATTTTTTTCTAAAAGTCCTAATTTTTTTCAAAAATTTTGAAATCTGTTTCGCGACATGAAAAATAATCGCTCTATTTCGGAAACTATAGTTTTTTTAATTTAATCAGTTAATAATAAAAAAAGTTATTATCTAGTTCCTTTGACGTAGTTTAAAAACCGGTTTCGCGTAAATTAGAGCCAAATTGAATTTGCTGATGCAGTTTAATGATTTTGATATATGCATCATCTAAATTATATATTTTTTTCTAGTTTTTTTGATGGTTTTTTTCGGATTTAAACAAAAAAATTTCGCCATACGAGGTTTTCTTTCTAAAATTTCTGCTTTCTATCCATTATATGTTTTTTTCTGAAACTAGGTTTTCGAGGTATATAAAATGTTTTTCATTTGCTCCTCGAAATTTTCCTCATTTCAATATTTTTTTCGTATTTATAAATGCTTATTCAATGGGAGCTGATTCATTTTTCATAATATTTTTTTGTTTTTTTATTTTGTAATCAGTAATTTAGAGTTTTCCCTTTTCGAAATCGTTCCTAAATGTTTTTTTAACGTAAGTGAATGTTTTTTCACATCATATTCTTCAAAATGACAAATTTCGAACATTTCAGGAGCTATTATCCTGAAATCGCAAATTCTAAAATTGAAAAAAAGTATTTTGAGTATGCGATAGGGCGTCTCGGTGTGCTTACACTCTAAGCATCATTATTTACGAAAAGTCTTGACCTAGCGTAATAAAAAAAACACCGTGCGGTCAGATATGCGCCTTTAATAAGAGCCTCATTTGGTGAATTATTTCTGTTTCTATTAGATTATTTTATGTTTACATTCATTTCATTAGTTTTTGGATTTTCTTAAATCGACGAATAATAAAAGAAAAATAAATAAGTCATAAAAGGGGACTTTGATGGAAGGCGCATGGATAGTCGCCATGATCTACCTTCGCCGCGAAAATCATGGAGACTATCAATGCGCCTTCCACAAAATGCTGATTTTATGACTTATTTCTTTTTATTTTGTATTCCGTTGATTGAAAGAAAATCTGAAAACTAATGAAATTAATGTAAACGAAAAAGTACATTCAATTGAAACAAAAGTAATTTATCAAAGGAGGCTCTTATTGAAGGCTCATGTATGGCCGCCATGATCTACCATCGCCGCGCAAGTTAAACCGCCCGTTCGCTGTCCCAAGCCAGCCGTGAACGGGCTATATACAGAACCTGGCTTCCCGACAATTTTCGAGTTTTTGCCTTGACGCGGCATTTTTAAAAATCAGCTTCAAAAAAAGTGTGGGTATAATTGATTCACGGCTGGCTTGAGCCATCGAAAAAAGGGTCCTGACACGATAATGCCCGAGATAGTGACTGGCTCGTGGAGAGCGCAGACAGGCCACGCCCTCTCAGCGTCCCAAGTTAACTGTGAATCAGCTTTACTAGCCTTTAAAAAAGTTAACTGGGACTCAGCTAAACTAGCATTTTTAAAAAGGTTGTAAAAACTCCCGGGTATGCAATAAGTTTTCAGGATTCAAAACAATTACTCTTCCGATTAAAATTTTTTAAACTTCAAATTCATGACTTACACACTGAGAAAAATGATATAGAATAAGAACCGACTTCCATTCTAACTCCAAAACAAACTCAAAAGAAGAAAAATTGATTTTAAAAATCTGACCTCGACTTACATAGTCGCTTTGTTGCTGACTTTTTGCTGCTCGCAAGGTACCTGAAATTTTCTAAATTTATAATTACAGTTCAAGAAATGGATCATCCGAGAAAATGAAAAAAATACACCTACTTCTGAATATTGATGAAAGAAAGTCGGCGTGTAAGAAAAAGAAAGAACACTCTGTCATGGGACGCATAAAGATCGCCAAAATCTTTTTCGGACCTGCACTATTTCGTCGCTTTCTCGCAGCTAGATAACGACGAAAAGGTGTGTGTCAGAGAACGACTTGGGGCGATCTTTAGGCGCTCCCTCCCTCGAGATCTCCAGCTGGAAGGAATTTTAAAAAATTTGAAAATCGGACTTTTATCACTCTTTGCAAGTTCGCTCCAGTGATAAAAACTACCTACAGTAAACCTCGGGCGCGCGCGAGTTCGATTTTTTCACTTTTTGATTTATTTTCATCAATTTCATTATTTTAATTTTTGCTCGCTTATGAATCAACTTTTGATAGACGGTGTTTATTCTTTACGCCTTCCGAGGCTTTTTCTTTCATTTTGTTTCACTTACGGTTCGAAGGTTGCAGCGATGATAATGAAAGTAATAAGGTTTATTAGTTCCATTCGCAGCCGCACTCCCAGTCAGAGAGCCAAACTTCCTCAATATTCGCTCTAGATGGTCTTTGAGTTTCAAAAAAACCTTGCGTCGTAAAACTTAATTTTCTGAAACGGGAGAAACCAACTTAGAGTTTTTTTTTTTGAGTTAAGTCATAGAAAGTTTTCTCAAATCAAATTAGCGATTTTATTGTTCGAAAATTAATCTTCTAGTCTGTAAACATATTTCCGTGAAAAATTTTCAATGTATAAGAAGTTGCAGACTATGTCCTGGATCCGACTTTGCTGGCCGTTCAGCATCACATGCGATCTTGCCCACTGCCACAACCGCCTCGGTACGAAGATGCCCTCAAACAAACCGCCGGACCTCCAAAGTACCAGCCCTCGGACATGTACGTCTTCTGACAGTTAATGTATTTCTTGATTTTTCACTTTTTAAAGATTTTTGAAACAAACAGGTTTATTTTCATAAAAGTTTTTGATTCGAAGCCTTTCAGAATAAGAAAGTATGGTTTTCATTTTGGAGAAGAAAGCTAAAGAGCAATTTCTTTTTCAAATCAATGATTTTCTACCCTTCGTTGGAAAAATGTTTCTTTTTTATTTTAACGAAAGAAGATTATCAACTTCTACTTGTGGTTACTTCAACTAACATGTTTAATGTGTGTTGATTTATCAAAAAATCATAATAAAACGAAATTTCCCATTATTCTTTTGACTTCAGTTTTTTTTTTCAATGAAAATAGCTGCTAACCGTAGCATCGCTTTCGAACCAAATAGCTCCTTTCACTGTGAATGAAAACATTTCGAAACGCAATTTGTTATTGAAGGCATTGAAGGGCTGCTCATTAAAATGCAATGCGTCTTGGATATGCTCACGTTGATATGTATAATTAGCAATTGCTCGGCACTGTCAATCTTCCTTCCAATTATTAACAAGATGCAGAAGCACAACGCCGTCGCTGTCGATAGAGCTGCCGACGAGTGACGCGTCGACGGCGCGACTGGAAGACTCGCGATTCGTTCGCGGCAACGCTCCCAGCAACGTTCGCAGGACTCTTTCCGATCCTTGTGGTATCGGTATGGAATCATCAGAGGAAGATGACGCCTCTTTGCAGACTTCTCGTTAATTTTCGTACAGTTGATATAATTTTGGATTTTCTCTACTGTTTCGTTCAACCTAAAAAAAAATAAATTTGTCCAACTATTTTTTCTGATCTTCTTTAAACGAAAACCTTTGAAAATTTTGCTGTGAGGTATTGGCAGGTTTGGGTTAAATTTAAAAAAACTAAAACTTTCTAAGAAGTTTTTTGTCAGCTGGTGAGGTACTCGGAGGTAACGACTTAGACAGTTCTTGCTGTTCAAAAAAACTGCTTTATTTGAACCAACATCATAAAAAAATTTGAAAAAAATATTTCTTGAAAAATAAGGAAAGTTTCTAACCAGCCAATTTTTTTCTTTTTCAAGAGTTTATGCAAGCCTGGCAGCGAAAAAATACAACTTCAATGGAAACGATGAACTTTGAAAAGAATGAATAATTCGGATGTAGATCTATGTTTATGCAAACGCAGTTCGACTGGTGACAGAGATCAAAAATAAAAAGAAAAAAGAAACCGGGAGAACTGTTCAATACAAAAATAAGAAGAAAAGCAAATCGAAGAATATCTTACATTCGAGTTCCCATCTCGTATTCGTTTTGATGATTTTTCCTGGCACACTTACAAATACAGAGGACGACTAGAGTTATGAGGGCAACGAGAACGAAACCGACGACAGATCCTATTACCAGCAGTTCCCAGAAGCCGAATCGTCTCACTGCAATCAGAAGTTGGTTCTGAAGAATCATCGGAACATACAGGTATCCAATTTTTGTTGCTGAAAGGCCTTGCTGTACTGTTTGGTCATCCATTCGATGCCTTGCATATATGACTTCTTCTCAAAGTATGTCTCTGTAAATACATGCAGATGTGTTGACCTAAAGACAAAATGGAAAGATACCAGCTTCTTCAGAGACTCGCTTGACGACGTCGCGGTTGATGAGACGGGCGGCTCCAGTGCCGACGGACGTCCACACGACTTGGTCTTCTTCCGAAATGAAGATCAACATGTCGTCGTCGCATTGTCCTCGGTTCTGACGCCATCTGACCCGGTCAGCGAAGATTTCCGCTGCAGCAAGAACTGTCGCTCTCGACCTGCAGAAAACCGTTTCAAAATTTCGTCAGCTCATCTGACTAAGGAATCTTTGACTTCCATTCACTAAGATTGAACCAAACAAACGTTTCATTGGTGGCAAGCCTCATTTTTCGGACTGCAGCCACAGAAACCGTGTAACCAAAGGTCGAAGGATCGCATTCGGTCTGGTCGTTACAGGAACAATTGGTCAGGCCGCGGATCCTCAAGAGCTCTGTATCGAGTTCGAAGTCTGAATTACGTCCTATCCTGCTAGGTAAACGAGGAGTATAGAAATTTCAGCTCTTCGTTTTTTCCCACTGTGATAAAAATCGCACTGATATTTATAGCAAATATGAAATATTTTGTGAGTCAATAAACGATATCAAAACGTCGCCGTCAATCGATTGCTGAAGGCGTGAGAACCAAAAAACTTCTCACAAGAACTTTTTTCACTATATTGAAAGTCGAAATTCTAAACTAACTCAACCAAAAAGACAGTTTTTAAGCTTTTTTTGTAAATACATTCAATTCGAGTATCAATTGAAATATTTGAGAAACGGAAAGTGGGTAATAAAATATTTTCTAGATTTTTTTTTGTTTTTTTTTTTTTTTAAATATATTTTTCCGTTACGCACTTCAAGAGAAGGAAATTGATCGATTCTCTGCAAGACAAGCTAAAAAAATTTACAAAATGGTTATCTTTTTGCAAACTCCGGAAGTTTTTTTCTGACTTTCGAAGGATATACGTATGAACCAGACGCGATATAAAATTTGTTAACTCCAATTTTCAGAACTGACGAGTTTGAGTGGAGTTTTGTGTTCCGAGGATAGAATTGGGGTCGCATGCGAAGCCGGGCCGGGAGACGGCGCAAAGTTGTGGCTGAGTGATAGAGTCCGGAAATGTCTCCGCTGTGTAGTCGTCGAACTCGGCGGCGACGACAGCGACGAAGAAGAACGCCACGAGAAACATTTCGCGTCGAAGACCGCGGCGACGGCGTCTTCAAAAAGCAAACAAGAGCTATTCGAGTCTTTCCTTATCGTTTATTGCTGCTCTTATCACTTTCCAGCGGCCCGCGTCCCCCGTCGCTGCGGCAAAGGACAACAAAAACATGACTTTTTGTGCAAACTTTTGAAACTCCGTTCCAGATTGGAAAGATGACGCTGCCAAACGCCTTTTTTTTGGACTTATTGGTTTAGTTTTTTCACAAATTTTAGACTCATCAGAGTCTTAGTTAGATAAGGTTCAACAAGGTTAGAAATATTCATCTATTCTTCAACCTAAAGAACGAGAAAGTTATTATTTCTTCTTTTATTCATTTCGCTCTGCTCATAAATTAAATCGACTGATTTATATACTATTAATGAACTGCTAGCTTTCTACGAAACACTGCAAATTTATGGAAGCTCTTCTCTTTGGTCATTCAGTCGCTTTCATTTCAAAAAAACAACGATAAATTTAATTTTAGAAGTGTTAATAATTGGGAAAATGAGATCAAATTCAAAAGTGCACCACGAAAAAGAAAAAAACAAAACATGACACAGAAGAAAATATTCGAGTACCGCTTGATTTGCTATGGTTTCCTTTTCCATTAGATCGCTTTGTCCGTCGTATCGACATTTATTTAGATTTCGGGCAAAAACAGAGAAAATGATCATTTATCGGAGGTCTGCGTGTCGGCGTTGGTGTTGGAGATGACGACTGGAACCGTCGCTGAACTGTCGCTGCTCGAGGCCGTCGACACGTGCAGCGCCTTCCGTTGCCGCAACCTTTTCCGTCTTCGGGCTGAAAGTAAAGAACAAATTCGAGGGAGGTTTGACGAGGACCGACGTTTGTAAGAATAAATGGCCGATCCCGAGGTATCATTGTCGAAAAACCTCTTTTGATGGATGTTTCGATTTCTTCGCCTGAAACGGTCATAAGATTTTTTTCTTTTTTTAGTTTTCAATTTAATATATAAATTTTTATGTGAAAAAAATTTTTGGGCCGAAATTTTATTAAAAAAAGCTTATCAAAACTAGTAAGAGGAAAATAGATTTTTTTCGAACTTAAAACCTGACGGTAAGTTCTCGAGACATCCGAAAATTCCTAACATGTTAAAAAAAAATTTTAAAAAACAATGAAAATCAAAGCTTCTTGGAAAATAGGGATGAAGCTTTATTCAAAGTACCTAATGGATTAGGCGCAGGCGTGGCCTGCTCCCTATTCAGGGATTTAATTTTTCTGCGGGATGAATTTTAAGTTATTAACCTGGCTTGAGCGATAGACAACAACTGCAGCGACGACGGAGACAACGGCCACGGAAGCCGCGATGATTAGGAGTTCGCGACGTGCCAGCTGCATCTTTCTATTGAAAATGACGCCGCCACTCAGACTCCTTCACTTCACGTACGTCCAATTTTTCAGTCAGTACTCAAAAAATTTAAAAAAAAACAATTCATTGATGTACACCAGGAAAATATTTTTGAAAAAGTAGATCTAAGCGGTTCCCCAGAAAAGGTGCCAGCCACTCTTTTGGACGATCCCGTCGGACATAAATCGGAGAGTTGCTACGTTAGCTGGTAGTACTGTGGTCCACGGCGCTACAGAGGGTCCTGAAAAACTAAAAACCTTTTTTTATAAAAGAAAATCATTGAACAAACGCTAACTTAGCTATCAGGCTTGTAGAACTGACGTTAGCGGTGTTATAAATCTCCAAATAGTCGAATTTAGTTTCCGTGTTGAAAACGTCAATGGTTATATTGATCTTGAATGAAAAATTTGACGTAATTCTGAAAATGGACAAGCACCTTGAAACCAGGGAGGCCTGTAATGTAGTAGAGCTGTTCGGTGTAAGGATCGTAATTATTGGGATAATTAGGAGAGGTCAAGCTCCCATTGAGTCCTTCCTGTGTGATCGGAGTCGTCAAGATTCTGGTTTCAATTCAGTTATTAGAATAAAAAAGATCAGAAATAAACAAATAAGATCAATAAAACAGCCTGTGCGCTATTTTTTCTCGTTTGCAGTCTTGGGAAAAAAGGGAATAATGCAAAGAAGAGAGAAAGGTATTTTATTTCGTATCGTCCCCTTTTGTGTATAACTTTTTCAAAGTCCTCGAACTCTTCTTGATTTTAAACCCCTAAAATTTATCGCAAACTTACAGTAGCTCATCAATATTTGCATGAAGGACTATCAAAAAATTTTAAATTTCATCAGATGATCACTTCGAGAGATTTTTCCCGTATGCGATAAGGTTTCAAAATACAAACTTTGCCTGCCACTTGGCCTGCCATCCTTTGTCAGTGACGGCGGAATTTGTGTTGAATAAAACGGTCATCTGATTCTTCGTGCCTTCAAAAGACATCCGATCGCTCGAGCTCTGGATTCTACAAGCTTTTCTTCTTTTTGAATCTTGAATAGTTCTTACTGGCCAATGTTGTACGCGTAGGATGTTGTATTTCCATCGAAGATCGCGATAAAATCGCGATAGTTTTCAACAAAATAAGGGTAAAAGGAGATTGTTATGTAGGTGTTATTAGGACCTTGAAAAAAAAAATTAGATCGATTGTAGAAAATGGCGTACTTGAGATGAGGTACTGACACCGGAGATTGTTGAAGTATTGAGTCGGGTAGCCGGGAGAAGTGAAAGTGCCGCTTCTCGTGTAAAGACCGCCCTGTGACAGAGTATTGCACCTGTAGAATGAGTAATGTGAATCATAGACTTTTGAGTAAGTTCGAGACTCAAAAGTTTTTCCTTTCTTATCGAACACCAAAGTTTAATATGCTTTGATCAGTTTTTAATTTAAAAAAAAAGAGAAACAACCTCAGAAATAGTAAAATCCAGGCATAAGTATTAAAAAGGCGCACTACACTTTATCGTAGCTTTTTTCATTCTCATCATTTTTCAGATGTCAAATTATTCTCCGATCGTTATTCATTTACAGAAAAATGAGAAGAAACGGACACAGCGGCCGGTTGCCTACACAAGGCAGGTTGAACGTCGTAGCAGGGATTTGCGTGGAGGCCATTCGGATCTGTAGCTTTGAGACTAACACAGTCGCCGTTCGTTGAAGGTTCATCTGAAACATCAATCGGACTGATATTCCGTTGGGAAGAAGCTCTCACTAGTTCCCCAGTAAATAGTTGACAAGTAGCTGCCGTCGAGATTGTAAAATTTTCCGGTAGTCAAATTTCTTCTGGTCCCAATCCACGGTTGCGCCAAGTTACTCGAAGAAAGGGCTAAATTTAAAAAAAACAGTTACTTCATGTCCAAAAGCTACAGTAGCAGGTCAAAATTTTAAAATAGAGTTGAGTTTTTTTTTTTGCGTTTCTGAAGCACTAATTGCCTACATTTTTTCCTCTCGCTTTTTAGCGAAGAGCTGAACTCAGCGTGTTATGTTACTAGCTCAATATTGGCTTCTTGACAAAAAAAAAATTTTCCACATCCCGTCGGAGATATTTTTTCTGCGACCACATCGTTTAAGTTCGAGGCTATTCACTCAAGAATTGAAGATCTAACTCGTGAGAAAGGTCATTTCTGCCCAGCTCTTGACAGAAAGTAACGATCCGCCGTTGGATATGCACATCTGCGAAGCCTCATCGAATGTCACCAGCTTTGGCGACAAAAGGTAGCACGAAGCCGTTGTGTTGAAGTAGCTCCATCCAGTGGGACACGGCGCAGCTTCTACTGAAAGTTTCAAAAATGACCTCAGTCGGAGGTGTATCCGAGCCTGTGAAGAGCAGAAGCGCAGATGCGAACAGAGCCGTTAGCCTAGCCATTAATTATTGCTCAAGTGAACCGCTTATCAGTGGTGCTAGAAGGGGGCCGCTCAAATTTATGTGCTTTCTATCCGATCAAACAGTTCGAAAAATGGCTTTACAACCGAGAAACCGTTTATTTTACAACAATTTGTACATCTTTTCAAGACTCCACGACTGCCCAATCCAGCTTCCAGCCCGTGTATTCGATGGAGCCGTCGGTTATGAAGCGCAGGGTCAAAAAGTTTGACGGGGAAACGTACGACCAAGGGGCCACGGAGGTGCCGTTCAAGCTGAAATTTTGATTTCCTTTCCACGATTTTCTTTTCGAGAACCTAGCCACAAGGGTAGAAGGGGCAAAACTGTTTGATGCAAACACCTGGAGATAGTCATAGTTAGACTCCGTGTTGAAGGCACTTATAACCGCCCGAATCTTAAAAAAAAGGATCAGGAATAAAAATCCTGAAAACAACTTGCCTTGAAACCCGGAAAAGTTGATATGAAATAAGCTTGTTCTGAAAGAGGATTGTAGTTGGAGGGATAGTTGACTGAAGTGAGAGTTCCTCCATCGCCAGTCTGGTTGATAGAGGGGAGCAAAGACCTAAAATTCTTTCTGCTTCTTTCAAAGGAATTGAAACCAACCAAGAAGTCCATTTCGCTTGCCAACCGGCTCTGACAGCGGTCGTGTCCGTGTGGAAGTAGAGCAGCATTTGGTTCGAAAACGTTTCGAAAGTCTTTTTTGTGCCATTCATGTGGTTAATACTTCAAAGGAGTCTTTGAATACTCTTCAATTTCGAAAATGAACTAACGTCCCAATCAGATTGGCTGTGTTGTTGCTGAAGCCTTCATAAATCTTCACATAATCGAAAGTGTCTTCGACAAAATATGGATCAAATGTGATGGAAAGATACGAGTTATTCGGTCCTGAAACAAATTTAGAAAATGGAAAAGTTGAAATACTTCACCTTGAATTGAATAGTAGCAGTCCAAGTTGTTGTAGTAGTAGTTGGGGTAGTTTGGACTGTTGACAGTTCCGTTTCTCACTCGGAAACCACCATAGTTTCCACCATTACATCTGAAAAAATATGTTCATTACAAAAGATGGAGTGGCCGGACTCGTCAGAAATAGGAGAATGAAAGCTCACACAGAAGCGAGCTGCTTGCAAAGAACTGGTTGGACGCTGTAGCAAGGGATGGAGACGAGTCCGAGGTCGTTCTTCACAGTCTTCAATGCGGCGCAGGTGTTCATTTTCGGCTGACCTGAAAAATGATTTTTTTTTTTTCAAAATAAATTTTCCGAAAATGAATTCTCCTACCCGAAGCCCAGTAGAACGAAAAGAAACTAGTTCCATCCAAGTTGACCCATTGCGATCCGTTGTATTGGACACCAACCCATGGCTGCATCAACGAGTTTGAGGATACGTCTGCGATTTTCTCGATTTATGCGGTTCTCTATCATGATTTCCGACTTGCGAGAACAGTCAACTCGTAGGAAGTTCTGACGCTGCTCAGAGTGCCGCCTTGGCTCTCACAGAAGCTCTCGGCGTCGCTGAAAGTGTAGGCATTCGGAGAAAATAGGTAGCAATTGCTCGTTGTATTGCTGAAGGTCCAGCCCTTCGGACAAAGGTCACCTTGAGCTTCTGAATTGAGAGAAACGTTTAGAACAACGTGCTTTTTCGGATAAACCCACGTGGCAAGGCGAAAAGAACGAAAGCAACCGCCGCAAACGCAATCCGCATTTTTGCGATTGCCCAGTACCTTATCATAAACTATCATTAATCCGATCAGCGGGCGAGCACATTTTTGAGTATGAACTCTGCCGTGAAAAAAAAATCGCGACAAGTTTCTTCCATTTCTAAGCCTTTCATAACATGGGAAACGTTGATGAATCTCACGGCGTCGTTTTTCAGGTCATTAATCTTCGCATGCAAAGTTCTATCATAAAAATTTCAAACACTGAATAATCAACTAATAAAAACTTTTTGTAGTGCTTGAGGAAAAAAACCCGAAGTTGAACGTAGTTTCAATTGAAACTAGAAAACGCAAAAAAATTTATTTCTGGAAATATAAACTCATCTTTAGGTGTAAAATGCAAAAAACAGCTTTTCAATGAGGTTCTTTCTAATCGAAAAACTTCTCAGACAGGTCGCGAAATGCCGGCAATGAGAGAAGTGGCGATGAGAATCGGTAACTTGCGACTTCATGCGTGGGGCGTCTTCAGCAACGTCTACAGGTATCTCAACAATTTTTGAAATTCATCAGCTGTTCAGTGAAGAGGAACACTTCTTTCGCCTTTGCCAGAGCGCGAGATTGCGATCAAGAAAACTTGGCCTGGTTTCTCACTTATTCATTCTGAAGATGTCAACTCTACTTACAGACACTGCTGACCGCAACTTTGAGATGATTTTCCTAACTGGAATATCTCGTGCGCCACATAAAAATATCGTTCAAATGATGTATGCCTATGCAAAAAACTATGGAGACAGGGTTCTTGTTCAATTTTCAATCAATTTTTTGATATTTCCATCATTCATATTATAATATTCATTGAAGAAAGTATTTTGAAGGTTTGCGAATCATTTGTGTTCGAGTTCTTGCCCGATACACTCGGATCTGTAATCAAATCGACGGCGCTGGACGACATCGATATCAAACTGTACTCTTGGCAGCTTTTCAATGGTCTCCGTTATCTTCAAGCGGTTTTCCTCTTCTTCTTGTTTGCGGATAATAGTTTATCAAGCATTTCGTGGTTCATCGGGACGTGAAGCCAATGAACATTCTAGTGGATCATGAGAAAGGAATTCTCAAAATCGGCGACTTTGGCTCGGCTAAAATTCTTAAAAAGGGCTTTCCGTCTACTTCCTATCAGGTTTCTCTTCATTCTAACTGTCAATCTTTTCTCTTTAAATGATACTCAGGTGACACGATTCTACCGGTCGCCAGAACTATTACTACGGTCTTCAGACTACAGTTGGATGGTCGGTATGACCTCAGGAAAGCATGATAGCTTTTCTGATCGTTTTCAGACGTTTGGTCAGCGGGATGCTGTATTGGCGAGATGATGAACCGTCGTGTCTTGTTCCCAGGTCGCAACGAGAAACATCAATTAGTAATTCTTTCTTTTTGAGTCTATTTTTTGTTATCTCACTCAGATTATTCATATTCAGAAGCTGATAATCACGTGTCTTGGAATTCCTAACAAAGAGGACCAGATGAAGATGAAGACCTCGAAGAGAATTAAAGAGGATGCTCGCCTAGTCCCCACCGGTCTTCGAGGCGTACGAATATAGTCCTTTCAGATTTTGGATGTCAAGTAGAATGACGTCAATCGAAAACGCTCTGTGAAAGGCTCGCTCTCTGATTGGTTTATCGCGCCATTAGGGGCGGAGCTTGAGCGAGGACTTGAAATTTGAAATCTGAACAGACTATAGCTGTTAGATCCAAGATTTGATAGTTTAGGCGATTCCTCAAGCAAACGTTGAATCGATCTCTTTTCTGGCTCAAATTCTGAAATACCGGCCCCGAGAAAGACTGCACGGCTCCAAACTCCTACGACACCCTTTTTTCTACGCACTTTTCAAGTTTTCTTGGGAATTTAAGTACCAAAAAAAGTTTTAATGCTTTAGAGGTGGAGCGCGGAGGTCAAATGGAGTCGCGATAACTGATATAATTTCGCGCATCGACTTCATAACAGCGATGTGAGCTGTCTCCTACTTTTCACTTTCAAAGCTTCTGGTGTAGGAAAGATGAGCACGAAAAAGGACGCCAGTTCGCCGAGATGGTCATGAAGAACGAGATCAAATTCGCGTGGCCAGCGATCGAAGTGAAGGAATCGAAGGAACAGAAAGAAGTCAAGGAGAACTCTACACAAATGCCAGAACGACAGGAGATTCTTGTGGATGGAAGAAAATAGTTTCAAAAAATTTATAATAAATATGTCATGTCATGATTTTAAACAACGTTCCAAAAAAGGTGCCAACCAGGCCTTTGAACTTCTCCATCCGTGACGAAGCGAAGAGTGACGCTACTGCTCTGAACTAGAAGACTCGTCGGGGCAACTGTTGATCCAGTGTAGCTAAAAACGCGTCAATGTTCTGGGAAAGAAAAAAAGAAAACCAACTTTGCGACGAGATTCGCAGAAGAATATTGCCGCGAGCTGTAGACTTCGAGATAGTCCAGTTTGAGTTGCGTGTTGAAGGCATCGAACGTTATGTTCACCTAGATAACTGGATTCTTTGCGGATTCAGGAAAAAGTCCTACATTCAGCGGAGAAAATACGTCGATGTAGTACAACTGCTGGGTAAAAGGATCGTAGTCATTCGGATAATTTGGAGAGGAAAGTTCCCCAGAGGAACCATTTGAATAAACGGGCGGTACGTTGTACCTTGATCGACGTGGTTAAGAGGATCGAAATCATAGAACCTCACTTCGCATTCCATTTGGCGACCCAACCTCGATCAGTCTGCGTCGCGTCGCTGTGGAACACGACGGTCATCGTGTTTGCCTTTGCTTCAAAAGAGACGTCCCAAGTGTTCTTGTCGTCAATCCTTCGAAGAAAATTTCTCAAAAACCAGAAAACGATGAGAACAAAACCAGCCGAGGCGGTCTTTCGGGTTGGTTGAAATGCCGTTGAAGACTTCCACATAGTCAACAAAGTTCTCCACCAGATATGGGTCGAAAAATATGGTAATATAGGTGTTCAGAGGACCTAACGAAATTTTGAGGTGAATATCAAAGACCAAAGTTTTCAACCTGTTATGTAGTAGACACAGTTTAGGTTGTTGTAGTACTGAACGGGCCAGCCTGGCGAGGTTATATTGCCGGAGCCGACATTCAGACCCCCGAAGTTGCCTCCATTACACCTGGAAACTGGTCGAGTTCTGATAAACCGACTGAAACACTCACAGAGCAGGTTTCTCTTTGCAGAGTGCCGGTTGAACGGAATATTCCGGCGTGGCTTTGAGTCCAGTCTTAGGCAAACCGCGCAAAGAGGCTCTATTTCCGTAGGCGGAAGGCTCATTCGTGGTCCAGTAAGACAGGAAGACACTTCCGCCGTTCAAGAACTGCCATTTCCCAGAAGTTGTGTTCAGGAAGGCGCCCACCCATGGCGTCATCAACGACGACCCGTAAAGATCTTCAAAAATGTTTCTTCAGCTGCAGACAAAACCTATCAACTTCCGAACTCGACGAGTTCAGGACCGCCGCTGATGTCGGCGAGGTATCCTCCAAGATTCGTGCAGTAGATGACGGCTTCAGGCCACGTCATCACGCCGTTTGAAAGCGAATAGCAGTACGAGGTCTTGTCCGAGAAAGTGAACCCATTGCCGCAAAGGTCAGCCGCACGCACTGAAATTGATCCATACAAAATGGAAAAGGAAACTTTTCTTCCATCGTCGTTAGGCGCAATGTTGCATTTTTTTTTCGTCATGATTTGAAACAGTCTGGCTTATTTGTGTTCTCCTTTGCAATCATAGATAATGAAAACAGAAAGTAAAACTAGAAGAAAAAAGACACATACAGACTGAATATTTGAAATCGGAGCGAATGGGCGTATGAAAAAGGAAATAATGAGCTATCATTATTTTTGAAACTGTCTTATACGCCAAGAATTGTTTCGAAGTAGTTTCTCATATCTTTTCCTCTTGTTAGCTATTCAAAAAAAATAAATTAACAATTATTCAAAATTTTCATTTCAGTTTTTTTTTTCGCAAAGCGGACAGAGCTTTTTAGATTTTCTACCGTCCTATGAATTCAAAATTTTCGCAGTTTATCGTCTCCTCCGAAGCTTATCGGTATAGAAGTTGCCCATGTTTGCTCATAAAAGTTAATGGTTAACACCACTTAATCAAACCATAAAATTAAAAAAAAGAACACCTGAGACGAGAAGCGCGATGCCGAGAACAAGCCGCATAATCGATGGAGTGCAACTGACATTAGAGCGATAAGGTGCGATTAAAGGCGGTTAGTCGTCCGATCTTTACATTTCGCCTCGTTTTGAAGATTGTTCTGACGCGAAAAAAAGGGCCGTTTATTGCAAACGAAATTTGTTTGAAGACGTCCCCAAATGAGCTTCTGAGCCACGTGGCGTCGAGCCGAACAAACAAAAAGACAACGTGATCTTCGCCGGTGCCGCTGGCTATTCTCCAATTTCCGTCCAATCTCTGCCGTTCCTCTAAACTAACTCTTTAATTCTTATTTTTGAGCGGCCGAGTACATTTTAGTTATACATCTGCCACATTTTTTTTTTGAATCAATTTTCGTATCAAACTTTCAAAGACATAGTACTGAGAGGAAACTTTTCGTTTAGTCTGTTGATAGTTGCTTGCTTAAAATTTTCAAGAAAAAAAAAATTTTGAAAAAAAAAGTTTCGCAGCAGGTTTTAGAGCTACTCATGCTATTTTTCTGCGCTATGAAAATCTTATTAAGGATCTTTGAAAATATCTGTTTTATCTAATTTCTTAAGAGATTATTCTACTTCCATGAACAGATGGATTCATCATAAGTTTTTTTTTAATATTAAATTTGAGTAGATCAGATTTCAGAGGCAGTCAAAATAAAAAGACGTTGCAAAGATCTTGAGTACTGAAAATGAGTGAATACTTTCTTGAGTACACGCCAGTCAAGTGTTTTTTGACTGGAAAGATATATAATTTATTGAAGTCCATTTCTGCCTACCGAGCTCGAAAATCAATTTGAAAATATTTTTTTATCATGATTAACCAATTAAAAAGAAGTTTCAAGGGTCTCCAAGAGCTTTAAATTTTTAATTTTAACGGAAAAAGGTTGACAGAGCCCATTGTTCTTCGTTTTTTTCATGAGATTAACAATATTCTTAAAAAATTAGATTGGAATGGAAAGATATATATTTTTCATCACAAATCTCCTCCCAAAGAAGACCAATTCACTTTATGATTGGAATACTGTGAAAATTTTCTCAAACGATGATTCTGTAAGGTTCAACCTGCACCAAGTTCTAGTTTTCGGGAACGAATGGCTAAATGTTTCCACATGGCTCATTAAACGGGCGCTCTTCCTCAACTTCGAAGCATCTTTTGCAAAAATGTTTACTTCGAAATTCTGTTTTTTTGTTCGAAGGCAAAATTTGTTCGAAATTCCAACATCATCAACTATTAACTATTAAGCCAAGGCCAATTTTTTGAATATATTTTTCCCTAGCTGAAAAAGTGAGGCTCAGAGCGAATGAGTTCATTTTCTTTTAGCTGTAAATTTCCCTGAGGGTCTCGAAAAACTTTTGAATTCTTCCATTTTTTTTTTGCTGATTCTAAACAGTTGTTTTTGGATGTACCTGAACGGAGCGGACGCGCTGTACATGTGTTACGCGGCGACGTGTTCGACGCTCGGCGTGGCCTTCAACGGATTCCTGCTCTACCTGATCCTCTTCCGAAGCCCGCCGTTCCTCTCGCCCTACACCGTCTTTCTGGCCAACACCTGCATCACTCAGCTCTGCTACTCGCTTTCTTTCGTCCTCACGATCCCGAGGTGAGTGGTTCACTCTGCAATTGGTATGAGATGGGTACTTGAAGAGTCATCGCTATAAACTTCCGGATAGTGAACATCTACCTGGGAGTGACGCAGTTCCTCGGACCGTGGTGGTGTTATATGCTTTTTGTTGTTTTGTGTAAGTCAATATGGAGTCTGAAAATCATCTTCTCCGGAATTACAGTGCATTTCGCAGTCAACTCGTTCATCTCCATAATGATGTCGATGATATTTCGGTGTCTGGCCTTAAAAACCCTCCGTTTTCCTTTATCAGCTGCTCTTTTTATTTGTCTTTTGGGCTACCTGATCCCTTTCAGTATGGTGGTAAGCCGATTTTATCTTCTTGACGAATCGAACTTTTCAAGGCGTTCGTAGGCGATATAGATTATACATCTGATGTCATCACTAACGAAAACTACACGGGCGGTCTGGTCGATGACGTCGAAAACTATCTGACTGTTGTGGGAACTGACGTCACTCAGGTTATTTTACCGCATCTTTTCTTGTTTCTCCTAAGGTCAATTATTCATCAAGGCCGAACAGGTAGAACAAAGGTGATAAAAAAAGGCTTAACAAGCCAACTTAGGACTCCTGACTCCTTATTCTAGACAATCTCTCTTTCTTTACTGGAATTTTTTCCTATGATTCAAATACCGAAATATACTTTTTCGTGTCAACTGAACCGATTCTAGAAAGTTCATAATTAGAAATTGAATGAGCGGGTTCAATTAACCACACTGAAACTTCAGAAGTCGACAGTGTGGGTGGCGTTCTGCATGACAGGGCTCCAGGTTCCGATCTACGCCGTCATGTTCTACTGCCGTTCGCGGATTCTGAAGATGCTCGAGAGGCCGTCCTACCTGTGCAGCAACTCCACTACCAACCACATCCGACGACTGGTTCGAGTATGCGATGAATTCTCGTTTTCCGGAGAAAGTTCTGCTTCAGGCCCTGACCGTGCAGTCATTGGTACCTCTCTTCACGATTTTCCCCTCTTCTATCATTTATGTCCTGACGCAAGTCGGAATTATTGAGACTCACTTGTACAGCTATTTTGTCATCTCCTTCATGAGTCTCAGTGAGTTTACTCAAATCGAAAAATTCACAAAAAGATCTTCAGATACCGTAGTAGACCCACTGGTAACCATTTACTACGTGCAGCCCTATCGCAAGTTCGTTTTGGACTTCCTCAGTGACGACGACCGGTCTTCTCCCCACCTATCAGCTTTTGAAAGATCCAGATCTCGATCATCCGTTTTCTTGAGAAAGCCTAGCCTCATTTAGAAGCAACGTCCTCCATTCTTTCATCGTCGATTACCTCATCAATACATTGAAAAACCTTTTATTTTTACAGCCACGTGGAAAGAAATTAATTGAAAAAGGACGTCAGAGGTCGAAGCAATCCATGCACTGCTCCCCTCTCCAACTCAAACAATCCTTGCACCTTCTCAGGAAACTCTGCAAACACGTAAACAAAAAGTTGATTAACTTTATTTTTCACTACCGCTCCTTTTATCGAATCGCAGTACCAGTGACATTCGGCCATCCACTCTTTGCACAACGTTTGAAAGCACTGTCGTATCATGTTATCCAACTGAAGGTCATTTTTTTAACCATCAAAACCTACGGAAAAACCTCAGAGACGCTCCTGACGCCAGTTGGCGGAACATTATAGCAAAACACAGTTGTAAGAACAACCAAAATGATGAGAAGACGCATGGCGAAAGAGATTCGAGATTGAATACGAGATATGACCAAATATCCAATATCTCATTGCAATTCTTATCACAAAGGCCACACCCCCCGCAAAAATCTCCAAATATTCATATCTCTCCATTTTCATCGAACTTTTATTATTTTCATTCGAAAATTTGATACACTAAACGTGTGAAAGAAATAATAAACAACTTCTACTAAAGGCAAAACCATTTAACCACAGATTCTTGATCTACCAAAGAAGAACAAGAGAATCGCAAAACTAGTGTCCTCCAACTTCAACTTCTCCAGCCTTCTTGAGCGGGTTGTATTTCTTGAAGTACTCCTTGTCGGCCAGCTTTTGACGGATTCCGTACCAGTGCTCGACCTACAACTCATAATTCAGTATAGAGCATCACAAGCATAACTGTATTCATAAACGCTGAATATTCAAAGGCGTAAAAACTATGTCTCGTAAATCGTCGCTTCAAACTTTCAAAATTCCAGAAACTTTCTCGTGAAAAAAAACAAGAATACATTTTACAGAGCTTGAAAAAAAACTAGATTTGGAGCTTATAAAATCTCAGAAAGTCTTTCTGAAGACCCTTCCAAAAATTCTGAGAACTTGGACTTCACAGACAAAAGAATGATCCAGAACTGATATACGAAAGATTTAATAATGACTATTTCACTTGAATAAGTACATTCTTGAAAAACCTTGTACGGAAAAAACTCGAAAGCTTCGTGAACATTACAAAAGGCGCATTAACTAATAAAAAAAACCGGCTTTAACTAAAAATCCCCGAAAAAGGGATCACATTCGAGAAGGCTATAGATTTTCTAAAATAAAAAGTTCTATTTTTTTCCCAACAAAATTAAACAAAACTTGATTAAAATTACTTATGATTTTGTTATATTTTGTTATAACGATTTGTTCAATATCTCTAATAATATAACCGAGACTTTTTAGACATAAACTATGAGAGTCAGCTGCTGAAACATTTAGCTATCAATGTTTGGATAAAGTTTTGGTGAAATCTTTAGAACAGTAAATTATCCTTTTTTTCCATCATTTTTGTTGTTTATCATTTTGTTTTATCAAATGAAAAAAATACTCAAAAATTTTGATACTCGTGCTATAAACAATTTCTACATTATAAATATGCGCCCACTAAATCTCATTCAACATTATTCGCCTTGTGAGCGGAAATAAAAGATTTGAATGAAACGAAAAATGAAAAGTTCGAAATTATTACAAAGCTGTTTTGCTAATTCTAAAAATTTTTCGCTTAACTTCTTCAACTTCTAGTTTTACTTTTCTAAGTTAAGGAAAAATTTCGATGTTACATAGCCTCCTAAATGGTGGTTTTTTTTTTCTTCCCACATAGCAAGAAAATTTTCATGGGAGCAATTTAGAAGCGAGTTTTCACGTTGTCTTCTCAAAAATTCGAGTTTTCTCATGTTAGACCTCTCATCAAGTTTTCCAACATTAAAGAAATATTATAAATTTTTTTAAATACTTTTAGCAATAACAATATATAACTTGAAAAAAACAAGAAAAAATTTTTGCAAATATGAGAGAAGAAAATTAATAAGAAAAAAACCTCGTGATGGTGGCTTTCTTCCTTTCCTTTCGTGTACATAATACGATGGCGGGGCTTGACTGAAATTGAAAAAAAAAATACGGATTTGAAAAAAAGTTATAAGCAAATACGCTCTTTCCCTAAAGGTTTGTTGAAATTATTATTAACCTTTTTGCGAATATTCGGAATGCAGAAAAAGCAAACCGATTGCAGAAACAAAAAATAAATCTTTTAATCAAACTTAATTATGTTCAAAAAACAAACAGAAAACTTACTTGGAAGGACAAATTTGTACACTCCGTAAAGGATAACGCCAGAGTAAATGTAGAAACGGAAAACGGGAAGATACTTCCAGCAATGGCGCCATGACCACATACGGAGCTGAAAAAAAAGGAAAATAACGCTTCAAAATTTAAATAAATTTTGAAGGAAATAATAAAACAGCTACTTTGAAAATAAATAATTATGAAAATTTTTTTTAAAAATTCAACAAAATCTACATACATATTCTTGAGCGGTCCACGGTCTGGCCATCATGCGGGGATGGAGGTCGGTAGCTGGAACTGGGGCATTCGGCGTAGCAACAACGACGGCGGCTCCCTTCACAGTCTCAGCAGTCCATTTGGCCGCTTCAAAAAGCTTGCCCACGACCATGTTATTTACCTCAACTCTTAATTTTCCAAAATAAATCACTTTTCAATTGGAAACAGTTCACGGCAGCATAATCTTCACACACATACAAACAGAAAAGACAGACAACTTCGAATATATAGTCTGTTCAGATTCTGAATGTCAAGTAGAATGACGTCATTCGAAAACGCTCTGTGGATGGCTCGCTCTCTGATTGGTTTATCGCGCCATTAGGGGGCGGAGCTTCAGCGAAGACTTGACATTTGAAATCTGAACAGACTATAACAAGAAAATTAAATTCTAAGCTTTAAAAATTACATAAATTTGTTGAACGGGCGGCCTCTGACCACGCCCATATTGAGAGAAATGCAGATAGCGCGTGAAAAAAACCTGCCGCACGCTGCGAATGTTGTCTATAGGGCAGACTTGTTTCGGTAAGTTATCGCTCAATTTTTTGTTTTCTTTTTTGTTTTGTCTTTTTAAAATCATTTTTTACAACTCTTCTCAACTATGGAGCAACGTTTAGAAGCGATTAGGATACACTATGGTGTTGACCTACAGAATATCACTACAAAGATTATGTGAGACTCTTAGAGTGTTTCTGACTTTTAATAAAAATCTAGTCGTTTCGAATAATTTTTTTGAAAAAATAGAATAAAAAAACTAAAAAGGAGGTAGAAAATAAGTGATTTCTTAAATAAAAGAAAAAAAAGAAGCAACCTTACTGAGCGTGTGATAAAAATATGTGATGAACTTGTGTAACATCAGAGCAGGTTTTTTAAATTCACTTGTTTACATTGTAAAATCACTGTTCGACCAAGTTCGACTGGAAAAAAAAAGCATAATTTGAGGTCTCGCGATTTTCTTTTATCTCTATCAATTTCCTTTCTAATTTTCCGGATCACTCAAGTCGATATGTTTTCAAAAGCAAAAAGTATCACGATTTCTTAGTAAAATTTATTCGCTTTTTCTGGTTTTTGTGTCATCCAACACAGAAAGTTTTCTTCTTTTTCTCCACAATAACTTCACCGCTCTAATAAATATTATAGATGTGCTGGTAAAGAAGTGAAAAAGATTACGGTATTTTTTTGAAAAAGACGCCATTCTTCCTACACGCCTCTTTTTTTCGCACATTCCATCAGCCCACAGGGACCATTTCTCAGCGTCTTTCCATCACTCTATGTTTTTTTAGCGTCTTTACATCAATCTATATTTTTTTAGCGTCTTCGTTCCAAGTCTTCTTTTTCTTTCTTCCTTTTTTTGCATTTATTTATTAATATTTATTAACTTCACGGTATTGATATCTCTTTTTAAAAAGACGTGTTAATATTTGTTCTTGAACAACTTTTGACAGTTTTTTTCTCATTTATACTGTTTCAAGGCGCGATGACTTCCGAAGGCCCGGTGAAAGAGCACGGAAAGCGCCGAGTTGCTTACTACTATGACTGTAAGTCAATCGTTTTTGAAAAGTGAAAACGAAATACGGTTTCAGCCAACATTGGAAACTACTACTATGGACAAGGACACGTTATGAAGCCGCATCGCATTCGGATGACTCACCACCTCGTACTCAATTACGGCCTCTACCGCAACCTTGAGATCTATGTTCGTTTGTTAAAATCTTTTTCGAAGTCAAGATTGTTTCAGCGGCCTTTCCCAGCGTCTTTCGATGAAATGACTCGGTTCCACAGCGACGAGTACATGAGTTTCTTGAAGACGGCCAATCCCGACAATATTAAATCCTACAACAAGCAGATGCTCAAATGTAAATATTGAAAACATTTTTATCTAGCATTTTTTTTTACATTTTTTTCAGTCAATGTCGGAGAGGATTGTCCACTTTTTGACGGCCTCTACGAGTTTTGCCAGTTGAGCAGCGGAGGATCCTTAGGTCAGGAAGACATTTTTGTCTAGGATTTTAGTAGTGTAAATAAGGTAAAAAAATTTAGTTGACTCGGTTTCTCAATTGGTCAGTGATAGCTCTAGATCGCTCCAGAGCTGTGAATACAAGTGGTCTTTTATTTATTGTTATTTTTGAATTTAAAACTTTGAGCCGAAAAATAGACACCTATCAATTCTTTTTGTTTCCAGCCGCTGCGACGAAGTTGAACAAGCAAAAAGCGGACATCGCCATCAACTGGATGGGAGGTCTTCATCACGCAAAAAAGAGCGAAGCCAGTGGATTCTGCTACACCAACGATATTGTGTTGGGCATTCTCGAGCTCCTCAAATATCACAAGAGGTTCGAATCGCCCAGCTTTATCCATTCGAATGTCTCCTTGAAGAGTTCTGTACGTGGATATCGACGTCCATCACGGCGACGGCGTCGAAGAAGCCTTCTACACGACTGACCGAGTGATGACCGTCTCGTTCCACAAATACGGAGATTTCTTCCCGGGAACTGGAGACTTGAAGGTTCCAACAACCTTTATGGAGCCCTCCAAGCCAATCATGTTCAGGACATCGGAGCTGGACGAGGTCGGCTCTACTCGGTCAACGTTCCTCTTCGCGACGGAATCACAGACGAGGCCTACCAGAGCATCTTCATACCGGTAATCTTGGAAGAGACTTCTTCCTTCTCAGTTTCTCCTTTCAGGTCATGTCGAAGGTGATGGAACGGTTCCAGCCGTGTGCTGTCGTTCTTCAGTGCGGCGCTGATTCTTTGAATGGCGATCGTCTTGGACCTTTCAATCTCACTCTCAAAGGTCGGTCAGCCTGTTTTTCCTTTTTTTTTATTCGAAAAATCGTTTTGCAAGTTAGTTGAGAAGTCTGAAAATTATTGAAGAATGCCATAACTGTTTCGAGAACGTCTTAAGGCACAGACTCGTTCTGCTCCATTCGGGTCTAGGCTGAGTTGGCTGTGATTAGTTTCAACCTTGTAAAAACTTTTTTCGAAGTAACCGAAGTCGTTTCCCAAAAATCACAGAGAAAAAAATATACGAAATAATTTTTACCACATCTTTTTTCTATAAAATGAACCGATTTCTTTGATTATAAGAAATTTTTGTGGAAAAACAAAGTGCTGAAAAGTTCTTTTTTGAGTATTTGAATATTCAGTTCACTTAGAAACATAGGAAAAAACTGCTTTCTACAACCTACTCTCAACTTTTTCAGCTTTTTTGAGTTCAGTTTTTTATAGGTGTTTGAAAAATGCATATGCTTACGATCTGTTAGAAAGGCTTTCGAAAAACGGAAGTTTTAGGACATGGAGAGTGTGCCAAGTTCTTCCGGAGCTACAACGTGCCATTGATGATGGTCGGCGGCGGAGGCTACACTCCGAGGAACGTCGCCCGCTGCTGGGCCTACGAGACTTCGATCGCCGTCGACAAGGAAGTCGCAGATGGTTTTTCTTTCCTTTCCATTCGAAAAACCTCGAATATTCTTCAGATCTCCCATACAACGACTACTTCGAGTACTTCGGTCCCAACTACAAGCTGCACATCGAGGCGTCCAATGCGACCAATGACAACGGTCTCGACTACTTGAAGAAAATTCAGTAAGATTTTTCCTCTGAATAAATTTAACGGATTTTTTTTTCTCAGGGAATCCGTCATTCAGAACCTCGACAAGCTGACGTTCGTTCCCAGTGTCCAGATGAGACGTTAGTTGATGAATCTTGTGGAAAGCTATATATTAATATTTCTTCAGCGATACCTGAAGACGCCCTGAAGTGCTTGAATGACACCAGCCTCGGCAAAGATATGGCCAATCCTGATGTTCGCCTCCATCGTAAGTTTTCTCGAATTTTTGAGCTAGGAAAAAAAAATAAGATACTTACAGTTGTGGTTATATAAATATTCAGATGGTCAGAAATATTTTTCTTGATCATCAAGTTTCTCCTTCAAAAGACAAAAAAACTATATACCAAGAGCGTAACAGTCATTTTTCCAAAAATTGTCTTTTGGGGGTGTCAAATATATTTTTAGCGATTATTGAGACTGCGCAGATTAGGTTAGGCACCTCGTAATTAGGTGCGAAGATATGGAAAAAAGGCGATTGGCATTGATTCTTCACATTTCTGCAAACAACAGGTCGTGTCTGTCTGGGAGTGTATCACACATCATTAGGTTGAAAAAAATCAAGTTTGTTTATGTTTAGTTTGAAAGGACGATCTACATAAGAACCGCTTCAAAAATTGACAGAAATTGCAAGCTTTGAAAAAAGAAAAAAACTGTTGCAGCTTCGATAATGGACAGCGCGACAGAGGACGCTGGAGAATATTTCGACGGCGAAAAAGAAGGCGACGACAGAAGGAACGAGCACAACGCCAAACGGGCCGCCGGAATCGACGGCGAGGTTCCACCGGAAAAGAAGGGAAAAGTCGACGCGTGATCTTCCTTTTCCAGCCCCATCTCTATGTATTTTATTTATTGGATGGTTTTTCCGGGTTTCGTCGAGAACCATTTGTATCGAGCATTTCTTGTTTGCGAATAATCTGAAAGTTCACATTACGCTTGTAAATTCCTCCATATTTCTTGTCTTTTTCATATTTTGACTAGTACCGACTCCCATTTAAATATAATTTTTTTTATCAGAGGTGGAGGAAAAGATAAGACTTTTTTCTACGACTACTCCTCTTTTGAGCGATTAATCTTTCTTTTTTTTTGTAAATCCTCAATAATTTTCGTGAGCGGTTTTCAGTTGTTAGTTTTTATCTTTTCAAATCCTTTTATATGATAACAAATTGATCCTCATTCCTTAAGCCTAAATTTTTGTTTTCTGCTGTAACAGTGTTTCTCCAATTTCATCTTTTCTTTTTCTCTTTGGATCTGGATCTCTCGACTAATGCATATTCTTGGAATTTTTCCCCACGCTTTTCCTAACAAGTTAAATCGAAAGCGGGAACTACAGTAATATAATCGATTTTTGTCAAATTTACTATCGAAATTTTAATGCTAACAGAGCAGCCACCCATCATTCCGCTGTTGTATTCCTATCCTGACGTCGATACAAACTCGTTTCGGGATAAACATGTTAGGTTGTATCAAGTTATTTGCACCATTTCCATCTTGTTAAATAAACTCATTTTGTATTATGGCTATGAGTTTCTCATGTTTGAATTCTGCCATGTCGTCGTTGCGCTTTACTTCGAGAGGAAGTTAACCAAAATGGAAAACTATGAGATCTGATTAGAAAGGAAATTGAAGTTTTTTTGAGCGTTTATCCTTCTTTTTATCCTTCGTTTATCCTTTCGTCTGTCTTTTTTGCTCGAAGGATATCTAGTTAATTTTTCTTTACCTCAGCTTTTTTTTTTCAAAGTTCGGAGATGAATAAGATTTTTGAAAGATACGAGATAAAAGTGAGTTTTTTCAAAATGTGTTGGGAGAAAACTAAAACCTGATAGAATAAACGCAAAATCGGTCATCTTCAGGCTTGGCCATTTTTTTAGACACGTCGAGTTTTTCTTGAAACAATCTGTACATGGTGATTGAGTTTTTCATATGGAATTGAGGAAAAAATTCTTTCAAACTTTTGATGGTTCTTGATGAATTTGACCAAAGCGGAGACGGAAAAAGGATGAAAATATCATTGAAGGGTTTTTTTTCGAATTTGCATTTCCAGGAACTCGAATGAGGAAGGCAACGAGAAACTGCTTCGACCGACTGGCAGGAAATTTGGCGCCGTCGGGAAATTTTCCGAGTTGGTTGGCTCTCGTCATCGTCCGCACCTTTATCTCCGCTTTTCCAGATGCAATTTCCGTCCCACAGTCACCTATTTCAGTTTTTTGTGCATTCATCAGCCTTTTCGCCCGGGAAGGGTTAATAACGAAAAGTGTACGTTTCAAACAACTTCTTTTCGTATATTTCTGTAAACAGCCATGAAGTTCAGGTTCAGCAGTTGAACTTTTCAATAGGCCTCCTGAAAAAAAAATATCTGGATCTCTACGTTTTGAGTACAATTTTCTTGGGAGACCGACTTTTTAAATTGTGTTTTTGCTTGTTTTGAAAACTATTAATCTTCGACTCTCGAACTTAATTCATACTTTTCAAACTATGCCCTTAATTGGCCACCGCGTCTAGTTCCTGCTCTCCTGGCGCCTAACCAACTGGTCACAGCTCATTAGAAAGAACGTAATAGGTTCCGCTTCTCCCAGCTGCAAGAAACTCACGTTATCTCGAGTATTTTTTTGTTATTATAAGGGTTCTGAACTATCATTTTAGACTTTCTTCGTCAGTCCGCTTTTATGGTTGATTGGAGTAGTTGGTTTTTCTTCATAGGAAATTTTCTCGTAAAATCTAATCAGTCCGCCTGAATTTGTTTGCTTGAATTTCCGCTCTGTCTAAGGAAAATCTCCTTTTAACGTATAATTTTTGGGAAAACGCAGAATTTTTCTACCCAAGGTTATCTGTCTTGAAGTATCTCGTAGAATATTAGATATTTAAAGTGATTTTTGGAAAAAAGGAGGCGACGTGGCCGCGGCTCTTAATTCGAAACCTCGAAAATCGCGCACATCCGGCCACTTTTTCTGCTTTTCATTCCATCCGTTCGCACCGCGGCTTCTCCTTTTGGAAAAAAAAGCGCTTCAATTCGATTTGAATGAATTGGGGATTTTCTCTGTGCTACGTGGTTTTCCAACCCATTCCGGATGTGCAGTAAATAATTGTTTTTTCTCGTTTTAACGACTCTTACTCACAATATGTATAGGCTGTTGGGAAGATGTTTACGATGCTTTATTTTCCCCATTTTTTTTTGTAGAACTCGTAATTATAGCCATAGTAAGAAGAAAAAAGTGGACTTTTACTTTCTCAAAAAACGAGGTTAAATGGTCTTTTCCTCGGAAAAAGCTGTTTCGAAGTAAGATTTTGTTAGATTGGCCGTATACTCTTTCTATTTCCCGTTATATTCAATTATTCTTCGAAATCCACTAGACTACATATTGGCGAGTACGTGAAATCAGCAGAAAAACCTTGATATTCAGGCTCACAAGTTTCTGTTCATTTTTTTAAGAGAGATTTTTTCATTTTTAACTCAAAAAATCCTGTTGATTGACTTCTTTCTGTTGTCTCTTTTTTTCGAATGGGACAGAGCCGTAAAATATTAATAAATTGAGGAAATGTACCCGAGGCGACAGCCGTCAACGCGGGAGAAAAAGTCAATCTCATTTTTCATCCACAATTTACAAAAAGGCTCATGAATTCGGATATTGTGTCACACAACGTTCCAAGCTCAGAATTCATGTTGCCCTGCTCTCGTTTGACGACATTTTCTTTTTTCGTCTGAGATTTTTAATAAGATTAACTGATTTCCAGGCTACAAAAACCTATCGTCTCAGTTGAACCTCTATTACTCTTTTTATGAATAGCAAGCTTTGGAAAATGAACTTTCAGCTAATTGAAATCGATAGCTCGCTGTGATTCTTTTGATTGCATTGGTTAGAAGCGCCTGAGGCTATTTCTTTCTTGTTTTTCCTTTCGCTTGATTTGGAATTTGGCTGAAATGAATGCTGATGATGCGGCAATTTTTCTTTTTTATTTCCCGCCCTGAAAAATAGGTTTCGCTTTCTAGTTCTTACTTTTCTTCGATGCAATGAGATCTTTTCGAAAAAAGAAACCTGTTTCGATTCGAAACAAACAAGACTTTTTTCCATCTTTATTGGATTTAAGTAAGCTAGAAGATTTTGGAAGTTGGGATGGTTATTATGAGGTTTTAAATCCCGGAAAAGGCAAAGGAAGTCTTTGTGAATCGCTGAGTTGTGTGCGACGCTTCATAGGAATTTTCGTTGCTCAATGTGTTTACCGCCGCCCTCTTTGGACCTACAATTCCTGAAGATTCTTTTTTTTTCAATTCATCGCATTGTATCCGTTTTTCGACTGAATTCATGTCACTCTTCCGTATTTCGCCTGATTCGTACCATCTTTTTTTCGCGTCGCCAAATTTCAGCTGATTTTCCGCGCTACAGAGCAATTGTCGAACGGCGGTTCACAAAGCCAAAAGCTCACTAAATGCCTTTTTCCAAATGCTTCCTTTTTCATATTTCTTTTTAATGTTCTCCCTCGCGTGACAGAAACAAGCAGAAAGGAATCGCGATAGCAAGACATTTGAAACGCTTTTTGCAAGTTTCCAGGAGTTATGATTCCGTTTTGCAGTTTTACACTTGAATGAGAAAAAAAATAACGAAAAGAACAGTAATCAAGTATGCGGATAGTCGAGAGAAAATTTGTGCTCTTGAAATTTTAGCGAGTCCAAGATATATATAGGTTTGACACTATTACAACACTTTTCCCCCGGTTCCTCATTGGTTAAGAAACGACATTGTTTTTGCTTTTATGGCTCTTTCTCCTCGTATATTCGTTAACTTATCTCACAGCTCATTTTTTCGTTCAGAATTTGAATCAAATCGTTTTTTGTAATGTTTGAGCTCGTTCATGGGAAAACGTTGTACAACTCTATTTTGGTCCAGTTTTTCTTAGCAAATCCGTGTGAACTATTATTTTTTCAGCTACTTGAAAATTTGCAGGATGGCGGCGGTCAGGGCGGGCGCCGTCGGATTGACGCGAGCCCCCCGATATACAGTCTTTTCCAGCAGAGGTAGGCTTGAAATTGTACCAATAATTTTTTGTTAACAGGGAAAAATAGAGAGTTTGTTAATTTTTAGAAGTAAGGCTCAGTCGTATAGTATATATATATATTCATATTTTATCTGATTAAATTTATTCTTCAGTGTTATTCCAAAAAGGAATGAAGTCTGCTGGAGTATTTGGACAAACGTCAGATAGAAAAATAGAGTTGCAGAAAAAAATTAGCTTTCTGCAAAACCCACTTGATCTAGTCAATTGACGTGCTCTTGAAACCTAGAATTGAGCTGGCCACCTCATTTTATTTATTTGATCTTTTCTCAGGATTATCCATCCAATCCCATCACTAGGGCTGCCAGAAACCTGCTGGCCTTTCTGAGAGCCGACAATAAATGAGGATTAAATAACAGCCTCCAGTTTTTTCTCTCATCTGTGTAGAAAAATCTAAGAGAGTTTTCTCACAATTCCTTCCATGCACATTTTTTTCATTGAAAAAAAGAAATGTAGTCTCGTTTTTTTCTGTTCATTTTTTTCATATTTTGCTGTTCAGAAGTTTTTTTGCTCAATTTAATTCGTTTACTCATTCTATTTGCCGATCTTTTTTTTAAGTTTTTCATTAAACTGGTTTTTTTGGAGCGTGAGATAATGAAAAAAAGAAGGAAAATTTCCATGTTTCCACAGGAAAAAAATTAATAGGGGAGTATTGACAACTTTTTTTTCGAAAAAAATATCCCTTTATTTGTGAAATGATGAATATTTCAATTTTTAGCGCCATTTCTGTGTTAACGATGGTCATCTGTGGGCCATGAACTGGAAGAAGTAAAAAAAATTGCACCTTTTTGGAGTATTATTTTTATTCTGATCCATCTCTTTTTACGTGACTGTTTCGGCCTCAAGGCATTTTATGAAATTCGCTCAATTTTTCTTTGTAGATCAGCAATTTTTGCTTTGAAAATATCGACTATTTTCGTATTGATGAGTCATTGGCAAAGTGGTAGCCACAAAGTTTTAGAAAAAAATTGCAACGAGTTCTGAACTTTTGAAGCGCTTAGGTAAGTCTCTTTTTTTGCTTCGAAGCGTTCCTGGTCGAAGCTTTTCCCACACTTTCGAGATTCCGAACAAACCAAGTGGCCGACTTTGTCCAAATCCACCGGCATATCGCGTTGCCTCCGCTCTTTTTCCTTGCCAAGACTTCGATTTTTATTATTCTGATGATGAGGTTTCGTCCAGCCTACGAGTGGCCAGGTGAGAAACTGCAGTTGGTTCGGCCAAGCCTTTCCAAAATTTCAATCCTTCTTTCCATTCTAAAAGCTTTCTCTGGAAGATTTCCACGAGCTAAGAGGAATTGGAACGTTGAGGATTTTGCCGAAATTTGACACTCAGTCCTCAAAATCCTCGTTTTGGGCCTTTTTGCAGTTTTCAATCGTTTTTGAACCATATTTTCTCTTTATTATTTGTTTTCTCTCATTTTAATACCAGAATCTTTTTTTTTTCGTTTGTTCATAATAATTATAATAAGAAGTTACCAATTCTATTAAAAACTGAAAGTCGTGAATTCAGTATACTTAAGATTTGCCTTTCGCGCATTCCCTTTATTTATTTGAATCAAAACATTTCAACGCGTTTGTAATTTGACACTTTTTGTCCGGTTTTTTTCTATTTTGGTTTGTACGTAGATTTTTTTGGAGCGACCAGTTACATATATATATATATATTTCTTTTTTTAAATGCAAGTTTAAAAAACTAACATCAAATAAGAAATGAGCAATGTCTTGGACACTTTTTCTTATTTTCATCGTAATTTTTTTATCAGAATCGTTTCTGTAGAAAAACTTTTTTTAAAAACTATTTCTTTATTTAAACGAGACGAGTGTTTTATAAATACCTCAGAGTAGCGAAAACCAGGAGAAAAAGGGCGGTCAGTGAACGCATGAGAAAGCAAAGCAAAGCACGACGTTTGCTCATCCGGAATTCCACGCCATCTCCCGAGAAGTTTCAGGCGGAGATTGGAGCGAACGAGAGGAACGCGAAAGGAACGCGACTCCGTCGACCGGTAAGCGATACGGCGTCGCGATGAGCAACGCGGAAACGGCCCGGTCGCGCTGGAAACTTCGTCGGAAGCTTTCTGAGCTCAAAGTCAAGGCGAGTCCAATGTTTTCTTATATTTCTAATCGTGAAACGAAAACTAAAAACCGTTTCTATTTCAAACTTTCAGTATCTGCTTCCTTATTTGAAGGTTTCTGAGAGAACTGTTAGAAAAATAACCTTGAGAAGCATTTTCAGAGATCGAGAAGATAAATTTGAATCTCGTTAGTTGATAAGTGATGAGATGAGCATTTTTGCAAGCTTTAAATAATTTTTTCAGAGAGAGGTTTTGAATTTGCCCCTTGTGGGACTATTTCAGACTTACCCCAAGTGTTGAGAAAGCTCTCTAGGTAATCACTGATCACATTTTCCAACAAAATATTTGTTTTTTGACTTTCCGTCCGAAGCTCGGCGACTCTACACTTTCTTATGCATGCTTTAGAGACTTAAATATTCGTAACTATTTGAATCCAAAATTATCAGAGGTTTTCATCACCTTTTTAACACGCGAACTTGTTGATTGCTGTAAAAAAATCTAGAAAAATCCTGGTTCAAAATTGAGGATATCTTTTTTTGGCCTTGATATTCTTTCAACGTATAAATCACCTTTTTCTTGTCCACGTAAATATTAATAGTTAATAGCTTAGCTCAAATTGAGAAATTTCTCAACGGGAGAATTTTTATTTTCCTTGTTTTTCAGTTATGCGATTGTACATTGGTTCTTGCACTTGCCGGGTTAATTTTCTCGATGATCGACGTCGAAATTTGTGCCACTGGACTCACTTCTAAATATCTTTTAGTGAGTGATTTGAAGTGTTTCAAATAGAATAGTGAATTCAAGTTGAGAGATAAAAGAAAAATATCTTCTTGGGTTTTTATGATTTTTGTTCTTGACAATGAGGCTGTATCAGATTAACGTAAATGTGGAGTTTTAGTCTTCTGCGAGAGCTTTGAGTAATAAATATACAAAAAGGAAATGCTTGTTTTGTTTTTAGATCAAATTAAAAACAGTGAAAATTATTCAAAATAAATACCGAATTGAAATCTTCTGCGAGAGCTTGTCGGAGTCAAAAAAAAAGAAGAAAAAACCCTTTCTTGGTGTTTTGATGAACCTTATTAATGAAAAACAAGTTAGTTCACATAAAAAATTTTGTTCTCTATTTCTTTTCAAAATACTTTCAAAGTTACAAGCTTCTACGGAAGCTCTTCCAGAATTTCCTTGTTTTGGAGCGCAAAGACAGGATTTGTTGAGGCGGAGACGGGTTCACACGCTCTGCGACTTCTCACCATCGGTCTCACGGTCATCCTGTTGCTTCTGCTAGTCGTCTACCACATCGTCGACATCCGCGTTTGCTTCCCCACGTCTTCCAGGACGTAGAAGACTCTTGCAGATCCACCTCGTCGAGACGGGAAACCTCGGATGGCGCGTCGGCATCACCAAGGAACGAGTGGCTCGAGTTCTCATCGAACTCGCCGTCTGCTCCGTCTGCCCTCTGCCAGGTGCCGTTCTTCTCGTTGCAAGCGACCAATCCGATTCATTCAACCGTTGGCCAATGCTGGGAAACTCTCAGAAGGCAGTATTTCTTCATAAAAAATATTTATGTTGCCAATGACCGTGAGTGACATAAGTGGGCGAGCGCAAAAATGGCCAAAATAAAACTTGTGCAAAAGAAGCATTTTGAGTACAGGGAAGTTGACCATTTTAAAGCACTTTGAACAATTGGAGCTGATCAAAAGAGAAATTGTCACTGCTTCCTTTCTTCTGCTTTTGTAACCAGAGATGATCATCAAAAAAATCTGAAAACTCATAAAAAATTTCGATTCATGAAACATAAAACTTGAAGTCAGTCTGCTCTTACATGCAAAGTATGGAACGGGAGTCGTGCAGAAGTTTTTCTTTTTGATTTGGAACGTTGTGGAAATAGGTTGAAAGTTCTGACAATAAAGCGATTTGCTCCGCCGACATCAAAATCTTAAAAATGGAAGTCATTCAACTTTTTCGATTGGAATATTCAGAAAGTTTGTCAAAATAATTTTTGAAGGTCTAGATGAAGATCCATTATGGTCCCAACATTTGCAAAACTCTATTTTTGAAGATATTCTTTTTGAAATTCGAAAATTATCCTAGTTTTGTCTTGAACGTGAACTTTAAAACTTTGATAACTCCAAAACTAGAACTTTGCGCAGGTAACTATGAAGAAACTTTATTCAGACCTCCGAAAAGTATTTGAGCAAACTTCAAAAATAACCCAGACCGCAATTTAAATTGACCTACCTAGTGAGCTCGACCACAGATCAAGTGCTTTTTAATTTGTAATATAAAGCGCGACCGCAATACATCAAGTTATTCTGAATTCGACCAGAAGATTTATATAAGTGTGAAATGAAGTCTTCGCGCTCAAAACGGCAGACCAAGAAAAGAAAAAAGTTCAGAAACGGGGGTAATTCGGTGGCCGCAACTGTCGAACGTGCCGGAGAAGACACGAACCTTGGTGCCGATCCCCGTCAACGTCCTTTTCACCATTCCGATGTTCCTGCGACTCTACATCGGATGTCGCTATGTTGTGTTACACAGCTCCCAATATCAGGTACTGTTCTGAAATGTTTGTGAACTTGTATATAAACATCAGGTTTAAACGTGTGCCAAAATAGTGAAAAACTGTGGTAGCATAGGCAAAGTCGGAAGGACCCTCCGAGGGTCCATAAAGGACCATAGAAATGTTCCTTTTAAGGTGATGAAGGCTCTCTTTTTGCTGCCTTTTTGCTCCATTTTCTCAGCCCTTATGCACCATTTTTGCTGCCTCTCCCTTTTTCCACCATTTCTCGAGCCTTTAAAATCCCACAAAAATGGAAGGCTGGATAAAGGGAGTCTCTTTGCTGCCTTTCGCTGCCTTTTTGCTGCCTTTCGCTGCCTTATTGCTACCTTTCTGCGGCCTTTTTTGAGCCTCTCCCTTTTATCGGCCATTATCCACCATTCCGACTTTGCCCGAGTAGGATGTACCGGAGCTTTTGTATAATATAGAGACACTGCAGGTTTCAACTTAAATACTAAGGTTTGAATAAAGAATCTTCAAAATTGATCCTCACCAATAGAAAAATTGTGATGTAAATATATTGATGCGATTAAAATTCCTTATTAAAGCTCTAAAATTATACGAGATCAAAAATCTTTATTTTCCTACTCATCATTTGGAGAAAATTTCTTGATGATTCCGTAATCGATGACGTCGCGATAAAAAGTTTGATTAGAATATGATAAAAATGAGATTATGATGTTGTGAAAAATTTCATCAATCTTGAATCTATGAACAAAAAACTAGAAATATTTCAATAATCTTAGTAATTTGCAAAGATAGATTGCTCAACTACCTAAGAATGATCAGAAAAATCCGAATATGAGCATGAATTCTGCCTTTTTTCTATGGAAGATTGACCCTTATTGCTCTGAAAAAGTCTAAAAAAGAGAAGTAGTGTGAATTTGCAGGACTGCGCGACGAGGACTATCGCCTCCCTGAATCACATCGCGGTGGATCTTCGGTTCGTCGTCAAGAGCGAGATGTACAGGAGGCCGCTGTACATGCTGACGTTGGCGTCGGTCTCGTTCTGGTGCGTCATGTCCTGGATGCTCACGCAATGCGAACGGTGAGACGCAAGGAAATGTGAAATTCAATCCACAGCAATAACTTTTTTTTCAAGTTTTTATAGGGGAAAACTCAGAAAGTTTTTTGCTGAAACTTTTGAAATGACTAATCAGCAGAAGTTTATCCGTCATTGAGTTAAGAAAATATTTACAACATTAGTGAAACAGTTGGCGAAAATAAGATTTTCAAAATCCCTTATTGGCACCGCTTTCCTTTTCCTTTTCATTTTGGAGTTTAGGGAGTAAATGGTGGATTAAATCAAAAAAAGTTTTTCTTTTACGTTCTTAGAAAACCTCAAAAATCAAAAAAAGATAAAAAATTTTTTTGAACTAGAAGTTTGATTGAAAAAAGTCGATTCAATCTCATCGTGCTCAATTTATCAGAGCGTTCTTCCAAAATATCTTGCAACATCCTATTATCCTTCAAATTTTCGAAAATAAAGGTTTTTCTTAGGAAATGAGTTTTCAGATACGCATTCCCCACGATATCCGGCTTCCAACACTTTGCGGACTACCTTTGGTTCGAAATCATTGTAAGAGCTGCACAGAAAAGTCCCTCAACAAACCTTGTTCAAGACGTTTTTCTCCATCGGCTACGGCGACGTCCAGGTGCAGACGTACTGTGGAAGGGCCCTCGCGATGCTGACGGCCGTCGTCGTGAGTCTCTAGGGGATCCCATAGACTGACACCTCAAAAAATATTCGTGGAAAACAAAGTTGAATTATATTCTTTGGCCAGACCATGTCTAAAAGTTTTATCAACAGTCTAAAGCATGGAAAGAGCTTCAGGGAACTCTGTTTTCCTCGACGCTAATCGCTTTGATGAGCCGCAAGTTGATATTGAGCAGCAGCGAGAGGAGAGTCAACCACGTGATAGCCGAGAACTTTTTCACCAAAGAGTTAGTCTCTGGCAGAGAAAGCAAAAATAGATATCCTTTGAATCGCAGACATAAGCACGCTGCAGCTCGGGTACTGCAGAACACGTGGCGAGCAGTTCTGAGGAGTCGCGAATGCGCCAAAGCCAAGCCCAACTCCCGGCCCAATCTCAAGCTAGCCAGTGCTCAGCGTGCCCTTTTAGCTTCAGTCAACTCGTTGGTCGCAGTAGTATCACCTTTTACTCGGTTCCTTTTCTAGATTCCGTAAAAGCCGGTGGCGTCTGAGAATGCAGATGGAGGACGAAGATGACTTTTTCACGGCTAGAAGGGTAAGACAATAATAATAATTATTTAAAATATGCAAAAATTACATTTTACTTAAATGTTCGAAGAAAAGAGCTACTTTTAGGCATTCACAGAAACCGAAGAGCGCTTACAAAAAGTGCGACTGAGACAATCGCAGCTCGACGGAAAACTCTCCAAATTATTCGAGAATGTTGAGGCTCTCACACGAACCGTCGTCCTTCCAAAGTACTACTAATAGAACACAATTTCGCATCAATAAAAACAGTTTGCTAGATAACTTCTTCATTTTTTGAAAAAAGGGCGAGATTCCACCCTAACGCCATTTTTGTTGTTTCCCCCGGTTTAATTGTCAATCAAACTCATATTTTCAAAATTCTTTTTTGAATGTAAAAAAATTTATAAAATATTTATCTATCATTGTTTTTTGTGATGCACGGCAAAAAAAAATAATGAAAACTAAATACCTGGATAACCACACGTAAAAATTATAAATAAAAATAACTAACTTCTATTTTTTTACATTCAGTAGAGAAAAACTTTCTTGCAAAGAAAGTATCCACAATAAACATAAGAACCTCATACATTTCAGGGTTGCACGGAATTCCGTTATATACCCGTCTTCCATTTACCCGTCTTCCGCATAAATTTCTCTTCCTTAACCCGTGTTCCGTCTTCCTTAAATCATATTTTTGTTCCGTAACCCGTGTTCCATCTTCCTTGAAAAAATTGTGTTCTTCAGCTCCTAATTTAAACATTTTTTGATAGAAAAATGCACGTTTTCGGTGTCGTGAGTGATATGGTAATGAAGATCATTCCGTTCACATATCGACTGTAGAAGGGTCAACTATTCTCTCAACTCTAATATCAAAGTATCTCTGCTTCAATCGAAATTCAACATGTTAGAGAGACTCTTCTCTGTGTCGGGGTTGACAGCCTGGGCCTTGCGAAAGAGGCTTGAAGCTCCTCGATACTTTGAATTACACTAAAGTTTAGTCAAAGGTTACGAAAGTTCATTATGATTTCAATTGGCTACGAAATTCAAATTTCACTGGTTATTTTTTGTTTGAAAAAATTTCACGTTACTCTTTAAACATTTTTTTAGTGAATTGCTTCTGATAGTCATGGTTTAATCCCCCAGGGTATTTCGCTTATTCATAAATTAAAAAAAATTTTTTATGCAAACCTCTTTCCTTCTCCCTAAAACTTCTCTGATCCGTAACCCGTGTTCCGTCTTCCTCAAAAATTTTTTTTGTTCCCCAACCCGTGTTGCGTCTTCCTTGAAAAAAGTTTTATTCCTTAATCCGTGTTCCGTCTTCCTTAAAAAAATTTTTTGTTCCGTAACCCGTCTTCCTTCTTCCTTTTTTAAATTTTTTACTTCCGCGCAACCCTGATACATTTGCGTAATACAGAACAAAAAAAAAATAGTTTGTAACAAATTGAGTCAAAAAAAAAAACAAGAATAATAATAGAGAGATTCGATATGCTCAAACACACATGACTTAAAGATATGACTTTGAAAAAAGGGGGAAAGTTGTAACAAAGTTCTGGAGCAATTAAGATTGAAATATTATGTTGCCAAAATAAAGATGAGCAGAAGCGCCAATGCCCAAAATAACGAACGGAAGAAACGCAGAGTCGCGGGCCTGCTTTCGTAAACCTCATTCTCGGAAATCCAAAAGCTTTCACAATTGAAAGAATTTTTTTTCTGCCAGATCTGCCCTCTCTATCTTTCAAAAAAATTTACAGGAAGAAATAACTTCAGGTTTTTCACTTATGATCACTTTTTGATTTTCTACGACTAGGGTTTCCAAAATCGTATCGACACTGCCATAGAACTTTTGTTTTCAAAATCGTGAGCAGTACCTCAACGACGTGGCGTTTCTCTCGTTCCAAATTCTTTTGTTGAGCAGACACGCGATTTGTACAAATACTACCGTAGATAGGCGACTAGAAAGAAAGTTATAAATTTTAAATGTAGAAAAGATAGGTCATTCCGCGCCAGCTTGTCACGATTTCCAGTTTCTTCAGAGCTACAGAAGCCCTTCCAGCGCTTCGTTTCGATGCTCTCGATGTGCACCCCTGCGTGCGCCTTCAATAAAACTCATTATTTCCGAACTTTGGAATTTCCTTGTTCTACAAAAAAAAGTTGTAACATAAAAAGTTCTATCAAACTAAGCCAAAAATTATATGCAAAAAAAGCTCGAACAGTCGGTATCATTAATAACAATTAAAAAATATAGCCTGTGTACCACGACTTGGAATTTCACGGAAAGACATTCCGCTGTGCGTCTATGCAAACCTTTGTCGCGTTTTAAATTTTTTTTTTTCTTTTATTGAGGTACTCTACTTTCATGTGCTCCCACAGCCAACTAGTTGAAATCGTGACCTTGATTCCTTGATTCGAAAGACGATTCGCGAACACACGCAGCGGAACAGCGGAATGTCGTTCCGTGAAATTTCAAGTCGTGGCACGCAGACTATAGTAATTTAATATTTTTGATCCTTTTTATAAATCCCGCATGGAATCTGAACACCGAGAGCATCGAAGCGAGGCGCCGAAAAGGGTTCTTCAGCCCCGAGGAAACTGAAAATCGTGAAAACTGGCGCGGAACGACCTATAGTTGCTCTCGTAAGCCATTTAGAGCAGAACCCGTATACTTCGAAAGTTTGATGAATTTGTTTGAAAAAATAAACGGATAAATTTTGAATGAATGCAGCGAGATCAAGTGAACCATCGGCGCTAATCGAGAATCACGACGAACAAGCGCCACTCTTTCCCAGCGCTTCAGTAAATCTCAGAATGTTATCAAACCCATGTGAAACATTCATAGAAAGGTGACAGAGAAGGCAAAATCATGAAACGATGCTCCACTGTGTGGCATTGACCTTCAGCTCCTCCACCTCTTGGATCACGCTCCAGTTGTCGGCGCAGCCGCGGATCGCGAACAGAGATTCCTCGGTGGAGTGCATCGTGAAGTATTTGCGATCCTTGTTCATCGACGGCTCTTCTCGCCATGTGTTCGTCATCGGGTCGAAGCTGCGCACCGTCTTCAGTGTGTTGCTCGAGTTGCTGAATTGTTTTCGTCAAACAAAGCGAAAGTAGCAAACCGCGGCAATTCTTGTTCCCTTCAAACTCTTACAAAATTAACTGAAATTTCACATTTTTTCAGCCTTAAAAACTTTGAACGTTGTTTTATCATTATTTTAAAATAGTTCAAAGGGATTAAAAAGCCAAAAAAAAACAATAAATTAAGTCGATGTGTATCCGAAGAATCCCTAAACAAAAAAAAAATATTTTAGATGAAACAAAACATACTTTCAATCGACATTCAAAAATTTCCTGTTATCAACTATTAAAAAATTGTATCGCTGTATTTCGTGAAATGGAATTCTTCTTCTTGACTCTTTCTTTCTTTGTTTCTAATGAAATCTTGAGCTGATACAAAATAGCGCAACTTTCGCTCGGACATTTTTTTCCTCAGAAATTCCATAAAAGGGAAAAACTAACCTCCATCCTCCTGCAATGTAAATTCTTTTTCTGAAAACGCACGCTGAAAAACCGGCCCTACTTCCTTGCATTTCTGCGACCTGAAAAATAAAATAATCTGGATGGGGAAGAAAGATGAAACCCACAATTTCCCATTTTCTGCTTTCAAAGTTCAGTTTCTCGATTTTATCTTCATACTCTTTACCATTGTAGCCTCCAATAACTGCAAGAATTCGATTCAAAAAGTTGGAATTTCAGGAAAAAAAAAGAAATAAGTTCAGAGTATTCACCGAAAAGGTCTCCGGTATAGGAAATAACAAAGCAATCGGCACGGCAGCGATTCAACGGAGGACCTTCGCTCCACTTGTCTTCGTCCGGATCGTAAATCTACAAATTTTCGCTATACAGCGCACATTCCTTGAACTTCCTCTCAATGCACTGATGTACGTTTTAAATGGAAATTTGGAATAACCGTGCTTGCCTACAAATTTTCGATGAGATTTCGAAAACTCTTATGAGACAAACGTACGGAGAAAACTTTCACAAAAAACGCCAAGAAAAAAAAAATTTAAAAAAGCCACGCACTCACTATGAATCTGTCAAAATGAAAAAGGGAGAGCAGAAGTTCTCGTAATAGTTTTTGAAAAGAGACATTTTGGTCCTAACTTTCGGACGTAACTGACATTGGAAAAAATTCTAAAATATTCATTTCAAGTTCAAAAATTCGAGAATTTTGATAATTTATACGGTACTTATGAAACGCTCGTTGAATCTACAGAAGGAGCGCTAAAAGTAAGCGCGATTTAATTTTTCGGTGGCTCGAAGTTTTAGTCGTAAATTTTTCAAGCTGATAAACTAAAAAAAAAATCCCATGATTTTTTTTTCTAACATCTGTTTTCATTCCCTTTCTCATACTTTTCTTTCATTTGGTGCGAATTCTATTCAAAATAGAAGGAATTCTCTTACTGTCAAATAACTTTCACAAGACCCTAAGAATCAGAAGCGAACTATCAGTATTATGAAAAAAACGATAAGAACCGACTTCGACAGAAGACATGTAAGAGCCGTCGTAGCCGCCACAAACGAACATTTTGCCGTTGAAAAAGCCGGCAGAGGTCCTCGTCCGGCCGTGTCTCAGCTTCGGCCCCTGAAACGACTACGAATGAGAGATGTCCCTCCGGATTACCGACATCTCTCCGCAAATTCTTCTCCTTGTTGTAAATTTCCAATGCGTCTAGCCAAGCTCCGTTGTACATGCCGCCAGCAATGTAGATCTGTTAAAAGTTGTTAGTTTAGCTTTAAAAGGTTCCAGAGAGAAAATAGTGATAGAAAAAGAACAAAATTTTCATTTTTTTAACTGAAAAAAAAATCCTTGTTGGATTAAAATGCCCTTTTTTTCCGATGTTCGAAGGAAATTTTATTTTTAACAAAAAGTAGGGAGGAAATTGCTGTAATTTTCAAATTCATCACTTGAAAAAAAAAATCTGCTCAGTGAAAAAAAAGATTTGACAACGGGGGAAAAATTCGAATATCATATGAAATTAGGTGAAAAAAAGGCGTTTCGTCACAATCATGATGCAAACTTGTGAAATTTAGTTTCGAAATTCTTGAATTTCGAAAAAAAAAGTCGAATTTCAAGGAAATGAAAAGAAAAATTGAGAAGTTTTCAGAATCATCAAATCAACTGAGTATAAAACAGAAACGGAAAATCCTACCTTGTTCTGATGAAAAGCAACCGCATAATTTGACTTTTTATTCGGCATTTTTCCAATCGAAGTCCACTTTTTAGTGGAAGGATCGAACTTTCCAATTAACAAAACTTCTGTGACACTTTGTTTTCGATCTTGAAAAATAACTATTTAAATATACAGAAAAAAATTTAAAAAAAACCTGCAATGAGAATGGGTCCCGAAGGCTGAATTTCGATCTGTGAAATAAATTGAATCGAGATAGAAGTTTTTTTCATTTAAATAATACCGGTGTTCTGATGTAAGCCTTCTTCAGCCGGCTGACGTCTTTTTTTTGCATGTGAATCCTTTCAGAAATTTTCTGAATTTGGACGAGAAATTAAATATAAAGAAAAAGGAAGAAAACCCTTATTTTGTTGAAAATTTCTTCAGCCGGCCCCATCGCGTTTTCCAGTTCACTTCTCGTTATTTTCAAATTTTCTACGTGTGTTACTAACTCATCAGGTGACAATTTGAAGCCTTCGTCAACATACGCATTGAAAGACTGGAACCAAATATTATGAAAGAAAATCTTCAATAAACTTACATCCATAAGGCCTTCTAAATCGCTAGCACAACGATTTTGGAAATCAATAAGGTTGGCATTCATCTCCTTCTGAAGCTTCCGCGTTTCCAGTTTCGTCAACTCGCCTTCGATACCTTGCTGAAGAAATTGATTTATTTCAATTTGACGCTGTTACTACTTTTAATGTGCTCAGAAGCTTGTGGTTCCTATGATCCTTGTGGAAGCCGTCCAAAGCACAGTCGCCACAAATTGCGACCCTCAATGCCTGAAAAATCGCGAATATTTATCCAAGATTAACACAATAATGAGAAGGAGATTATTATTCACCTCTTCGAAAGGACGATCGACAAATTCGCTTTTCGAAATGTCCAAAGCGTAGGAACCATCATTATTTTTTCTCACAATACTTTCTCTTTTCAGCACACGGAATACAAATTCGCAGTTTCTTGGCATGTGAACCACATTCAGAGCAAATCTCATCCGCTCTCTAAAAATATCATTACCTCAGATATAAAGGGCTTGAAGATGAAAAAAAAACGTGCAACAAGCACAGAAAATCCATAACCTGCGGTACCCTTGCCATCCCATAATCGATTTTCATCAGATCTGTAAAAACCAAATCCGAATGAGAAAATGAACCGAAAAACTGAAAAAAAATCTGAAAAACGTACCCAATACTTGCCAATTTATCGTAGTTAAGGCAAAAGCTTCTTCTCGTTGACATTGCGGACATTTTGAGCTTCTAGAAAAAAAATTTTCACAACTTTACTTCGAAAATTATTTTAACTTACGTCATACGATGTTTGCATTGCTCACAAATCGAATGCCCACAAGTTCCTATACACGGTCTTTTTTCTCTTCGATCTGAATTCGAGAAATTCTTAATCGAAAAATCAAGAAAAATCTTAAACTTACTGTAGCCTTCCAAACAAATTATACATTCAAGTGACGACATCGACTTCCATAAATGATCGAGGCCTAAGACCCTACCCCTTAAAAAATTAAATTATAATAGAAAAAATCGATAATTTTAATATTTAAACGGCCATGAAATGACGACACACAAGAAAAAAAAATTTAGCCTTTGAAAAAAAAAATCGCGTAAGATGTATTGCTTTCGGTTCACTTACACTGTGACTCAATTTTTCATTCTTAAAACAGAAAAAAAAAAGTTTGAATGAGTCTTCAGCAAGGAAAAAAATAATTCCGACACGAAAAAAAGTCATAGACTCGGATCGAAGTTGAATGCAAAAGTAAAAAAAAAAATAATCTGCTAATAATACGAATCGATATAAGATCTACTGACGCACTAAACTTACAACATTCTGATTTTTTTGAATAAGTTGGAGACGTAAGTGAAAAACAGTTAAAGATTTTGTAGGGGCTGCAAGAATACAGATATATGATATTTGAATTTAATATTGATCCACCAACAGTTTGTTGCAATCGTGATATGATGAAAAGCCCAGTCTAAACTAACAAAGGAAAGGTCTCTTCACGCCGAAACTTTTCATGAAATATCTTTACGACCTTTTAAAAATTCGACGAGCTGTTAATGAATGAACTAAAAAGAAATAAACATAGATCAATAAATAAGAAATGTTCGAGGCTTGCTCATATTATAATGTGTGGCGAAAGAGACGGAGACCCAGACAAACAGAATGTCTAGACAGGGGAGATGTCTCGAATAACTTTCTCCCTTCTTTTCCAGTGATTAACTGTCAAAGGAAAAATAACGTGATTATGGTACAATTGGAAGATTTCGAAAATAAATAATTTTATATAAGACGATCAATGATAAACGGTTTTTTTTTTGGAAAAAAAAAACAGAAAACGGCGAATAAGTCTTGAATTTTGAAACCAAAAAAGGTAAGAGTTATTTCGAAAATAAATTTCAATTCACAGTTCGTGGTTTTGAAATGTCACGTGAATTAACGACGTCACTAATATTTATCTACACGCGATGACCTGACGGGTATTTCCGTCCGTCTCCTGCTCAATCGATTTTTACAAATAATAACGGCCGGGTTTGGCCAAAAACGATTTTTCCAGGGAGCATATTGAAAGTCCGATCAAAGGTAACACAAAAAGAGAGTGAATTTAAAAATAAAATTGTTCAGGGTTTTTCATATACAATAACAATCTCATTCTTTTAAAGCGATCCAAGTTCGGGAAAAGTTTTTCCAACTATTGCAAAAACATAAATAAAAATAACAAAGAAAATTGAAGGAAATTAAAAGAAGTTTGAAAAAGTTTGAATCTCATTATTATTTTTAAGTTTCTTGTAAAGTCAGAATTGTGGATAATGACCACGAAAAAGAAGAGACTTAACAAAGACCGCAGAAATGCAGCAAAAACTTTTTGCCAAAAAGAGCCCCTTTATCGAGCCTTTCACTTCAATAATTTTAAAGGATTGAGAAATGGTGGAAAAGGGGAGAAAGCAGCAATAATGGTGCAAAAGATGCGATGGAATGGGGTAAAAAGGCTGTTAAAAAAAAGAACCTTTGTCACCCTAAAAGGAAAACTTCTCTGGAACCTTTTTTGACTATTCCGACTTGACCTGTATCAAGTACAGGCATAAGAAAAGTTCTACTTTCCGAAAGCTTATAAGAGAGCAAACTGAGAAATAAAAAGAACCGCATCAGCAAGTATCATGAGCAAGAGCATCACATGTTTGAGGACAAGGAGTTTTACGAAATTCGCACGCACATGAAGTTTTGAAATATTGTAATTGTTAAACTATGATAATCAGAAATCAAAGTATGAGAAAGAAATTGAAAAAAAAACCACAGCTTTTCCAAAATCTATTCTGAAAAGTTCCACAAAGGTGAATCGGGAGGTTGATACAAATAGCTACCGGGTAGCAACTTTTGAAAAAGTCAATCGGCGTGTGGTAATCGGTGGTCGTTTGTATGCGACCGGGTACTATCTCTATGGTACCTGGGCCGGAGGTCGATGCAAGTAGCTACCAGGTAGCTACCAAGTTTTCGAGGTTTTCTCCACTCAACATAACGGACTATATCGCAGCGGGCTGCAGGTGATATAGCCAAGTTTTTTTGCTGTGACCTCGTCAAAGTTTCGTTTTTTTTTTTCAAAAAATTAGGGTTTAAAAAAAATTCTGCTTTTTTTTTATATTGCTTGCGGTATAGCTTTACCCTCATAGTCCATAATATTAGGTTTAATAAAATGCAGAAAGAGTTATTACAAGTTTTAAAAGGACTTGCGGCCTGATTTTTTGCTACAGTTATTAATTTTTGGCGCGTTAGGAAAACCTCTGTAACTCGGCTCAAACTCAACTTTTTCAAAAACTCATGTGGCTCGTTTTTTTGAACGTACTGTTTATCTGATGGTATGAAACTTGAGACTGGAAAAAGTTTCTAGGAATCCGTCGAGTCCGCTGTTTATGCATGGCTCCTTCATCTTTTTTTTTCTGTCTTGGACAATAATGAGGGAGCGTAGGTAGCTTCCAACTCTATTTAATTTCATAAATGACTTGAAAGGAGCAGACTCGACGGAGCTTAAACGGACATCTCTACCTTTTGTCTCCTTCTGATCAACATCAAAGAAGCCGTCGACAGATTCGCTTGTAACCCGAAAAAGGCAAGTGAATCGCAGAAAAGACGATGCCACCCACTCGACCGGTATCGATCATCAGCCACTCGAAATGCTATTTCGCTATCATCTTCTTCGTCTTCTCCTTGCCCCCGTTATTTATGTGCTTTGCGAATGTAAGCGTTCTTCTGTCGCTACTGTCTCCAGCGTTCGCTTTCAGCAACCAGCGACGATGCGTTCGCCGTCCAAGTCGAAGAGGTTCGGAATGATGCAGTCAGCATTCGCTGGGACCTGCCTGCAGAAGTCGCGACTCGCGTCACCAAACAGCGGCTCGTGGTCGCCGTTGTGCGAAGTGGGTCGAACATCTTTCCTCACCATTTCCATTTTGTCCGTTAATCAACAAACGAAATCAGTCACTGAAGCGAAGTCATCCATTTTCTCATAGATTTCACGTGGCTAGACGGTAAAAACAAAACACAAAAACGTTTCAATTTCTAGCAAATTACTTTAGGAGAAAAACTCCTATATGCATTTCTCAGTTATCAATTTCAAGACTGATTGTGTTTTATTTGCGAAAAACGTTAGATTTGAAATTATTATATAGAAAAAAAACTTTCTATAATTAATTAATCGATTTTAACAAAATTATCAGAAATTTTATCAGATTCGAAAGTTCTATCACAAAAAGGCAGTGTTTTTTGACTGTCTTTTTTAGATACTGACTCAAAGTTTGAGATTTTTTGAAAAGATTTTTCGACCCAAAGCTTCGCACCCACTCAACAGAACACAACTCAAAATCAAACAAAGTGGGAGAGTTCAGGCTCTCAACAAGCCGGACGCACATCGATGACGGTCAACGTCGGCGCCGACCTCAGAACTTATATCTTTACCAAACTGTCTGGAAACACAACATATCGTACTTCTGTTGAAGCTTTCATGGTTTTTCATTCGCCTTCCATCTTAAGCCCTTATTTTGACTACAGAACGAGACAAGCATTTGGTACGCGAGTAACATGGCCACAACCAGCCTCGCCGGTTTTTGCACCTTTTGAAATTATTCGAAGTTCTTATCTTCCAGCCCTCAATTGGCTTCCCGCTCCGGGCGAGTTGACGTTGCTGGATAGAAAAAAAGATTCTTTCGAAATATCCTGGATTCCTCCAGTCGTTCTTGAAACTGGACATCATCTTGTGATTACCCAACATCTTGTGAGTTACTGTCTTTTAAATCAAGGCTTTCTCCATCTCAGGTCAACGTCTTCGAGTTTTTTGACGGTCAGCTGTCCAAGAAACACTCCTTGACAGTTCCCGTGCCGATGTCGAGGCTTCTGATTGAAAGGCTCAAACCGGCGACCGCGTACAATGTTACGGTCCAAGTGAGTTCTACCTTTTCGAGTTCTTCTGACGAAATGAGGGTTTCCGGCTGGAACGAGCTACGGCTACGGCAATACCGTGTGGAGCATGTACTCAACGATAGATGAGGACGGAGGTCACGTCCTGAAACTCCGCTCCAGAACTCCCAATTCGCTGACGCTCTATTGGCCGGCCAACTGGATTTCCAAGAGCTCGTCCAAGTTCACAGTTGGTTTCCTTCCTTTTTTCTAGTCGCAACGCCTTCAGATTCGCGCAAAGACCTTACACTCTCCCACTGGCGTGGCTAAGGAGATAGAGAATTCGGGAATGACTGAAACTGGAAAACCAAATGAATTCGTCGTCGACAACTTGCTACCTTCATCTACTTATAATATATCGATAACGACTCCGGATGAAGAGGTAGAAATAATCCTGTAGAGGTCGAGGCTTTTTCCTAGTCAGAGAACTTTTCTGTGTATTCAGACGTCAACAGGTGCGCCTCGACAAACATCATTCCAAGTAGAAAACATCTTTATTGTTCACTATTATCATGTTTGAGGAAAATAGTTTTCACGCAGTTCGAGATGAAGAAAGAAAAGTGGAGGAGAGGAAAGAATTTTGAATCTTAAAAATAGTTCTGAAAATAAGCTGAAACCCTTTTTATTCATTTGTTGAAGGAACTGAATTTTTTTACTACGTTTTTTTAGGTTGATCTTTTTTTAAAAGATTACTTCACGGGCTATTGTGAGAAAAAAATTGAACTCAAAAGATTTTTTTAAAAAAAGTTAAACTTTTTGTAGGTTGTGTACTTCCTGAATTCTTTCAACAGATACCAAAGTTTTTGACTAAAGGATTAAAAAAAATCTGAAGTTCTGAGTTAAAATTCATCTCTTGCAAGAAATTTTTTCACAGAAGTCGGACAGACGGTGGACTAGCATGAAGTGGAAGACTGCTTGGGCGGTTTACTCAACAATGACGCAAGTTTGACATTATCAGTAACTGAAGAACTTGAATTTTCATCAAATTTTTCAAGACGATAATTCATTAAATTAGCTAATCCTAGAAAAACTCAGTGAAGAAAAAAGACATACTTGAGGGTGAGTACGGAGTTCCCGAGGCGAGGATTGTCGTCGAAACTGACGTCGCCGTTTCAATCGTTTTCCAGCCATTGAAGCTCCAACGACACATCACCTATCAAGTCTGTGTAGCGGAAATTCCTTTTTTCACGAAAATTGAAAACAGATCAAATATACTCTACTGGAAAAAAACTCGACAAACGTGACGGACGAGCTAGGCGACGCTCAACTCGCGTGAGATATTGTTTTTAATCGATTCTTGATATTTATTAAATCAAAAAGCCGGGTTATAACTATTGAAACTTATTTCTTGGGCAAAACAAGAAAGATCCTCAAAAGTTTCTTTAAAAAGAAGTTTCTAAGGATCACCAACATGTTTTGCAATAGCTGGTTTTAATTTCACTTGTGTCTTTTTTGACTTCCTTCAATGCTGGAAAGCAAATAAAAAGTTTTAAGATAATCAAAAAAATAAGAATAAGCTTTAGAGGCTCTGAAAAAGGAATTTTTTCGTTTTGCCAATTTTTATTGAATAAAAGAAATTGAACAGGTGTCCGAAGTTTGGATGCGAGTGGAAATGTGCCTTGATTATCAATTTGCCACATCGTCCACGCGAATATCACTTTGAGGTAAGTCATGAAAAATTTTAATATTCGAAATTTTGAAAATTCAATTCAGTTTTCAGAAAAAAAAACTTTCTCCTGCGTCATGGAAAATTTAAAAGTAGTTTCTCGGTTCGCTAAACTGTCGTTGATCAAAAACGGTGCCTATTAAAATCACGCCCTTCTTATTTTATTAGTAGATGAATTATAAACATTCGGGTGACCACCTGCTTCTCCATGTAGGAATAGTACGGAGTTCAGCTTACCCATCTGAGAAAGACGTCGGATTATAGTCTGTTCAGATTTTTGATGTCAAGTAGAATGACGTCATTCAAAAATGCTCTGTGGATGGCTCGCTCTCTGATTGGTTTATCGCACCACTATGGGCGGAGCTTGAGTGACGACTGGACATTCAAAATCTGAACAGACTATAAGAGCGGAAATAAAGTCTGACCATTCGAAAGAAGAAATGAGAGAATAAAAAATAAGGACACATCTGTTCAGCCCGTCCGGTCTGGCACACGGTAGGTTGAAATTGTGCATACACCCATGGCGGTTTTTGGGTGATATCTTCGTAATTAACGAGCTTTTTGTACGAAAAAATAAACAAATTTGAAGAAAAACACATATAAAAATTCAAAGATACAAATTTAGTTTTCATAATCAGGTTTTTGCGAACGATGGCAAGCCTTGAAAAAATGCTTAAATTGGGAAATCTTTAGTAAGTGAAAAGTCTTTTTTTAATGTAATTTTTTATCTATTAAAATCGGAAATTGCCTTTCAATACAAAAAATGATCAAAACTGGTCTAGTATGGCTAGCGGAGACGGCGCAGTGCAAACCGGACGAGTCCCTGTAGCTCTGAACAATTCTTGTAAACGATGAAGAAAAAAAATCACAACTATGCCCTGCACTGAAATGAAAAAAAGATTAATGGTGTAAAAGGAAGTCCCAAAATATGAAAAAATTCCTAGAAACTTGTGTTCTGCGACTTTAAAGTTGTCTGTACGAAAGACTCACTGAATGAGAAAAATATAGGAAAATTAATTTTCTACCCTCATTGATTAAAAAAAAATGCTGTTAGAATAGGCGCATTCAAAAAAAAAAGAAATTCAAATGATCGAAAACAATGAAAACACATTGAAACAGGAATCATGTACTGTAATTAAAGAAGCAAACAAATGAAATCAATGGACATTGACGCACGCTTTTTCTCTCATGAACAGACACAAACATGAGCGAGTCTGCTGAATTTTGTTAGTATGAGCAAGCGGTGCGATAATTTTCTGCTTTAGAACTCTAGAGTCTCTCTTTCTCTCTTTCTCTGAACTGGAGAGGCGCGCCCGAATTTTCGGTTGCTATTTCTTCAATCTTTGATTGCGAAAAAACGACGAAATAGCAGAAGGCAGAAAAATAAGAATTTTCATAATTGATTTTGACCTCAGACATTGAAATTGAGCTATTAAAATTCTTCACCCATACCATATATTTTTAGACGCCATTATAGATAGCACTCCCAAAAGTCTCCTCTTGGCGCATTCCGCGTGCGTGCGCGCGCCAATTCAAATTTCGTCTCTTGGACTAGATTTACAGGCTTCCAGTATATGGTTCTTTTTGTATAATTTTTCTTACTTATTCATTTCCAGTTTTTTTATTTTATTTAATATTGACTCATTTAGGGAATCTAACTTTATTTAAGAAAGTTTTTTTCTTGTTTTAGCGCCAATTCAAATTTTCGCCTTCACTCACTTGCACAGGCAAATGGGGAAGGTACCATAATGTGCCCACAAATATACCTCTTAAAAAGAATCTTGAATATTCCATAATATGTCCATCGTGAGACGTCGAGCATAAATTTTAGCTCTAGCTGACCAGGGAATGGTGTCTAGTCGCAGTTGGATTTCAGAATGAGACCCAGTCCACTAAATGAAGTTTTTTTCATGCTGTTTCCAAATCTGTTCTCAAAAAAATGCCGCGGAGGTCCGTGAAAAAAAGTTTTTTTGGAAAAGTTTTTTTGAGCGGAGATACGATTTTTTTCAAAGCTCCTCGCATGATAAGGAAATTTGCTGCTGAAAAATTCATTCTTCGTTTCTCATGAGCGAATAGAGAACAACGTGTACAGCTTATACAAATTTCAAAGGAAGTCTGAAAAACAGAATGAATAAAAAAATTAGAAAACCGAAATGACTAAAAAAATAATAATAATAAAAAAACCTGGGAAGCATTTCCAGGCTACTCGGTAGCAATCAAAAAAATTTCAGGTACTCTGCCCGTATATCCAGTTATCATAGATATGATACCCGTGTAAAATTAATTGGAAGTTTTTTTATGCAAGAAAAAAATTATTCAAAAAAACCATATACTGGAAGCCTGTAAATCTAGTTCAAGAGACGAAATTTGAATTGGCGCGCGCACGCACGCGGAATGCGCCAAGAGGAGACTTTTGGGAGTGCTATCTATAATGGCGTCTTATATTTTTACTAGCATTCCGCGCTAGCTTGTCACGTTTTTCTTTCCGCCAAAAGGCCAGGTCAAATTTAACCAACTTTCGCTTCAAGACATTTGTTTCTTGCCGTTATGAAAGCAGACATTTGATCTAATTTGGTATACGGTCTTTTTGGCGGGAAGAAAAACGTGACAAGCTGGCGCGAAATAGACTATAACGAAGAACCAAGAAAGAATGCCATGAAGAAAAATTCTCAAAAGTTTCGTCAGAAAGGACTTACACAACTCTATAAAACCTTTCGTGAAATCTCATAAAGAGTTTTCCTAAACTACACAAAAAGTTATTAAAAAAACCGCATGATTATTTTTTTCCACAGAAACATAAATATTTTTTTTCAGATCAGAGCAAAAGTGGACGACGTTTGGAACAAATGGACCAAGGTTGTAGTGAGGTTGGACCGTTTCCTCATCAAAACTCAAGTCCTTCCGCCAGACAGTGGAATCTTCTGGAGCGCGTCTGCTCGATAAACCCTCCGACGGAGTTTGTCGACCACATCGGAGACGTTTCGCGACAACGCGACGTCGACATCGCTGGGACGCTGGCTAAGACGCCGGATGCCTGGCGGTACGTAGTCGTAGTCGACAGCAGGGCCCACGACTTCGCTGCAATCGACATTTCGAAACTGGCTGATCGCACGACTTCTGAAGCCGACAACGTGCCGTACTACATCACTGCATCTTTGACACCCGAACAGGCTTCTGCCATCAAGGATTTCAGGTAAGAATCTTCATTTTGGATCCTGGAATTCATCAAAGGAATTCTTCGTGGTTTCATCATGATTTGAGCTCATTTTTGAACTACAAAAGTTCTTTTTCGACGGATAAAAAAATGATGAACTTGAATGAAATCGAAAACCCTCCTCTTCCTCGTCAAAAATTTTTTTTTTCATAATTTTATGGTTTTGCAATAATTTTACCCTTCAACATTACTCTTATCACTTACTTCGTTTCTTGCTTTCTATCAAGAAAGCCTTTTTTTCCCATTTTATCCTCCAAATGCGAGCCAACCTCGAGTTTTTCAGAATTGGAGATGGAAGAGTGTACGGTGGATATTTGAACTATCCTCTGCGAGCTCAAACTGATCCCCGGTGGACGCTAATTCCCGTGACTCGGACTGAAAACGAAATTCTTGAGCCTCAGTTGAAGACTTGTGGGTTTGACGAAGAAGGTCGGTATTTTGACATCCATCCGGATAGACGTCTGATATCAGGATCGTTCAAGTGCGACATGCAGCTTTTGGAGCTCCTTTCTCACGTCCCGGTGCTCATCGTCACCGCCATTTTTCTGACTTTGGTCCTTCTGGCAATCGCGGTCCTTCTGGCACTCTATTGCTTTCTTCGCAATCTCTGTGCAGGTGAACTTCGTTTTTGAAAACACAAAATAGAAGCTTTACTTGTGTGCTGATCGACACAAATCTCATTCTAACTTCGCTTTTAGTTCAGATTTCATCAATACAGCGAGAAATCTAGTAAAGAAAATACTTTTTTTTTTAAAATTTTCACACACTACAGTTTCCTATCGAGTTGTCTTCGATCAATTTCAAAGCCGAAACTTTCCTTTGATAGCTAGTTTTTCTTTCAAAATTTGATTTCATCCCGAAATTTCAGACAGCGAGTTGGGGACAAAAGAGACGACGCTGATGTACTACCACTCGGATTCGCCAAACACCATAAGCAGAGAACACCGATTGGTAATTTCTGCTCTCTTTCATTCTTTTGAGCGCTCAGCCCGAAATAAAAAGGAAGAAAAACGAAACAAGTGTGCGTTGAGGTGGAAAGGCGAGAGTTCCACGCTTCGGACATGGAAGAACGAATGCGATTCATGGAGGTCGACGACTAGCCATTTCAACCCATTCTTTGCTTCGATTCTAACTCAAGAGATAGTCATATATATTTGTAACGAAAAATATTGGAAAGTGGACAGAGTCCAAACTGAATGAAATATGAGAGAAAAGTGAGCAAAATACGTGGGAGGAGAGGGAAAAGGACAACGGTAGAGTTAAAACCCGTGGAGGACACATTTCTTGAGCAGTTCACCGGCGGACGAAGCCTTGGTTCAGCGTCGGTCGCTCCGGCCCAAATTTACACCGTATTATCCGCATATAAGTGTGCCGGAACCTACAAAATGGTGGTAATCGAAAAAGCTTTTTCTCATCGAAAAAAAAAGCCGAAACCTTTAAATCTGATTTCTAGTGGCGCGTTCATCGGACAAAACAAAAATTGTTCCGAAACGCAGGAAAATTCATTCAAAACAAAAATCAGTACTGTTTTGGTGCACGATTGCTGCCCTAATGAACACGTTTCAGCGTTTTGAAACGTGTGGCTTTTTTTCCGATTAACACGTCATAGGCTCATTATTTGAAAGGTTTAAACCTTCTCTGAATATGAAAAACTTACACACAAAATTTTTTTCTCACGAGAATTCTGCTTTTTTTTTTTAATTTTCCGAAAATCAAATTTTTTGGTCCCTAAGAAAGTCTCCAATTGGAATAAAAAAAATGTTCGCTTTGGCGATTTCTATGAAGACTATCTAGCGCACCTGGCATTGCAAAGAGCGTAGCAGAGAGGGTTGATTGTGGAGTTGATGTAGCAGAGAAAGTAGCTGATCGTCCACAAAATGTTGGGCACCGTGTATGGGAAAAAAGCTTCCCAACAGACTATCACTGCAAAAAACTGTTTCATGCAAATATTGTTTGACAATTACGTTCTGTAAAAGATTTCAAGACGAATAAGTGAAAGAGAAAATTTAAAACTTCGGTAACTTCCAAACACTTTCGAAAATTGGGGTAAATCTCTTTAAAGTATATATTAAAAATCAAATTTTTTTGAAAAACTTGAGAACTTCATAGAAACCTTTCTGGCAGTTCTTATGCTGAGAAATATCTCAGGTATCCTGGCCGAAAAAATCCATAATGTTGAAAAATAAGGTACTGACAATTGTAGGGTGTCCAGGTGGCGATGAAGGCGCAGAGGATGGCGGAGAGCGTTTTCGCGGCCTTACTCTCCTGCTTTCGCTCGTTCTTCCGCCTTTCCTTCTCGCTCTTGCGGTCACTTGAAGAGAAGCTTTTGATTGGCCGACCGTTCTTTATAGGAGATTCTGGAATTTATTGGCTGTTAAAAGTTTTTTTTCAGTACTTTTATATGTACATTTCCATTAGAAAACATTGAAAATAATTCTGGATCCTCCGTTTTTTCGTTTCTCGGAATCTCATTTCGAAAGTGAATCTTTTGATGAATTTCTGGTGGAGATACTTAATCTTGAAACACTGCTTGAAGTTTCAGGCTCATAAATGAATAAAAAAAAATAAATAGAGAAGAGGTAGATGATTTTTTAACTCATTTATATAATCTCAAACAAAAAATTCGATATTCTAAACTATTCAAAAAATAGGTTTAAATTCGCGATTTTACATGTTATCTTATTAACAATAGTGTATTTGTTTCTACCACCTAACGTTTTAAAAACCAAGACTCGCAGAGGAAGCATTCACTAAAATGAATTCTCAGTTACTACTCTTATTTAAAAAAAGGTCTTATTTATCGACTTGTTTTTTGGGCGAACACTTGAGAGGGAAAAAGGCGAAAAACGAACGTTTTGCGAAACTTAGACGGCGCTCTTCGGCCTCCGAGGGACAGTCGCTTCGCGACCGAGACCGTGGCTTCAGTTCTCCTGGCGAGTCACTGAAAACATCAATTCATTTTGGATTCCGCTATTTCGAAAAAAAAAAGGAAGAAAACAACGAACTCTACGTATGGCTCGCAGCTACTGAGACGAACGCATGGCCGAGCGCCCTCGTCGTTCAACTCAATGAGCACCTGAAATACTCAAGGGTTTTGGATGAACTTTTCCTTTTGATGGATTATGTTGAAACGGTGAGCAGGTATAAATCAAATGAGCGTTCACCACCGAAAAGTTTGCAGAAAACAATCAGAAATTTGCAGAAAACAACTAGAAAATTCTGAAAAGGCTACCGTATAAGTTTCGACGGGCGGTCTGTCCATCTTCTCAGTACGAGTCCTGAATCGCGTCGATCCGTTTCTCGCCGGCGTCTCTATCTCGCATTTCTCCAAGCTCTCCGTCTCCTAAAATTAATTCTAAAATTTCTCATTACAAGTAATAACAATACATTTACGTATAACGAAATCCCAGAAGTCAATTCTGACTAAAAAATTTGTATGAATAACAAACCTAGATACAAATTCCAACCAATAAAAAATTGAGACTATTCAAATGAGAGCCGAAAAGTTTCTCTCCTTTTTTCCCGCCTTAAAACTGCAGAAGTTTCTACTGAGTTCTCAATATTAGAGAAATTTTTTGGGTCTGTCGAGTTCAACTTCGATAAAGTTTCTTTATTTTCTTGTTTTCTTTCAACTCAAAACTGACAAAGTTTGTTGGAAGAGGACTGCAAGGCGGACTGACGTTGCGTTTTTTGCCAGCGAACAGCGACGAAGAAAGCGAAGTGTCGTCGAGATTCATCACCGCCGCCTTAACAAACCCGATTCTCCCGATCTCGCTGATATCAGCTCACCTCAGAACTGTCTTCCGAAGAGGAGTTGGACTTCCCGGTGCAACTGCGAAGCCAGGATTTCCGCTTCACCGTTCGAGAAGGGACAGCTCTGAACAATGCTGAGTTATTCAGGTTATTTTCCTCTCTAAAGAAATTTCCTTGAGAACAAAACGCTCACGAATTGATTTGTTCCGAGTTCCAGTCGTTTCTGCGTACAGAGCCACTCGATTTGACTATTGAATTGGAAGAAAAGTCCCGCTTGATGGACCGCCGTGGGAACTGCAATTTTGATTTTCAACGAGACTCCAGAATTGGAAAATTGTCTGGAAAGACTCGCGTGACATGGGCTAATTGGCATACACGAATTTCTAAAGGGAAAAAAGAAAAGAAGGAAGAGAAAATAATTGGAACGTTTCTTAGAGGTACAATTTCTTCTGCGGAACCTTGTTCATGAGACTTCTCGACCGACGTTTGCCTTTAGCTCGAGAGCTCCAGTTTCCGGTCTGGTTTCATCCATTCGTTTCTTGTTATGAGAACAATGTAAATCGAAAATGGCTTACCTGAGAAGCTTGGAGTTTTCCGAACTCTTTTTGACGTTTCTGCGTCTCCCAATAGACGCGTGTGTAGAGTATGATCATGATAGTGACAGGCAGGTAGAAGGCGGCGACGGCGGTTCCGACGGTGACGTAGGGATTGGTCTGCAGGAACTGCACAACGCAGGTTCCTGGCTTCGACGTGAATTTGCCTTCGATGTAGGGCCAGGAGATGATCCAAGGCGGCCACAGGATCATCGAGATGATGTACGTGCAGGCGATCATCGTCAACGCTTTCTTTGTCGTTCTCCTGGGGCGGTAGGAAAGCGGACGCGTGACGGAGAAGTAGCGATCGAAGGAGATGAGCAGCAGGTTGAGGACGGACGCGTTGCTCATGAGGTAGTCGATGCACAGCCAGAACTGACACATCGTGTACCCGATTCCCCAGGTGTTCATCGCCGTGTAGTAGGTGAACATCGGGATAGATATCACACCTGAAAGTTCCTTTATTTCAATGATAAGCCAAAAAAAAAAACTCCTTTTAGCTTGTTTTTTCTTGAACTCCCTGATTTACAACCAAAAGGGCTTATTACAAAGTTTCAACAGCTTTAAATATATTTCGAAAGATCTTTTCGTGAGAAAGTCCTGGAATCAATTGAAACATGCCAATAATCAAATTATTCCCGAAGGAAAATCACACACAGACATATTAAAATTTTTCGTACGGAAGTGTAAAATGTACAAGCCAATTTACTTTTTTTTATGAGGCAAATAATCAGGGAAGACAGAAAAAAAATTTTCTGTAAAGTGATAAAACATTCTTTAATTGATGATAAGTTGTTCAACCCCTTTTTTGTGATAATGAAATCGCTTTTTCAATACAGTGAATAAGAAACACAGAGAGGACTTATTTCAAACAAAAAAATCGTTAGAAAAATCAATCAAAGTCTCGCTCACCAATGGTTATGTCGGCAACAGCCAAACTGAAGAGGAAATAATTGCTGATGGTCTGAAGCTGCTTGTCGATTTTGAAGCTCACCATCACCTAAGAAAGGCGATCTGTGACTGAAACACGGATAACAGCTACCATCAGGTTTCCGACAGTGGTGAGGAGCGCGAAGATGGAGCCGAGGGCGACGATGGCGACGACGAGAGATTCGTCGCCCCAAGATTCGCTCGACGGCGCTTCTGAATCGATGACGTCAATGGGCATCGGCGTCGTAGTGGTTGTCGTCGCATTCTCCGCCGAAGAGGAAAGCACCTGAAAAGTCGGGTTCGAGACAGGAAAAGGTGTATGGAGACTCACCTTCATGAGCATGTGGAAGAGTTGCGTGTGGCGGAACTGGGCGTCATCGCCGGCCGAGGAGGATTGCATCCTCCCGGTGAGCCGCCTGCAATTTCTTTTCCTCAATTCGAACGAGCAACGAAACGACGTCTACTGTATATTCGAACGTCGAAATCAACTTCTAAATTTAGAACCTTGCATGCGCAGAACTGAGAAGAGATGCAGGATATTGAGGATTTTTTAAATACATTTACCTGCTCTGCTTCTAGGTTTTGTTTTTCAAAAATAGCCACTGTTTGTTTTAATTTTTAAAACGAATCAGAGAGAAATATTACAAAAAAGTTCAATAAAATCAGGAATTTAAAAAAAAAATTGAGAAATCTAATCCACATGAGAAAAAAAAAATTTGTCGTTTATTGAATTTGATTTCGATACTTCATGAAAAATTGGAATAGCTAAATTTTTCTCCGGTTGAGAAATCAAATCTTGTGTAGAATGTGTTCCTTCACAGCTTTCCATGTACTAATACTAGAGATTTCAGCTTTTCTGCTATGTCCAACTCTTGATTTTGATCTCCACGATGAGGTTTTTGTATAAACTTCATGGGGGCTGAAATAAGCAACCGTTGTTATTTCACAAACTGAAATTCAAGTTTTATTTTTATTTGTTCATATACTCGTGAGAGTCTTCTACAATTACTAGATCTGGACCAAGCCTATTAGTTTGGTTAAGTTTTCTATTTTTTTTTGTTAATTTTTCATTCAGAAGACTTTAGAAAAGTGCTTCAAGAAGGATTTAAAGAAAAGAAAACCCTTAGAAAAATTGAAACGAGTTGTTTAGATGACAAGCAATCAAAAGGAGTATGGAGGACACAAAAAGGTCGGAATCTGGTCGGCGGGGGTGGAGCAGCCTCGTTTTTGAAACTTGATATGCATCGATGCTCGGCTTATTGCTCAATAGTTTGGCGTGTTCTTTTCTTTTCCTTCTCGTTCATTCTTCGAGAAGCCGCTCTTTTTGTGCTTCTGTAGCCGGCTGAGGGTCAAACATCATGTTGATACTTGGCAGCCAGGAACGTTTCCGTTGAAATGCAACATATGTCAGGTACGAGTATTGCTCATCTCAGTCACGAGCTTTCTGACTTTCGAAGAGGAAAGGGGTTACCATTTCTGAAATCAGATTCGATACAAAACTATAATTTGAGTAGAACAGCCGATGGAATAATCAGCATGAAAAGAAAGTAAAACTAGACTACATTCGAATTTCTGGGAATGGCTTGATGTTTGAATATTTGTTTTAGAACTATTTCGTAGTGAGTGTAGTATTACTAAAAGTACATAATCAATAAAAAATAAGAAATTAGTTTAATGACTTAGAACAGTTAATAATTCTCAAATACCTTAAGAAAAAAAAAAATGTTGATTTCGGTACCATTCAGACTCTTTTGCATCGGCGGTAAACATCTACCGTATTTTGTCCCACAGAAAAGTTCTGTTACGGTGATCAAGCTATTTATAGTTTATTTTTTTGCTTAAATCATAGTGATATTAGGATATTACATTTCCCTTGCTCGAACACTCAAAAAAAAGCTAAACTAAGAAATGAATAATAGATTAAAACCTATCAGTTTGACATTCTCGAGTTTTCAGTAGAAAAATAGGAAAAAATGGAAATATGAAACTGCAGAGCAGAATAACGAATTGGTTCAATTAGAGCCGGCCTGTCATTGTAACACTAATAAAAGATGTACGCATCAAACGGGACGCAAAAGCGCGGGAAATGAAATAGATGGATGTACGGGTGAATGGTTCCGCACAGCGGCTAAAAGCTTCATTCTCGGCGTTTTCCCAGCCGTTTTCTCGCGTCGGAGCCTTCGCCTCAGAACTGTTAATTGGATAATGAGGGAAGACGCTAAAATACTCACGTGAAAGAAATTTAATCGAAGAAAACAGTTGTTTTTGACGTTTATCGCATGAATTTTCATTCGAATAAAGAAATTAACGTGCATTTGGCTCATGAAGATACAAAAAGGAAGAAGAACGCGGAGAAAAAGTCAAAATTTTAGACTAAACTGAAACTTCAAACCATACTGCTGAAACGATTCAATTGGAATTTGAAGTTTTACCAAAAACAAAAAGCTCCTTCGAGTTACCAAATCCTGGCCGGTTATATTTCTTGAATGGACTCGAAGAAGAGAAAAAAAAAGAAAGAAAAGAAATTCAAAAACAGACTATTGATAAGCGAGAGACTTACTTTAAAAATAAATGCCAGTTAAAATGTTGAACTAGCAATCCAACATTGACATCGGGAGAAGAAAGCGGTTAATCAATCCCGAAAATCTCTGGAGGTTCTCTTTTAGTCAGCTTGAACGCTAATAATACTGACCAAAATAGGGAAAATGAAGAGGAGCGTTAAAAATTGTTTCATATTCCTCTAAAGAGCGTAAGCTAAAATTAAATCCTGCAAAATCAACAACGACGACAAAGAGGTAAGGAAAAAATCAAAAAGAACAAAAATAGCTGGTTTCTAGGATAGCTTTGCAAAGAAAGGCACTTGATCTCATCGACTCTAAATTAATTTCAGTTCAGATTTCAGTTGAATATTTTTCGGTTCAATAAATTAAACCGCAAACTTTGGTTGGATTTTGGCGCCCGTCAAAAACCTTCGAGTCCTGAGAAGATCAAACAAAAAGGGCGCAGAGATCGCCACCAGTTTTATAGTAGCTCCAAAAACAAATAAACAAGAAAGAAAATAGAGATTTTTTACGTAACTCTGACAAGAATAGAAGATCACGAAATGCAGATGGTCCTAAGGATTCTGTACAATTCACAAGGAAAAACTCCATTAGAGCGGGAATGTTCGGAAAAGCTCGGTTCATCTGTAACAACCGGAATTGTTTGAGACAGCGCGCAAAAAAAAAGCGGCTAACATGAGCAACAAGAGGGCAGGGGCGACTTGCTTTTTTATTTTCGAATGCCACGCAGACACGTTGCCAACACGAACAGAGAAGAAATTGTTTATGAGGCGGAATAAGAAGAAATAAGCGCTTCGTCGGCGCTGAGCACAATGGACGCCGAGGGCTCTTCAAGTTTTGCTCGCGGAGCAGCGCTTCGCTCATTCCATGCATTGATCTATTTGATAGGCTCGCCAGATAACGCGGCTCCAGACGACTCGGAGTCCGATTGGCCTCGACGCCGGCTCCAAGAGGAACGGCTCTCCGGAAAAGGTCGTTTTCAGAGACAAACATCTCGGGCGAGCTTTCGGGTGGTCGTTTCCTGAGAGTCCTATGAAAAAACGATCGTGAGGAAAACTTTATAATTATTGGATAGATGTAATACGATTGGTTTCATTTTCCTTATTTTTACGTTATTCTCATGAATAGACTGTTATCGGAGTGTTTAGAAGAATTGAAAAGCTTTTTTGCGATACGCCAATATAATTAGGAAGTTCCCAGACCTTCGTTCCCAGACCATAGAACTTCTATGCTTTTCAAAAAAAAAGTTTATCCTCTGTCAGCACTGAGAGCAGCCCTCTAAGTCCAACTCCTCAAAGTTTCCATTTTTAAAATACAGCTATTTTCGTGAATAGTTTATTCTTAAACTTCAAATATCAGTAAAATCATCGAGAGATTTGGAAAATTTATTTTTCGCAATAAACATCTGGAAAAAGAAGTTTTGAACAACGTCGTTTGCTTTCCGAGGGCGAGTCGTGTTCCGATTGTAAACCAGATAAACAATAAACCTTCACAACAAAATAAAACTGATTCAGCTCGGAAACGATTGCGATTCATCACTTAGCAAACGAAACTATCTCGGCTAAAAACGTCCCAAAGACTGAAAACGACTTGGAAGAAGAAAAGGCGTTTTGCGGCACTTGACAGTCGACCCTGCGGATCGCTTGAACTCGGGCCTATCAAAAGTAGAGGCGTCAAAAGAGTCGGCGGGAAACTGCTCGAGGGGAAAACAAAAGATGGTGTCGAGAGGCGGCAGATTCCATATCACATGACCAATGTCAATACAGATCTTCAGTCGAGGATCGCCGGCAACAAAGAGACGCTGGAAGCGCACAAAGGAACATTCGCTGCATAATTCGATTCGTAGGACAAGTGCGACTTGGAGAAACATCAAGAGATCGTCTTTCAGGAAGGCACTTCCTATCAAGCTGAGAAATATCGCTTGAAACCATGGATAATAAGTTAAGTCAATATATGACCGAGATTGGAGGAGAGGATCGCCGTTTCGAGCCTTCTAAACAGAATCTATCGAAAAAAGAATTACGTCAGTCAATCTCATTCATGAGCTAGTTCTGCTACAAGACTTTCGTTCAACGCTTAAGAGTCTTTTGAATATCGAAAAAAGAGAACAATAATACTATTTGTGAGAAATACTACTTTTGAGCTCTGACCTTTAGGTTCTATCAAGACATTGAGAACTAGGAAAACGTCTCGAAACAGTCTAGCGGTGCTCGAAAAATGAAGAGGCCTGGCACCTGAGAAGCGTCGCCAAGTGGCTACGTACAGTCTGATGTGCCAAATCTTTCGCCCCCGCCTCAAGAGCTATCATAACACGTCGAGAGTTGCAAACTGTTCCGAGATACTGATAAGAGAAGCTTTTTTCCGGGGGGAAAAAAAATCAGATAACAAGATGTTGAGCATTGTGTTATTCATTTTTTTTTTACTTCCAACTTAAAGATCAGTTCAACAAAGAAACTTCGACTAAGAGAGTGAATAAAGATTTTTTTATAGAAGGCCGTCTTTAGAAAATCCATCTTTATGATGAACCCAAAAACAGAATAGTTTGCTCCCTCTCTTCACGAAATCAGGAAGCATCTCTCGAAAGTCCTAATAAAACACCTCAGAAGAAAAATTGTCCATTAGGAAAATTAGCTAATTGCCGAGAACAGGCGCTAAATGGCCCTTGACGGCTTGGCAGATAAAGCTTTTTCTTCGCTTTCTGCTGCTATTAGAAAAAATGCCGAATACAATAAACGGAACTTGATAAATTACTCTTTTTTTGCAGAATCCCTGTTATATACAAGGTGGAGAAAAACTCGAAGAGAAAAAAAGAATAAATTTACGAGGGAAAAACAAATTTGGCTTTCTTTTTCTGGACAGGACCCCGAATTTTGGCGTTGATTTACGTCCAAAGTGTCATAATCCACGCGTCTGTCTCGAGGCTCTCCGTGGAGAAGAAAATTTGGTGGTTGAAAGCTAAGAAGCTCTTGGGTTTTACGACGTCGCGACCATCGGGAGGCGCCAAACTGGCCGGCAAAAAACGGCAGGATAAGTGGCGGTTGCAAAACGGCCCGATTTCCGCTGGATGATCGTCGAAACGACTCGGCGAGTTTAATCTCATCGCAAATGCAAAGGTTTCAAACAGATAAAACTGTGAGTGAGGAAGTGCTGCCATTAAGAAGACACTCGAAGAATGACGATGAGAAAAAAAAAATAGAAGCTTCAAGTGCCAAGTATCATTGAAAAAGCGATCTCGCCGAAGGTGAAGAGCAAAAATCTCGGGTCAGGCAGTACAGTTATCATTCTTGGAGCTATACTCTTCTTTCAATGAGGATCTCAAATTTAAACTCAGATTTTATTAAAACCGGTAACGATTGTAAATAGGGTTATTTTTTTGCCTCGAAATGGATGCCACCTTTCTGCGGAAAAAGTCCAAAATTTACGAAAATTTGTAGTCCAGAATAAAGCCCTTTTGTGTAAAAAAAAATTCAAGCCCCTATCCACATTGCTTGAGATGAAACTACTATCTTGTAAACCTTATCCTTGTACAAACTTTTGGTGAACAAACTATATTCGTGGTGAGGCGCTAACAAAAGTGAAGCGATTTTTGACTTTTTTCCGAATTCAATTACCGCTTTTCATAGTTTTATTGCTGCGAACTCCTATAATTAGTTACATTGGATGAAAACTGATAAAATCAAGGCGAGGGAGAGAGGGACAGAAAAAGGTGTGGGTTGACTGTGGCGGCGAACCAAAGCTCGAACGCTTCGGCTAACAGAAAGAGCCGCGGAGCCATCGCGTCGATCCATCTCTCGGCCTGCAGTCAGGTGTCGCCCGCACTCGCCGAAATCAATCCCCGATTGCTCATCTCGTTCAAAAATGGTCTCCAATCGTGTTTCTCGAGGATTAAGCCTCAAGAACCTAACAGACCACCCTTTTGACATTTTTTTAACTCATAGACAGGAACTTTATCCAACTTAAGTATGTAGCAATCCTTCCTAATTACTTATGCTGCAGAAAAAAAAAATTAAGAAGAAGAAATATAGTTTTTTGCAAGCACGAAAATAAAAAAATTGGATATTTTCTAATTTTTTAAAAGTTGTATGATTAAAAACTTGAAAAATTAATATATCAAAGATAACCATTGATATACCATCACAATCTTGAGAAAATAACATGATTTGATAAGTACCGATTGAATGAGCCATTCCGAAACTTTTACATTTTTTTTTTCTCGAAAACTAGGAAATATGCAGGCTGTGAGTCTGAAGATCTTCATTATACAGATCAATAAAAACAGTGAAATTTTTTCATCCTAGCAAAAATTTTCAACTTTGATGAGGTCAGAGAAGTTATTCTGGACGGACTTTATCTAAAAAGAAATTTTTGCGATAAGTTTCAAACGGATCCAAATTTTTTTTAGAAAAATTTTCGGTAGCAGCTGAGGCCTTGTGTTACCCAATCCATCAAGTAATGTCAAAGTTTGAGACGAGATTAAGGAAAGCAAAAAAATAAACTGGGTATTCCAGGAAAACAAGGAACAACAAATATTTGTTTTGATTCTAACGGTGCATTTTTTGAACTTTCAAAAGTGCTCGGCAGATGTTCTCGCCATACCAAATAAAGTTCCGAACCAATGGCTAAAAATCATCCAACCTTACCCTAACCCTCTCTTCCTTTCCAATGTAAATATTAGATATTTTATGCGAGTTACCCAATACAGATGTCTATATCTGGAAGCTTACTAAAAGAGTTGAGAGTTGACAAACTTACTTAAAGAGTTGACCATTTTGTTAGACTTTTTTTAATTTTCTAAAAAGTTCAACAAAAGGCGAAGAAAAAAAGAAATTGATGGCTATTTCAGTGGAGAAAAATTGTCAATTTTTTTGAAAATTAGGACAGTGAAATTAAAATCAAAAAAACTTTCGATTTAGTGTGAATCAATAAACCGCTGAATACATCACGAAAAGCTCATTTTCTACAGAACGTTTATTCGCAGTTTTATTGTGTGAATGCAATACTAAAAGAAAGAAAAATCTATTTCATAGTGCATCGAATAATACCTGCACGTTTGGTAGCTGATTTTTTACTCATCAAAATGGGAACACAAAATAAAAGAAACGATGCAAAAAAAAACGAAAATGTTGCAGAGTGGAAGTTGATAGGCCGTCGGAGGGGCAGAAGACGTGCACGGCGTCGCCGGATTCCCTCGACGACCATCCGTCTTCGGCCCAAGCGCCGCCGCCCAACTTTCCGCTTTCATCGCACACATTTATCTTACATTTGGAAAAATTGTTTTATTCTATTGTTTCCATACATAATACATAGTGAGTTAACCTGACAGAAATGATTCAATAAAGAATTTCTGCAGTTGCTCAGTCTTTGGGCACGGGAAAAGTCCAAACGGTCTCAAAATGAAAAGTCCGGAGCTTATTTTTGAGTTCTTAAAAAGGTGTCAAAAGTTTCTCGGCTTAGGTTTCAACTTTTTCCAAAGGTTCTTTTCAGGTCCTTCTGGACTTTGTTCAGTGTGTTATGGAGAAAAATTTAATTTTTTTGAAAAGAATCTCAATGAAAAAAATTTACAAACGATTAAACTTTGAATAGTAATCGGAGAAGCTAACACGCGAGAACACAGAAAAAATTTCCGTGTGAAAAAAAAAAATTCAAGCGGACTTTTGAAATGTATCTCGAAAATTTGAGACGTCTTGAAATTTCTCTCCTACTATGCTCTCTTCCAAAATGGGATTTCTCCGTTATTTATCTGTTTCAGTTGCGAAGGAGACGAACGCTTCTCTAAGAAAAAGAAAATGAACGACTTTTTTTCGTAGTATGTACTCCATTTGCTAATTCATTTCTAATAAACCAACTTTGGCTTTATAAATCTTTACAAGTACTCAAAGTAGTTACGTGTATGTGTAAAAATAACTGAAAGGCGCCGAAATTGAATCTCTGCCAAGAACCCGATAACTTGAGTGTTCACCACCTTTTCAATAGAAGAAAGTGTGAAAAGACCGAGAATATTATTCGGCAATCGAGAGTGCTCTCATACCCACACAAAAAGACACCACAAAATGCTTTTCCGTCGTTTAACGACGAAAATAGGCGTCGAGCAAAGTGGGAGGCGATGGATGGCAGTTGCTCTCGGCTTGTAATCTCTTCTTCCATGTTTTTCGCCTTCTTGTTTCGGGTTTTTCGGATGCCCGCCGTCGCGTGGAAGATCATCGCCAAAATATTGTGACGCGAAAGTGACAAGTTGTACGTTTATTATGCTGAGAAATTAAAGAAAAGAGGAAGGAGGAAGAAAAAAGCGCCGGTTATTTTTCTGAAAGAGCTTGGCGAAAATGAAAAAAGTGCAGAAATTCCACATCATCATTCCTTCAGTAATTAAGAAAGTAGAGTCAAAAATAGTGAAATTTTAGCTTCCAAGAACAAAATTCGAAAATATAATTTTCTATAGGTTGATTAGTTACTGGAAACTTTCAGTGGAATGTAAAGAACATTTTTTATTAAAAAAAACTACGAATTAAAAACCTTGTTTGAAAAATCACAGCCTAAGAAGAAATCCAAAGTTTGGAAGATCCAGAATACATTGAAAATAGGCAATTTTCAGAATGAAAGTTGAGCTTGTCCATGACCTTAGGTGAAATTGGTTTGCTTCAGCCTTTCGAGAGTTTTATGACGCAACTTTACTGAGTTCGCGTAATTTATTATACTATTGATAATAGTAATTTGCGGCACAACTCGACTTTTGCCAATTTAGGCGCTTTTCGGAAAAAATGACCAGAATGGAGTCGCGCGACGACATCGAATCGGCAGCGGTCCACATTGCCGTGGGGACCTCCGGAATTTACAAATGGTCCGAAACATCAAGTCTTTTTTTCCGATTGGCCAAGAACAAGAGATGAGGCCACTGGCAACTTGCCACCAAACATTTGTTTTTGGGGCCATTTCGCAGCCTTTTTTGGGCTTCACCCCGAAAACGCCAACACTAACAATCTTTTCATTGATCCTCCCGCCCTCGGTCCGTGCACACTCATCTCATCACTTGTGCCTCCGGCATTGTTTGGCAAGACGATTCAGTGACAAAAACGTCGGGTGACGTCGTCCAGAGGAAATTCCTTCACCCTTTTCTTGGACTCTTGCACAGTTTTGCAAAGATTTTGCGGTATGACTCGTGTCACTGGGTAAAATCTTTGCTTTGATAGTCAATCGAAAGCTTTTCGTGATTTGTATGTCAATTTCAGTGAGCTTTTCGTTAACTTATAGGAAAGAACTGATAAGAAGAAAATGAGCAGCCAGTATGCCATCTTCTTGAGGATACTTTTGGGCGCGTTGAATTTGAATTGTATCTGATAAAACTTATTCGAAGATTCTTCTTTTCTACAACTTTTTTTTTCAGTTATGCTTCCGTGAAAAATGAACTATCTTACCTCAAATTTCAACAAGACAACAACGACTATGAGCTCTTTGTGTGCGACGCGCTTTTTCTTCTTGAAATAGATTTTTTTTTTTCATGTCAGCAAGAATGTGTGAGGAATGAATCGGTGTAGAGAGTGAAAGTTCAGAAGAACAAAAACTTCGTGGCCTTTATGAAATCCCCATTCCCAGCCCATCCCAACAGACATTAAAACTTGTGCTTCAGCGGAATAAGATCATCAGAAAAAAAGAGATCATCGTACAAATAAAGTCCAAAAACTCGGAAAAGACCACGTACCATGACGAGAAGTTGAAGTTGTTGAGCTGTAGAAGAGCGGCCGGACCGGAAAGCGGTCGTCGAGCTGAGCGGAAGCTGCAAAACGTAGATCAACGAATGGGGACGACGTTCCGGTGAAAAATGAGCCGTCGAGGCTTTCTTTTTCGGAGGCAGTTAAGCACTAAAATCAAGAGAAAATGGAGGCGACGCCCACCCCAAGATTTGGCTCTCAATGAGTTCCCTCGGAAAAATGCCATCAAGATTGCGTTTCAAAGTTTTGCAGGTGCTAGGAAAAATATCAAAGGTTCCTAATAATAAGGCGAGAAACTTCAAGAAAGTCAAGCTGGGCAATAGATGAGCAACGTTGAACTCCAAATATTCAAAACTGAATTTTACGGTTTTTTGAAAAGCTCCTTGCAAATTTTACTTCTCAAATTTATAAACCAAATTTCCTTTCTCGTTAAACGTTGCTAAAAAAAAACAGAAAACTGAGAATTTTCAGTAAAATCAATAATTGAGAAACTCAAAATATTAAAACTTCAAGGGTCTGAATTTGAAGATATTTGACAGTTGACAGTCCAAAATGTTCATCACAAACATCACAGAGCAGAAGACCTACGAAAAAGGAGGTAAAGTTCGACGGAGCGTGTGCGGAATTGGGATAAACCAAAAAAAGGAGACAAAGTGGGAAGAAAAAGAGGCGTGGCCTGTGGCACCAAAATCGGAAGTGATTCTGGCGGACGAAGGAAGAAATTGTGCCTAAGTGACAGCTCTCCAAACAAAAAACACTCTCGCCATCACTTATAAAAAATAATTTCGAGAAAAAACAGCTGAGAGCAGCAATCGATTATCTAGTTTATTTTTTGAGCACCATTCCTCTTTCCGATGTCCGTACTGTCGCTTTTTTTTCTAGATATGATCAAGATACTGCAAAAAAAAAAACGAAATGACAAAATTACTTGAAACCCTAAGGAATGGTTTCAATGAAATATGAGAAAAAAATGCACCTACATTTTTTTATTGAACCAAAAATTAAAGACAGAGTTTCTATTGTTTTGCTTTGCTTTGAACAAAATATGAGCATTTTCAGTGTGAAGTTTCCTATTTTTTTCAGTATTGTACTTATTTTTTTCAAAAAAACCTTCCCTTTTTTTCGAATATTTTTTTCTCATAAACTCACATATAAACCTTTTTAATTTTTTTAAGATGAATCAACAAATATTTATTTCCTAACGAATTTGAATACTTAAATAAAACTTTTGGTGGGGCTGAATAGTGCGTGGAGCGGACATCGAATATGCCCCAAGGGATGTTTCAGGGAACCGAGTTTCTTCTTTCAAAGCCGCCTATTCAAATAACCAATCATCTGTCATGGATATCCGGCTACAACTCCGAATTCGCAATTATATAACACTCGACATTGAAAAAGTCTTCTCTCCGTTCGCAAATGTTTCAAAAAAGTTTGGAAAAAACCTTTTTTAAGTACTAAAACTCCTTAAAAGCATTGAGTAAATCGCCGTTCGCTGCAAAAAACATGTCTTCGATTAGCTGAATACTCTGATGTTTCATAGTTTTATGAAAAAAAAAACCGATTTATAGTGATTAAGTGAAGAATGCTCAGTAGAAATTTAAAAATTCCATTTTCCGAGGAAAAAAATATTAATATTACTCTTCGTATAAATTACAAAAAAAGTAAATTTTGCTCAACTAACTTTTTTTGAAATTTAGTAATTTTTTTCAAAATAAAAAAACTATACAAGGAAAAAAATAGACATAAATTAAGTTTGAAATAAATAGCTTTCTGAGAGTCAATAAGATAACTAAACCTCGTAGAGAGAGAAAGTGATAAGTTTGAATGTCGCGGAAACTACTTTCAAAACATAAAAAAATAACAAAAAAATATTCAAAGGCGAAAAAGAAAAATTCTTTAAGGTTTTTTTGAATACTCCAAAAATGCAGCATACGCGCTCCAATGACAGGCTAGTTTTTAAGAGGAGATTTTTACGAGGTTGTTAAAAATATTGAAAATAGGAATTTTTAAACCAGCAAAACGGATTCGGTGTTCAAATGAAAAAATAAAATCGATACCTTGAAAAAATAAAATTTTCCATGAGTGCGCCAAATTATTGAAGTGAGTTCCCATGTACATTTCGTTTCGAGAAACTTCGAAGTCTATCAAATGTTCGCAAATATTCATTTAGAAAGTGTGATCCTTGAAGCTCAAAAAACCAACAGCAAAGCCAATAAATCCTGGCGTGGCGTTTGTTTTTCCGGCGAACAGAAGACGCCTCATTTTTATCGCAATGGACTCGAGTAACTGCACGAACGGCACTTGCAGCAAGTGTCTCTACAGCATCAATATATCTCCGTTCATCCTCGATATCATCTCCATTCTTATTGGTTCGGGAAACACGAAATTGTCTCGCTTCCCAAAACATTATGAACTCAAAAATCTTGAGAATTAATATGAAAATTTCCAGCCTTTCTGATTGGTTTATGTGTATTGGTTCAGTACATTAGAGTCGAAAAAGACCGGAAAAAGGTGAGGCGACAAAAAATGATAAGCTCTCGATCTCCTTGCAGAATTATTATGCAAAAATAGATACGGTGCACCAAGAAAGTCAGCAAGAAAAAGACGACCGCGACGCTTACGCCTTCGGAGTCACTAATGACACGGTCTTTTAAAGAAAAAAATATGTGAACTTTCAGCTTTTTCAGTATTACATACAGCAAAGTCCTTTGGCGGGCAGCACCAACTTTCGGATTCTCCAGAAGAGAAATCGACGCGCCCAGCCACTCCGGCTCACTCCTGTGTCGAAGTTTTCTCAATTTGAGAGTTCGAGATCGCAGTTGTTGCTAGGTCAGTCTCAAAACGTCAGAGCACCCAACGCAAGACGCCTGGATTCTCTACAACCATGTGCCACATCCAAGTCATCACTGACAAGACAAATCGCGCTTTTGAGGTGATTCCCCTTCCAGAAATCCTTGAATAACTATCACTCCAGCTAGTCGACATAATCAATTCCACAGAGCTTCCACCAAACTCCGGAACGGACGCCGAACGTGCCTATTTCGCTTTGGATTTGATAAAAAAGCGGCTCGAGACTGTAAAAACTTGATTCAGAAGCGATTTCCTTTCAAAAAAGCATTTAGATGACCGAAGAAAAGTTTGTCGTGCACGGACTTCTTGACGACGTCTGGCTAGTGCGTGGGGCGGACGAAAACTTTCCAGAAGCCAGCGAACTCCATCTTAAGGTTTTTTTTTTCCTGATGACCAGTAATATAGTACACAACACTATCGGAACTTTCAATGCAACTTTTATACAGAAAATATGAGACTACGATATCCTACTGTATTTTTAAATTACTTTAGAACTTGTTCTGGCGACCAGGAAGGTCAGAGAAGAAGTTTGTAGTCAATATTTGCAGAAGCTTTAATAAAAGTTGTACTTCGAAAAAAAAATTATGCGTAAAAAGGGACTCCAATTAGAAAAAAAAACTCATTTCATGAAGCAATGGTTCAACAGACTGACTTTTTTAATCTTTGAAAATTCACTCACAGAATGAATTTCAAACTATTTTTTGAACTTGAACATGATTATCTCTCTGATATTAGTTCATGCCTCTGATTAGTTTTGTGAACCGTCCAAGTAAGATAGAAATTTTCTTTTCCTTCACTTCAAAAGTTCACTTTTCAGCTCCGAATCGAGATGACGGCCCCGGTGCAAATGCAAATCACAGCCTTCTCGGTTCACGTCGAGGCCGAGGAGCCGACGCCTCTTTTCACACCGTAACTCAAAAGTTCATGTTTTCTTTACTAAACCTCAATTTCCAGAACAGCGTCAATAGTTTCAAAAGAAGTCTCCAAAACTCCTAACACTTTGATGGTTACATTTGTTTCAAGACGAATTCAAATTTGCTTTAGCGGGCAAAAACTATCGAAGAACTTCACGCCAAGACTTTCGACGACAACTTGAATTTGAGAGAAAAGCTTTTGAACGCCGAGGACCGACAAAGGCTTATCGGACTCACCAAATTAGAAAAATCCGCGACTCCGGTCAAAATTTTTGGAGGAAAGACAACTTCCACTATTACTGTGCGTCCTAGAAAACTTTTGGGCAGAATTGAAATTATTTCAAATTTTCCATTCGATCAATGAGACGGTTCAGAAGAAATCTAAAAAGAAACGAACTTTTTCCGAAGCGCCGACTCAGCAAACGACTCAGCCGCAACCAAACCCTCTCGTTCTTTCTGTTGAGGTTCACCTTTCAGGAAATTCCTTCCGGGTTTTTACTCATTTTAACATTACAGAAGCCAAATCTAAGTCCGAGAATGTCTCGAGAATCTACGAAAAAGCCCATTCCGGAGCCTTTTTCGTTGCGTCCTAGTTTCCAAAACCACACTCCAGTGAACTAAAGTAGCAAGAAAAGATTATAATTCTGATTCTCAGAGAACCAGTGGTAAGACGCAACTTTCGACGACAAAACGTGCTGATTCTCCTCAGCGCACAAATAAAACGGATCCTAGAAAAGTAAAATCAGCCCAAAATACATTAACCACTGTTCTCAATTTCAGAATAACGCTAAGAAGACGTTGAAAAACGAAGCTTCGGAAAAAGAAAAGAGAAAAGAAAGTTCCTCGAAGGAGCCTGGTCTTCCTACCTGATTATCTATGATTTTGAATACAGACTCTAAACAATTTTTTGAACGAGTGCAGTGAAAACAGATCTTCTTACTTTTTATCGTTCAATGACTATTCTCACAACTCGGAAAACCGCGTATCTTGAAATAAAACGGGTTTTTACTCAAAAACTCGGTTAAATACTGACTTGAAGCAAAAATCCTTACTTTCCAGACAAGCTCTGTTTCTTATGCCGTGTTCGAAGTAACTTTCGAAAAAAACATCTATTACTGTCCTTACAATAGTTATATTTTTCATTCTCTGAAGTTCATTTCGAGTTTCACGGAATCACTTTGAACACGACATTAAGAATGATTTTATCTCATTGACCTAAAAAAATTGTTATTGACAAATCGAAAGGCTCGCAAAAAATGAGGCGAATGAAAAAAGCAAAACCCGACTTTCAGCACCCCAACGAGCGCAGAACCGGGACTAATAATATACACGGAAATTCAAGTAATTGAGAGGAATAAGTTTACGAAAGGAGCCTGGCCGCTCTTTTAGACACGTCATCTAAACTTTAAACTTGTCAACCAACTTTAGACTGACCCACAAACGCTCTGGTAACCTCAATGAAGTAGGTCAAGATTCGAAAAATACCTGAAGGAAAATGAGGAGAGGACGTGTGATAGGGAGGAGGAGGTCAGATGGAGCGGCATTTCTGATCGCAACGGCCATGCCGAGGAGCACCGACGGACGGACGCGATCTGACGGCTTGGAATCGTCGCTTTCCGTTGTCGGCAACGAGGCGACGCTCAGTTGCAAGCAGCGCCAAGGGGTCACTCTTTTGCGGCCCGTCTTTATGAATGCCGTCGAAGTCGGCTACTCGTGAGTTTCGTTCCTCCCAATAGCATTTTTGATTTCGATTCCGAAATTACAATAGAAGAGCAGATTCCAAGATGTTGATTTGATTTTCACTTATGAAACTGAAATGAGCTTTTCACGGCTTGCAAAGAGAAAGGTAAAAGTTGTCAGGTACGCCCAGTGCGATCGAGACAAGAAGCTTAACGTGCGCGGCGTCACCATTGCATTATGGTACTTTATCTGCAAAGGGCACCAGGTTGGTCATTCAAACTCGATTCAAACGAGCATCGAAGTGTTCAGGCGATCGCCTTGCTACCGTATTGTTTCAAAAGCTATGCTGAGAAGTCGAGTTGCTATGCGGAGCTGATGGCCCTATATCGACTTAATCTTATCGAATTCACGCCTGGATACGGTAGTGAAAAGTATGCAGAAGTAAATCGTATCATGGTGAATCGGGCTCACGAAACCGGCGGTTGTATCGTGGCGCGTTCTCAAATGCAGGGAATCACCGAAAATAAGCCAAACCTGATAAATGTCGTCGAGCAGAGGTATTCTCTTCGAAACTCCCGTCGCAGATATTATTGTGAGTCCAGACTTTTGATGCCGACTTTCAACGGAGACGACATCATGTTTCCTATAGATGGACCCCTTGGAAGAAACGGACCATCTCTCAAAGTGAAGAAAACGATTTGATCAATTCAGAAGTTGACTTGCAGAAAACTTTGGAATGTGAACAAGGTGATCAAGACTGGCGCGTTTGTTCGGAGCACCAGCTTCTTTTCTCCGACCAGCGACACTGGCTGGAGAAGATTGCACAGCTGGCCCCTGAAAAAACTATTTGGAATAGAATGAGCAGCACTCTGCATCAGCAACCGTCTGTGGGACAGACGCGTTTTGAGCAGCGGTTTCTCAGTTCCTCACCTTATGTTGCGAATGCTGACTCAGGGAGCGTGGTGACAGAGCTGACTCACCTTTCAACCGATTCACTCGTCGCCGACAAAGCAGCAGCCGAAGTGGCAGTCGCACCGGCATCGCCAATGGAGACGGAAGTCCAGTCTACCGCGAGAAGGTCGGCAATGGAGGCGCGACAAAAAATGAAAACTCCACACGATCGGTATCTTTTGCAGAACAACGGAAACAACTTATTTTTGACAGGGCGGACGACGAAAGCAAAACCTGACGAGCTTCACGATTGGGACGTTGCCGCCGCCGATGGAAGATCCTTTCGCGCGACGTGCAGCTACACGGAATCGCTCTAAAGAAAACACAGTCAAAAGCACTTCTGGAAGCACCAACTCGAGTGGCTGCTCCCACGGCTGTGCCTGTGTCCACCAGACGGTACGCCCTGAATCTTTATCCGTTCACCTCTCTTCCAGAACTCGTACGATGAAGAAGCCAGCAGCCATCTTCAAGCACAACTAGCCTTCGACGAGGAGTGTAAACGGCAGATGATTGAGCAACGCAAGAGCGACGAGCTTCTTGCCAGGACTTCACAAATCTTTGGCTATAAAAAAGTTGGTTTGATTAGGTTTGTAAAAAAAAGGAAGATATTTGAAGGCCTCTCGGGTGTTTTTCCGGAACCCTTCTGTGCGCAATTTGAATCAACTTGTGGAGAAGTGTTTACAAGAAGAAGACTTTACGGACGACGACGCCGAGTTCGTCGCGCCCGAGCCAAGGCCTCTTCTGCACGACGTCGTCGATGCCGAGGCCTTCCAGCTGCACGCGGACTCGACGTTCCAGCTGCTGCAGATGAACACGCCGAACGATGACCTCATCGACTTCACCGACGAAGAACCTCGCCAAACATCTCCGCAGCGCTTCGAGCCGCCCGTCAAGCCGCGTCTCGACCTTCTCGACCTTTTGGACTGATCAAAGCATGAAATTAAACATGTTGAGCAGTTGATTGTACCGTTACTCGTAAACATTTAAAAAGATGAAAAGTCTTTTATTGATAAAAAATTATTTTTCACGGTAAAAGATTGCTAATATTTACTAAGTGAACTGATGGCCAAACAAACAACAAGTATTCCTGATGCTTCCTTTTCCTGCTTCCATTGTAGGGGGTCATTCTACTATGCGGTTTAGAGATTTTCTACAAGTTTGTCAAAATTTCAATGTCAAAAAACTAAAAGCTGGCGCGGGTCGCGATTTCCACTGATCCCAACCTTCAAAGAGCGTTTGAACAAATTTGTAGAAAATTTCAAGTCGCAAAGAAAAAGAACCTTCTTGTGCGGTCTAATTTTGTGATAAACGCTAACTTTGAAAAATATTATCTCAAAAACAAGAAGTTTGTTCAGGTAGCGTCTACGAGGGATCTTCATCTAGACATCCAATTCGAGCAAATTAATAGGAAAATCCAAACTGCAAAGTAAAATAGTTTCCCGTGTTAATAAACTAGCCAATAACCATTTAAATGGCACAAAAATTTTAAAAATTGCTTCGAATTTAAAAAGGAACATGAGAATAAACATTTTAAAAATTATTCAAAAAGAGCGTGGTATATTTGCTGTTTTTCTCACTATAGTCAGTTCAGATTTTAAATGTTAAGTCCTCGCTGAAGCTCCGCCCCCCAATGGCGCGGTAAACCAATCGGAGAGCGAACCATCCACAGAGCGTTTTCGAATGACGTCATTCTACTTGACATTCAAAATCTGAACAGACTATATTTAAAAAAAAAGGATTTTGAGGAAATTTTCAAATTAAAAGACTTCTGAAAAAATTTTATTTATTTTGCAATACTTTTGGAGTTTTTGTTGGCTTTTTGTTTTCTGACAGGCCGGAACACAATGAAGCGCATACAAAGCTGAAAACGAAAAGCTTTGAATCTTGATTAATTTTTTTTACAAACATTGGAATCGATGCGGACGACACAAGAGTCATTGCTCATGTTAAGGTAATTGGGCGCTGAGAAAACGGTGACCATGCGGCCGCCGGCGTGAAGTTTGTAGCCTCCGTTGAACATCTGAAGGACTCTACACGATTGCAAACATCCAGAAACAGACGTCGGTGGTGATCTGATGAGCGCGAATGATGACGTCGATGTCGTGTTGGCGACAGAAGTTCTCAATAGTCGTTTCATCGAAAGAAAAGGAAATTCCTCGCGCCGACAATGACCATCCAGGATTCTTAAGACAAACGGCTATTATGTCCTTCAGACCACTTGGAAAAGTACAGTGCAGATACAATTTCTTCGCAACAAATTTGAATAAAAGTTTCATTTTTAAAAAAACTCTTTGACGCGATGAACTTGGTTGCTCGAACGAATCAAAATTTAAAAAAATAGAAGGAAATTATAGCCTGTAAACTTGAGCAGAAGAAAGAATAGTTCGTAAAAGAGACCTGACAAAAAATTTACTGATTCCCCAAATAATCTGAAGTTAGAACCCAAAACTAAAGATTTTTGTCGTTTTTCTCGCATTTTTCTGAGTTTACTAGCAATTACAATAGAAATTTTTGTATGCGACTATCTTCATTTTTTTTTTGGGACTTTCCGCCCAGTTCATTTCAGTGAAGCTCTTCGAGGCCGCACTCACCACAGAAGATTCGGGATCAGACCAAACTAAGTCGCACATGAGACCGTAAGAAGGCACAATGGACGGCCGCCGAATCTAAGAATCCGCAGTTACCGAGAGCTTCGAACGGCTTCCTCACGTTTTCGATGTCGGCGAGAGAGTTGATGTGCGGGGAAATTCCGCCGTGCATGCACATCACCTTGCCGCCAATCAGAGCACAAATCGGAAGATGGTTGAACGCGTTGATGAGGTGCAGCCACACGAGTTCGCCACAGTCCAAGTATTTCAGAATACACTCGTCGTAGAAGCCATACGTCACCGACGTGTTGAAGTCTTCGTGGTTGCCGCGCAGCAAGAACACTCGCTCTGGATACAGAGCCTTGAGTGCCAGCAACAGCAGGGACGTCTCCAGACCCTGAGGAGCTCATTTTAGAGCAATAAAAGAAGTCTTTGTAGTTTTTAAATGTTTTTCTTTCTTTTCCAAAGAATCTTGTTCTTCAAAGCCTCCACATAAGGATATCATAGAAATTTTAGATAGAAATTTTTTTCGAAGCCACTTTTTCATTCCGAAGCGAAAAGAAACGGCGACGCACTGAACCATTCAACGTGCGGCCATCATAAGTAGAAGTGAACAAAGTTCATTTCATTTTCACCTGTACTCCACGATCGACGTAATCCCCCAAAAACAAATATGAAGTATTAGACGGATGACCACATCTAAAATTGAAAAATTAAAAAGAGAAAAAAGAAAAGCTGGGCCTTGTAAAAATTGAACGAAGATCATGAAATTGTCCGTGTAAATCACCAATGATATGGATCGGGTAACCTCTGGAATAGAGAAAAAAAAAGAAGTTGGAAGCAAATTTTCGTTATTTGTAAGAAAATCCCGAAACGAACGCATTGATACGAAGTAGAGACGGCTGGAGATGGAGGGAGGTGCAGACGTGAAGAGTGACGGCGCGGACCTCCTCGAGGGTGATGAAAACGTCGACCGTCGTCTGGAGCTTTCCCGCTTTGCTGATCAACGGCGCTCCAAGAAGACGATCGACGAAGGAACGCAGAAAGTCTTTTCGATGTTGATCGACGTCATCAGCTGTCGATTCCTCTTCCTCCTCGTAGTCGGACCTTCTCCGGGTCTCCATCGTACAAGAAATGAATGAGAAACACGTCTAACGTTATACCGCGGGCAAACAGAAAACACTTTTCAGCTCTGATTTATGATCGAGCTAGATCTCAAATCGTGGACCGAAGTATACTTTCTCTCATGTAGAAAAGAATGGAGCTAGAAAATTAAGATTCCTTTTGGTGTTAAATCAATTTTTGATTCAATTCAATCCGGAGCTGATTCACAAAAAAACTCCAACGGTCGCTTTTTTTGTACTTTTTTTATTTATTTTATTATTTGAATTACTTTGTTGATCTCTTTTTGCTTATCCCAACCTGGTGGTATGAAAAAACACCAGCGAAAATTCAAACGGCGACTTTTTCCGATTTTTTTATATCGCTAGGGAACTTTCCGACGGATCCTTTTCCGACTTTTTTTCCCTTATGTTTTTTTGGTTTATAAACATCTATAAACCTTTTTTTTCCTATTTCTTTGTGTTTTAATCATAAACCAACTACCTATTTTATATAGGAAGATTTAAAACGAAGATTTTATCGAGAAAAAAAAAAATGTCGGAAAAAGATTCGTCGGAAAGGTGGCCGTCGGAAAGTTCCCTAGCGATATGAAAAAATCGGAAAAGTCGCCGTTTGAATTTTCGCTGGTGTTTTTTTCATACCACCCCCAACCTATCATAGCCTCCAACTGAAGTGACTTTTCCTATCTGAAAAAAAATAGTCACAACAGAGTAAGTAACCCGAACTTCTGTATGGTTCTTCGAGAAAAAAATGATCCAGAACTATTAAAAAAATCGATTTTTTTAAATCATCAAGTTCAAATAATAATTTTTTAAAAAAAAGTTTATCTTACAGAGTTTTTGAAGAGAGATCCCGTGACAACGTGAACACGACAGTGAGAAACAAGGGATTCAAATGATTTGCGTTCTGACGGCAAGACGATCTCGAACCAACGCGGAGACCAGCGCGACTATCGTCGCCGGATCGGCCATCGCACCTTGGCCACTGTCCCCGCAAATCAGTTCCTTCGAAATCGGGGCTATTTCCTGGAAAAAAAAGTTCCTATGCATTATTCTCTACACGTACGCACTAAAACTTACTAGTTTCTAAAACTAAAACTTCTATCTGAATATTATCGTAATTAATTATCTTTCTACTTCGAATTCAATCTTCATTTCTTGAATAGCAAGGCTGTGTCTGCCTTTCAGCTTGTTTTCCAACCAGATACTTTTCCAATTATTTTGCAAATTTCAATTTAAAAAAAACTAAAGTAGTAAGAGTTATTCGAAAGAAAACAATTTTCGACCTCTTTCTCAACTCAGAAGGCCCTCCGAAGAATGTGATTTTCTCAAAAACTGGTAAAAATTTACCTTGAACAGAAGCACATTTCTGAGCGTATTCCGATGGCCAACAGTCAGTGGACTGTCCCACATGAAAGTGTTCATAGCAGGGGCATAATAACACGGCTTCTGAAGGTCCCAAGCACGCACCACAGACGTCACCAAGTTGTCGCAGATCCCGTTGGCTATTTTGGCCATTGAATTGGCGTCCAGAGGAGCGATGAGCAACGCATCTGCCCACTTTCGAAGTTCTGGAACTTTTCAGCTCCAAATATGAACGTTACGATTATAATATTACGAAGGTGATAGAGTTGCAGTAAAGTTTTTTTTATAAAGTTTTTTTTTTCAACAAATACTTGAAAAATGCCAAAATTTTGAAAACAGGACGTCAAACGTTTAATTGGTTTACAGAATACTTTTTTGAAAATTTAAAAATCTATGCCTTCCCTTCAATGCTCCCAAGCCAGGCATAACTGAATATACAAATTGCGCCTTTTTTTTTTTCAAAATTCTTCTTTACATTTTTTCTGAGGCAAAGTTCCACAAAATGCGAAAAAATATGTAGAGCGATAAAAGAAACTGATGCTCAGAAATGAAGCTGACCAATATGAAGAACAGGGTCTTTCCGTTGCCGCCACATCGACCATTCGTCTCGGTCTTCGTAGATCATCTCGTCCAAATCGATGTCCTGCGTCTCCCAGAGCTTCAGAGCGTTTTGAGTAGCAATCACCTTGAAAGAAGCTTGAAAACGACGTTATACAAGAGCACAACCTTAATAAGAAGTTTGTCTTCCGAACAAGATGAGTAGAGTTTGTGGATGATTTCAGAGAGTTTGATAGTAGCTATGCTCCCCGTAATGGCGATCAGAAGATGGAATTTGGACGGTTCGCGAACCAGTTTATGGCTGCTGGTGAGCGGAGGCCGTTTCTATAATAATTTCTATTAGAAAGAAAAAGGTTCAAAGAAGCAAACATGTTCCTGCATCATACAATCGCTGTTGGCCGAAGCTTCTTCCTCGTTTTCTGGATCTTCATTTTTTGAGCGCTTCCTTGAAGGACTTGACATTGAGTTTAAATTTCTGGCAGAAAACATTATAACCAAATGACGTGAAAAGCGAGAAAATTAGGTACGGAAAAAAAGATGAGGTACTGTAAAGGATTCACTGTAGCGGGATATAGAACTATTTATTGCACAAAAAAACTTGACAGAATTCTTGTTTATCATACCTGAAGCTATTGGCAAACAATAAGACCGCAAAAAAAAAAAAAGAAACTCGAATAAAAGTAACTTCAAAAGGAAATCAGATGAAAACGCATTTTTTTTTCTCAAATAAGACACATTTGAAAGATAACAATTAGATATATAGAAAAGGACAGTATCATATAATTATGCGAGATATGAGAAATTCCGAGAGAGTTTCTTTTGAAATTGAACATATAAATAACCGTTCTTCCCGCGAGAAATGCGGCTCAACTTCCATTTTTGAACAATAGAAAACAAATATATATTGAAGCAAGTGAACTATTAGGAAAATCTATTTTTGATTGGAAAAAATGCCTTCAAGATTATTTTGTAGGTCTACCAAAGTTTTTCTTCGACATTATGGTTTCGACTTTTTGACCGACTGGAGTGGAAAAAGAACTCTGAGGAAACATAGCTTGCTGCGCTTCCAAGTTAACCGTTTTTTTCACCGGAACAGCAGGCGTTTTGTATGGATCACTAAACAAAAAAAAAAAAACAATTGGAGAACGAACATCAGGGTTATTCTACTTTTCGATCGTATTTTTTTGGATTTTCTGCGCTTGCTGTTTGGCGCAATGGGCTTTCAAAGCATCGAACTGCTCACATTTCCGACGATATTGCTTTTGCATTTCGAGGCAACCACTAAAAACTTTTTAGAAGAAAAATTACTAAACTGATTACTTCTTATATTGTTCTTTCTTCTTTTGCTCCTCAATATACGCACTTTTAAGTCTTCCAAATTGTTCTTCCTGAAAAGTTAAGAGGAAATTTACACATAAAGCTTACTCGGTGTAACAAATGTTTGAAAAGCCGACTTCTATGCCCCTGTTGGAATCGCAACGAAGTGGTAATAGTTTTAGAGAAACGACCCAAAGTCTCCGTCAGAGGTGTGAACACGAATTTGATCTCAACAGGTTATAAATGAATAAAAAACACATCGTATTTAAAACCGATTCGGGTAAGGAGCTGTTAACAGCTTTGAATTCCACTTTTTCTTTCTTACATTCCTTGCACACTCCTTGAGTCTGGGAAACTGTAAAACAAAAAATATATTTGATACTACAAGTCAACCGCTCACTATTTTTTGCGCAATCGCTACAGAAAACGTGCCCGCAATTCGTCACACCAAACTTTGTTTGGGAAGATGGGAAGCAAAAACAAGATTGACAATGCATGAAGGCTGTCATTCCTAAAGAATGAAAAAAGGTTGAAGAAAAGTTTCAAAATTAATTTCTCATCGAGAAAATAACGGTAAAACAACCCACCAGCTTTACATGATTGGGTGAAAAAAAAATGCACAGAACGACGTGCGGACATGAAAAAACGCGTGTAGTTCAGTTTACCATTAAAGATTTAACTTTTAGAAACTAGTTAACGCGCATCCAAATTTTACTTGACGCTTTGATACATGAAATATATTTACAAAGCAAATTGGCTTTCACTCTCGATTGTAAAACTACTGAATTACTCTGAGAACTGAATAAATGTTAAAAATATTAAAACGTTAAACTGTGAAAGCGAGCAAAAGTAAAATCAGAACAATAGAGTCGTACGCTAGAGACACGAAAAAAACTTTTTTTAATGAGAGAAAAGTTTGAAAAATCCAAAAAGTCTGCGAAATAGCGTTGGGGCGCAGAGAGAAAATGTCGTGTTCAGAGTGATTTCGCAAAACTAAAATTAGCTGTCAGAGATTAAAAAGGATAACATTTAGAAGAGTCAGAGATTTCGCGGAATTCACTTTGGACACGGCAGAATCTTTTATACCATATATTACCCATCAAAATACTTTTTGAGAAATATGAAAAAGGAAAAAGTGCCAAATTGAACTTCAAAAAAAAACTACTATTAGTTCAAATTTCTTTCGCGACAAGTCCTAGTAAACAGTCCTGTTTTTTTTTGTTCTTCTATAGTCTGTTCAGATTTTGAATGTCAAGTCGTCGCTCAAGCTCCGCCCCTAATGGTGCGACAAACCAATCGGAGAGCGAGCCATCCACAGAGTGTTTTTGAATGACGTCATTTTACTTGACATTCAAAATCTGAACAGACTATATTAGCGATCACATACAAAAAAAACCGAACAGTGCATAGATATAGCTAACAGGAAAAAAATTTAAAAAAAAAAAGAATGTACACCGGCTGCGTCGGCGTCATGACGACGTCATATAGCGCGCCTGAAACGATGATGAGTACTCGAGTCGCGATTCCTAGAGTTCTTAGCGTCGTTTTCACCGTGTTGACCGCAAACTCACTATCGCACACTATACATCATGAGCTACGCACAGATTTATATACGGCGTCCACGCGTGTTTTCGCGATCAGGGACGCCCCTGAAGGCGAAAATTTCGAAAGGTAAAAAATAAAAAATAACCGGTGCCGGATCAAGTCACCCTCGTTAGCGATTTACCGGTTTGCGTTCATAATTAAATCGTCCCAACTCCGTCTGAATAATCTTTGAAAACCTCTAAAGTTTTTTTCTTTTCAACTTTATTGCATGCGACTAGGATTCATTTGATCATTTTCCATATAAAAGTACTTGATTTTTTTTAGGCTCCATATTAAAGAATTTTCCCGGGCTTACACATCTCTACTTTTTGGTATTGCCTTTCTAGTTACCATTTTTTTTTCAAGTCCTGAGGCTTCAGGCATACACTTCAAAAAGTTAACAGTTTAACGAAAGAAGTCGTTTATTGGTGATGGGCGAGAGTGCCAAAAAAGGCGGAAAATGGAATCGGACTCCGTGATCAGGCAGGTGCGGGGTCCTGGAAGGTCCATGCTTAGTTCTGAAAGTAAGAGAAAAGCTTACAGCAGGTGCTTCACCCTGAGCGGATTTGCCAGCGGTATCAGCTTGCGACTTATCGGCTTTCTGAAACAGGCGGTTTAACTCAGAAAGTAGTTCAGAGATGTCGAGTGAATCCCGATCTGAGTAGTACTGACCGGTTTCTTCTTGCCGCAGAGTGGGAGCGCGAGCACTGGTAGAGCGACGATAACAAGCGGCCACATGATGTCGAGTTGCGACTTCTAACTAATACCAAGCCAAGTCTGACACTCGTAACGCACCAATTTTTCTTTTTATTTTCTTTTTCGAGCATCTAAAGTTCATTTCTATCTATTGAACCAACGCTGATTGCATGAACGTATCAAACTCGGTTTGTTACATTTCTTAATGAATTGCGATTTCTTGATCACAGAAATGCGACTTTCATGTGAGCCCCGTGCTCTATTGGGTGTGGGCAACTGCTTCGGTCTTAAGTTTTCTGGCGGGTCTGTCGACCATCTACACAGCCTACCGATTCATAGAACTCCGCACCACAGTACTGGACATTGAAAAGGCCATAATCGAGCTCCTCGACGATGTAAGATCTCATGCAAAAAGTGCTAGTTTCCAATTTTCTCCGATATATTGCAGGCCTTGCAAATTTTATTACCAATTGGGATTTGTAACCAAATCTGCCAATCTAAAGCTTCAAACTATCACATAAATCAGACTTATAAATGTGAGCTTAGCTGTTCTCACAGTTCTGTTAAATTCAACTTTCAGTATCGCTGCGAGGACGAAAAAAAAAGGAGAACCGCTATCCGGAAGACGTGTCTGTGCCAGTTTCTGACCTCGAAAACTTCTACTACGATTTTGGAAGTTCTCTTTTGAATTCGCAATTTTCTTTGTACAACCTTCCCATCAGGTTCTTCGATGAGAGCTTTCCACTGCAGCAAACGCGGCTCATCCGTCTCGAAAAAAGCGGTAACGGCCCCAGAGACCCCGTTGAAAGTTCAGTCATCAATCTATCCTCAATATCGAATATTTACAGAATAATATCAGAAATCCGACAATCCTAACCGCGAAATCAATGAAAAAGAAGAACGAAGGGGCTGTTGTCCGTGGCTTTTTTCTTTCAAACTTATCTTGAACTTACAGAAACAAGTTACGGACGCTACAAATCAACAAAAACCAAAACAAGAAGACAAAAAACCTGCCAGCATTACGATGGCAGGTCAGAAAACGCAAGTAGAAACAAATGATGTGAGTGATACAAATTGCTCGAAACAGTGAGTGAGTCCGTTCAGTTCCAGGAAATTAAATCAAAAGAGGCTCTCAGACTTTCTAAGGAGAAGGAAAACTCAAAGCGAAAAGATAGCTCGAAGAGAAAAGATGGATCAAAGAAAAAAGACAGTTCGAAGAAGAAAGACGGCTCGAAGAAGAAAGACGGCTCGAAGAAGAAAGATACGCCAAAACCCGCTTCCAGAGAGATGTTCACGGCCTCGAGTGAAAAGCTCTGAAATTGGATTGCCTCTTATTTTTGAAATTGGATTGCCTCTTACTTCTGTTGAAAAAAAAGAAAATTGTTTCATGATCGCAAATTTGAAAAAGGTTTACAAAAATTAAACCAAAACGGCTGGAAATTTTCTCAGAGACAGTGCGAACTTTTTCATCTTAATTTGAAACGCAGTTTAACCGAGACGCGTTGAGCCATTCTTCAGAATTTGTCGGTACTTTGGCACCTCATCACGAAGAATCACAGAACGAAAAAAAAGTAAATGAAACGAAGAAATACGTGACGTGAAGTCTTCTTCTCGTTCCGACCATTGCACAAATCATTGTTCAACAGGGACGTGATGGCTGACTCGTCTACAACAGACGCCCCCCAGGTTTACTCATTCACATGAAAAAAGCGCGAAACCCGAACAAGATTCCAGGAATCTAAGAAAGAAGAGCCGAAGGACCCCGAAAGCGCCGAAACGAGTCAAGGTAAGTTCAAGGTTCGGCAGAACAAAAAAACACTGTTAATGAGTAAGAAGTTTGGATCCAGAAACCGTTTTTTTTTCAGCAAGCAAAATAGGAGGCAAGAAAAAGGGCAAGAAGAACAAGAACAAGAAGAAGAAGAGGACCGCTCACTTCAAGTTCGTTTGAAGGAGTTTTGTCATCAGGAAACTAACTAATTAAGGAAACGTGGACATCCTGCGTGGAAGATCGTCTCTATAGTCTCAGGCCTTCTCGCTTTCGCGTTTCTGATAGCTTCTATGGTGCTAGCAGTTCTCATGGTCATGAAGGTCTAGCTGCGACCGTGAAACTTCACTAACATGCCCCGCTAAATAAACTTTTGTAATAGCAATTTATTCTCTTTTTTTTCGTATCACAGAAAAGCAACCAAGCAATAAATAAAATTATACTATAAAAAATCTAGACGACTCGTCAAGCGCTGCCGAGTTCCATAATGTAGGAGAGCAGCGTCTTGACGCCTTCGATGTAGTTGAACTGAACGTGTTAATCGAAAAGGCGAACAGATATAAATTCACCTTGTTGTTCTTCTCGTTTTGCGAGTGCGCCATATCGTCAGCAGCGCCAATGGGAAGAAGCAGAACACTTTTTCCAGTCAGCTCCTGAAAATCAGCTGTGAAATGTTTTGGGCGGTAAACACCTGGAAGGTAAGAGTGATAGGAATGCTGCAGCCTTCGCGGATTCGGTCGGGCTCGACGCCATGCACTGAGAAAGAGTTTTGCTTTCTGTTCACGGTTTCTCAAATACCGAGCTTCATGGCGCGAGCTCCGGCGAGGAAATTGGGGTCGTTGACGTCAGCGACCCAAGACATTGCACTGTGTCCTGGCTTCGCGCTGAACTTTAATTTTTCGTCCAGAAGATTTAAAACAGGCACTTGAAAGTGTTTGGAGATCCGCGCTTCTTCCACAATTCGTTCAAATAATCGCCAACGATCTTGTTCACCTCAATTCAACACTTCGTGAACAAAAAAAGAACGTCTGAGAAACCTTTTCAGGAGTCATGTTGGGCACGATGCGGATGGAGAACTTACCGATAACTTTGGAAGGAATGACCGTCTTCTCGCCTTTCCCATAGAAAGCACCTTCGACCCCATGAACAGTAAGTCTGAACCCACCATTTCGAGGGACCATATCGGTCATTTAACTTACGAAGGTTCCCTCCATCTGCGAATCAGCAAGGTCTCCTTGTCCTCCGTGGGAAGCTTCGAAGCGCCGACGCTCTCTCGGAATTCTTTCACGTCGAACTCTATCTCCTTGTAAATCCTTGCTTCAACCTCGCTCATCGGTGCCACGTCGTCGTAAATAGCTATGTACATGAATTTATCGAAATAGAACGATTAAATTTCTCACAAGGAATGGAGATGCGGTTTTCGACGGTTGTCAACTGAGACATGATCCAGAACAAGTCAGCCAAAGGCTCGTGGCTGAAACTCGCATTTGAAATTGTAAGATCTTTTCACTCTATTCTTCGCCAGCTTGATACAAAAAAAAGCATCTAAATATTTTTTCGCTCACTGTAAGGGCCTCTATTACATATTGTCTTAAATAAGCGGTCAATGAACTAAATTTCTTACACAACTCCACCGAAAACTCCTGAGTGTAAGTCCTGCTTGATACCCGAGACTTCCACAAAGAACGAGCAAATACCTCTGAAATTTACATTTTCGAATCAAATGCAAACTATGAGGCACCGCAATCCGTAGGTCAAGCAAGGCTTCTTGGTTCCGAGCCAATAACTGTCAGAAATGCAGGTGAAGTCGACGTCGCTGAGAAATCCTTTCTGCTCTCGTTTGAGCAAATCTTCGAGCCCAACCGAACCAGATTCTTCCATCGCTTCAAAGCAGAACTTAACTTTTACAGGAGTTGAAATGAGTCCGGAGATAAATCACCTTAATGTTAATAGGCAGCTCGACGTTGTTTTTCTGAGCGGCTCTGATGGCGTGGACCCAGCAAAGAACTGGCCCTTTATCATCCGAAGACCCTCTTCCAAATAGTTTTCCGTCTAAAAATTCTCAAAACTCCCAAGTCATAAGCTTTGTCTGATCGCGTAATTCTCATGCATCTAACTCCATTCTTTAAAGCTTAAAAAAACTCGCCTTTCTCCACGAGTTCAAACGGCTCGGTGTCCCAGCCATCAGACTTCTGTGCTGGTTGTACATCTAATCAATTTTTTATTTAAAAAAAAAACCGTAATTGGTTCTTCGGTTCTCACCTACATGACCATATACCAAAAGAGTTTTTTTAGACTTGTCGGTACCCAAAGTTCCAAATAGAACAGGTGGCAGTGGGATCTATGTGTTAGACTAAGTAAAGATTGAGCTTCGAGCAATTACCTCCTTTCCTTCCAAGGTTTGATTTCCAAGGTCTTGAAGGCTGCAGGTAGCTCCGATCTCTTCCAGCTTTGCCCTATAAAAGCATAAAATTCATTTAGGATTTGGACAAAGCGATCGAAACGAACTTCATCCAGTGAACCATGCGAATCGTTTCGTCGCGTTTCGAAGGGTCTGATGAAACACTTTGAATAGCCACGGCCTCTCGCAGAATCTCTTTCAAATTTTCATAATCTTCTTCAATACCTCTGCAAGAAATACTTCTCATTCATTAGATTTATTGCAAAACGTACTGAAAAATTTTGGCATGATCCATTTTGGAAAGACGTACTAATGAAAAGTTGGACGAGCCCTGAAACAGCAATGAATTCGAGAACAGTGGCACGGTCTGAGCGATAAGACTGGGAGATTAAAATAATGTGGCGAACAAACACTCTTAGAAGCTGACACGCCATTTTCAAAATTCGTTGAAAGGAGACGCAAATAAAAAACAATTTTTGACTCTTGAACTCAATATACTACCCCCTTTTCAAAGCAATTTCCGCGGGATTCAAAATCATCTCTGAGTCACCAAAAACTAGTTATCTTTTTTCTTGAGAACATCGTAAGGGGCGAGACTGGAATTTTCCTGTCACTTTGAACACGCCATTGTAAATAATTTATATGCCTTGATTTTTAAAAATATTTGATGTCTCTCAAAAAAATTCAAAGTTTCGAAGTCAAAATGAAAAATTTTTTTCAACAAGAGGGAATCCTCTCTTTTTTTCAAAGAGTATTCTTCAGAGATCATTCATCATTCAAAAAAAATTTAAAAAAATATAATCTAAGTGACCCTTTGAGTGGCTCCTTGAGTAAAATGTTCCCTCAAGAGCTTACTGAGCTTTGTCAATTGAGCGTACATGACTTTGTCGCATTTTTTTCATCATTTTTTTAAATTTTATAAAAAAATTCTACTTTTTTTAAAAATCAAAATTTTTCCCTAAAAAAAGTTTCGAGATCATTGGAGCAATCTCCCGTTTTCGAGTTTACTTCTGTTCAAAATTTTTCACGAAATGGAGGAAGTTTTTCAGAGGAATGTCTCAAGACGAGGCAAAACTGAAGGAGAATGGGCGGAACGACGAAACTTCTGAACCGGTGGAAGTGCAGCAGGAGACCAAGAGATTTGGCGAGGTAGATCTGGATCGCATTCATATCCAGAACATCCCTCATTTCATTGGCTTCAAACAATTTAAAAAGCAATTAGAAAAGTAGGTCGTTGGGACAAAATAACCGTCGTTTCTCAGAATTGTAGATGAAGTGAAAATAAAGAAGATTCGACAGATGGGAGATTACGCCTATGTTACATTCGAAACTCCGGACGATGCTCAGGAAGCGATAAAACGAGTAAACGGATCACAGGCTGGTTTCATTTATGAATGAACTTTTATTTTTCTGTTTTTTTAGATTAAAAACTTCAAATTAACCGCACAATTGGCTGCAAAGGAAGAGAAGTGCTTCCGACCGAAAGCAGATCATCTGAAGGTTTTAAATTCATAATTTCTATGAAAGATATGATTGAAGGACGAGAAGCCAAAGACAGCGAGAGAGAGTGTGACTCCACTTGCAGACGAGCCGTACGACCGTCAGCTCGCAATCAAGTTTCAAAATAGCGAAAAGTAACTAACAGCGCGAATACAGAGCTCGAAGTAATATTCAGACAGTCAGAGAAACTTTACAAGCAAATGCAGCAGGGTCAAGTGAAACTACCAAAATTAGCCGAATTCAAAAAACTTTTGGGACCGGTTAATTTCAAATTTTCGTGTCTCGCTTCATTTTATATATTTTCAGGTCGTACCTTCCCCAAAAATAGTGGGTTATAGAAATAAGTGCGAGTTCACTATAGGACAAAACTTGGATGATGAGGTGAATACAGTGAGAATCACTCAAATTTGAGTGTGGATTTCAGATTTGTGTTGGATTCGTCGGTGGAAAATTCTCGCTAAATAAACACTATGTTATTCCTGTCGAAAGAGTTGAAAATATCAGCTCACAAATGATAGCGATAGTTGAAGACGTTCAAGAGTTTGTTCGATCCTCAGGTATGAACCCTGAAAATATGTGATGAACTTTGGAGATTTCAAGGTATGGACCCTTTTGACGAGTTCGAAAGGACGGGCTTTTGGAGAATGTTGACAGTCCGAGAGTTCAGCGGAGACGCCATGCTCATCTTTACCGTTTTTCCGACCGAAGACGAAGCCAAAGAGAAAGAATTTCAAGAACAGATTGTCAAAAGGTGAGAAGCTCCATCATTCTTCTATAGAATTATTTTTTAAGGTTCCTGGATCCCTCAACATTAACCTCGAAAAGATTCCGCGTTAGTTCTTTGTACTGGCAGAAGCTGGTGAACTGCAGTGATCCGACCGTTCACCAGCATATTGGAGGTGTTTTTGATTCCGCTTTTCATTTACCTGACGGTTCAGGAACTCCCTACATTTACGAGTCGATCCTCGACTGCAGGTTCCGAGTTTCTCCCGCGGCTTTCTTCCAAACCAACAGCCAAGGCGCCGGCGTTCTTTACTCGGTCATCGGAGAGCGCTGCGGTCTGTCAGATATTCCGTCTGAAACTCCTCCCGCAACCGAGATAGAAGAGCCTGAAAGCAAGAAAATGAAGACGGATAATGAAAGTGAAGTACGTTTGGTTGTTTTTTATTTGATTCATCCTCTTTTATTCAGGAATCACCGGAAGACTTTGGAACGATTTTCCTGGATATTTGCTGCGGAACAGGTACGATCGGACAATGCGTCCTTAATAAATACAAGAAAAATAAAAAGGTTAAAAAGATTTCGTAAAGTTATAAAAAATTTATCTCAGATTTTTTGCATCGGCGTCGAAATGATTGCAAACGCTGTTGAAGACGCGAAACAAAACGCTAAAAGTAACAAAATGGAAAATTGCAGGTTTTTTTAAGATTGAAAACTCGAAAATTATGTTATTGATTGCAGTAGATACATATCTGGAAAGGCGGAAGACGTTTTCAGAGACTTGCGTTATTTGCTTCCCAACGGGTACGACCTTCGAAAATCCAAGGTACTGCTCCTTTCTTACTCAAAAACACAAGTAGAGACAGTCAAGACAAATTGAATTTGTGTTCAAACAGAAATTTCCGCGGAGAGATTAGTGATCACATTAAAAGAAAACTTTAAGATCCTTTCAAAGGTCGCAGTCGTATATCTAAAACGTGAATATAGGATTTCATTAGGTCGAAAGTTTCTTTTTCACTATCAGGAAATATTTGGAGTATGTTTAAAAATTTAAAAAAAAATTATGCATTAAAAGCTGCAAAATCTCCTTTTTTTTGAATGAATGTGGCAGTCGAGAATGGAAGATTTGAACATCTGAAATCATTTCGAGAGGAAAGAAAATCGAAAAAAGGGGAGGAAGCTAAAATAAAATAAGAAAAGAAACTTTTGAGGTCGTCGGAGTTCTGGATCCGCCACGTGCCGGCATGCACGATCGCGTAATTCATGCTTGCAGAGAGGTTTTTGTCAGGAAAAAAAAAAGAATCCATTCCGTTTTAAAGATGAGCACTCTCCGAAGACTGGTTTTTGTTTCCTGTGACCCAGCTGCTGCGACAAAAAACTTGGTCGATTTGTGTCGACCGACGTTAGTTTCTCTCCTTTCTGAAAATCAATGAAACCATTCTCTCAAGATCGCGAAAATTCATGGGTGATCCATTTTCGATAAGCAGCATCCAGCCTGTGGATATGTTCCCGCAAACGGCTCACGTTGAATGGGTTGTACAATTGGACCGATGAAAAACTCATTGTTCGGTTGTTATTGCTGTTTTTCGTTCGCAGAAAACTATCCTTGAAAAAAATCAACGAGAAATAGTAGCATTTATTTTTATTTTGGATAAGCCGTAAGCTTTTTGAAATTCAAAAGGAAAACCGAAAAAAAAAATTATTTCACCGATGATTTTCTGGGAGTTTTTTTCCTTTTCAGACTTGTTGGTTGTACCTTGTTGTTGATCAGATCGAACTGAGTTATCTTTATTGTTATAAATATTTCCCGCAGTGTTATTTTTTTTTTAGCACTTTTATGTTTTTCAACAATGGGAAACCACACACCTCCCCTCTGGTATCTCTCTTTCCTCGCTTTCTTATCATTTATAAGTGTTTCAGTCTAGTTTGTGATCGCGCCAATAATGTCGAGTACGTCTGGACAGGTATTTTTCCGAGTATTTCTTGGAAATCGATTCGATTTGTAGGTTATCAAATGCAAGGCGACAGTTGCGTGGGAACCGAATAAGCCACTTTCGTTGGAAACGATCGAAGTGGCTCCGCCGAAGGCTCACGAAGTCCGCGTCAAGGTCTTTTTTTTCGGAAGTTTTGTTTTATATTTACCGATTGACAGATTCTGAATACGGCGGTTTGCCACACCGACGCCTACACACTGGACGGACACGACCCCGAAGGACTGTTTCCTGTCGTTCTTGGCCACGAAGGGGCCGGAATCGTCGAGAGTGTCGGCGAAGGCGTTCAAGGGTTCGCTCCAGGTCTCTTTTCATTTTTGTATCCCTCATATAGTGACTTTTTTGTTGATCTCAATCGGCTACTTTCTTTGAAACTGAAACTTTATTCAGTCTTCAGAGAAGGTACTCTGCTGAATCATGGAACAATTGAAGAGTTGTTCGTCGGTTTGCGAAACTGTCGTTGATCAAACGTAGACGGCGCGTAGAGCATCTCGTCTTTCTTGTGATAGTAGTAGACGACTTTCGAGCGTTTCCGACGATCACTGCTTCTCCATGGCTACTTTCTTAATATTTAGAAAAAAATGTTGGGAATTCCCATATCTTTTGAAGTTTTTGAAATGAATTTATTAAAAATACATAGAAGGTTTGAACAACAGTGTTATTGGAGGAGAATGATTCTTCTGAGAATCAAGTAGAAATGCTCCTAACTCAGATAAACAAAATTTTTATTGAAATTACAATTTCAGTTTCTCCATCGAAAGTATCTTCATAATTTCCCACATAGTTTTTTTAATTATTGTTTCCAGAGTTTATGGTGGCGTATTTCTGCTCCGAAATCTGAAAATATACCGTCCTTGAAGCACAATAAATTTTCAGGTGACCACGTCATTCCCCTCTATGTTCCTCAGTGCAAAGATTGCGAATACTGCAAAAATCCGAAGACTAATCTTTGCCAGAAGATTCGGTACGTTTTGAAGCTTTATATTTTTATCGGACGGAGACTTCAGTGTCTCACAAGGAAACGGCATGATGCCTGATGGAACGAGTCGGTTCACTTGCAAAGGCAAAACGTTGTACCATTTCATGGGTTGCTCAACTTTCACCGAATACACTGTCACAGCTGACATTTCTTTGTGCAAGGTGCCATTGTGACTGTTGTTGAATACTTAGTTGGACTTTTCAGGTCAATCCTGTGGCTCCTTTGGAGAAGATCTGCTTGCTCGGTTGTGGCATATCTACAGGCTATGGAGCCGTCCTGAACACTTGCAAGGTTTTCAGAAAAATGGGAAAATCCGTAAGATGATTGATCAGGTGGAAGAGGGGAGTACGGTGGCCGTTTGGGGCCTTGGAGCCGTCGGCCTCGCTGTGATCATGGGCGCCAAGGCGGCAGGAGCGAAAAAGATTGTTGGAATCGATTTGATCGAGAGCAAATTCGATTCTGGTCCGTTTGCCTTTAAAATCTCTCAGAAAAAAGTGAAGCATACTCAAACATATATTCTTCAGCCAAAGTTCTATACCAGGAAATTATTTTTTCCAAACTTTCAAAAAAAAGTTCAATAGTTTTTATGAAATATGTCCAAATCACTTTAATTCCCAAGAAAAATTATCAAAATTTCGTACTTTTACGCGTCGAAACGAAAAAAAGAGATTTTTAGCCAAGTTCTTCGGCGCTACTGATTGTATCAATCCAAAGGCCATACAACTCCCCGAGGGAAAGTCTTTCCAGGTGAATTTCTTTTGCCCTGTTTTAATGAGGTTTATTTTGAGGCTTGGCTCGTTGATAACTTCGACGGCGGCTTCGACTACACCTTTGAGTGCATCGGAAACGTTCAAACTATGGTAGGTTTTGGTCTGTAGATCCATTTAAAGAGGGAGCTTCAGAGACAAGCCTTGGAAGCCGCTCACAAGGGCTGGGGCGTCTCTTGCATCATCGGAGTGGCTGGAGCCGGACAGGAAATTGCGACGAGACCCTTCCAGCTCGTCACAGGCCGCACCTGGAAGGGAACTGCTTTCGGAGGTTCAGTTCAGCGTGATATCCCGAAAAGCAACCAAAAACGGATGGAATTGAAATACCGAAGCGAGGAGAAAAAGTTGATTAGGCGCTTTTTCTTCTTCGTCTTTTTGAAAAAATATTTTTGTAACTCAAAGGATCTCAGCTCACAGTGGGACTTCTGAAAGAGACTAGGCTCACTAGATGAATTTTTTCACGCTGATTCCGAATCTGTCTTCAAAAGCTGCTCAGCTAAAAATTAAAACCAAGAACATCAATGGGGATACCACTCTCAAAGACTGCCGTCCTTACCTTTCAAGTTTTTGGAAAACAATTTTAACTACCTTTTAGGGCGAGAATTGATTTTAACACCATTTTTTTTATTCTTGTAAGCGATTTCCTGGACTATTTGGGATCTGTACCCACGTACAATCAAGAAAAAAGATCTTGACTTTAAAGAAAGACTTCAGGAAAAAGATTAATTTAAAAGTTTTTTGATGAAAATAGCGTTTTGAAGGATGGAAGAGTGTGGAAAGTGTTCCGAAGCTCGTCGAAGACTATCTCTCGAAGAAGATCAATCTGGATGAATTCATCACCCACCGATATCCAATCGATGAAATCAACACCGCTTTCGACGTTTTGCACAAGGGAGAAAGGTCTTTTGCTCAACTTTTTTTTCTCAAAAAATCATTTTCCAGCCTTCGATCTGTGCTCTCCTTCTCTTAATCGGACTGATCTTCTCGCCGTTGCTTCAAATTGCCCATTTCGTTGATTATAGCTTACTAACGTGTATTTTTCATGTGTCCTGTGATAAAGATTTAGAAAGTCACTAATTTTTGCGTTTTTTATAACTATTTTGCTGTGTTTCGAAGACACCTCGTAGAGTATTATGATCATTGTTATTTTTGAAAAATGCTCATTTTCACAGTGAACTTTTTATATGGAAGTTCACAGAACAAATTTTGAAAGAGATTTCTTTTCTTTGCTGAAGACAAATTAGGAAAAGATCAGGAATGGGAGCGCTGGCGGAAGACATCGTGGCGACGGTGCTGGAGAACATCGAGGAGAAGGGCTACAAGGACGAGGAACACAAGGCGGCGCTCATCAAGGACGAGGCCAACCAGTTCTTCAAAGGTTTCCAAAAAAGGAGACCGAAAAGTTCTCAAAGTTGAGAACAATTAGTCAAATCATTAGAATCATCCTGGGCTTCACCGATTTTTTTTTCTTCACAGCTTAAGTAATTAAATAATGAACTGGAATCAGGCAAGCGCAGAATAAAAAGTTTCAAAATTACATATAAAAATGCGACGTCCACATTTTTTCGAAGATTTTGGATAGTTTTGTCATATTTTGTTGCGGATTTCCTAAAATTTGTTTTGTATTTGACTTTTTTTTGACATTTCAACCTGAAACTATTTAACGCTCTGGAGAAATTACTCTGAGCGTTTGCACCTTTTTGGGTAATTTTGAGTAAGAGTAATAAATCCATCCTTTTTTTATTTAAAGGCCAGAAAGTCGATTAGAACTTATATAACTTTCTGGTTTGTCTGAAAGAGAAGTTGGAAAAATTCACAGAACCAAAGACTTTTTCAGTGTCAAGACAAACTTGATACATCTTTGAGGTGTTTATTGATTGATCACAACTCAGATCAAGCCTACGACGTTGCGATAGATCTGTACTCGATGGCCATCGAGTATCATCCGACTGCCGTTTTGCACGCCAACAGGTTAGGTTCTCGACATCATACCCGGATAATTTGCTTCTCAGGAGTATGGCCTACGTTAAAAAGGAACTTTATGGGTCAGCACTGGAGGACGCGGACAGCGCGATCGCCTTGGACCCCTCATATCTCAAGGTTTCCGGAATCATAATTACCAGATTTCTTCAAGAGAAAAAAAAAATGATTCCTTTTCTATAGGGATTCTACCGACGTGCGACGGCGAATATGGCTCTGGCGAGGTTCAAAAAAGCCCTCAACGACTACGCCGCCGTTGTCAAAGTTCTTTTTTTTTCCAATTTAGGATGTAAAACTTGTATTATTCTTTCGAGATCATCTATTTATGATAAGCAAAGAAAAAATAGAACATTCTACGAAAAATTCATATATAATCAGGTGAAATTTAGATTGAAATTTTGTTTTGGTGCTCATTAAATTTTGAAATCGCTACAGTTTACATCTTATTCAGTTATATGTTTTTTTCAAGGTATGTCCCAACGATCCGGACGCGAGGAGAAAGTTCGAAGAATGTCAAAAGATTGTGCGACGGATAAACTTCGAGAAGGCGATTTCGACGGACCACGACAAGAAGTCGGCGGCGGACAGCCTCGACCTCAACTCGATCGGTTCTTTTTCTGACTCGGGCCTCTCAGAACTCGTGCCATTTTCAGTCGTCGAAGAATCTTACGATGGACCTCATCTGGACGAGAAAGTGACCGCCGATTTCATGCGCGACATGATCGCAGCTTTCAAGAAACAGAAGAAACTTCATCGCAAATATGCTTTCAAGGTCGGTTGAGCCAAGAGAAATTTATTGCTGAGATGGCTTTTGAATTATTTCAGTTTTTGCTATTTTTGCTGAACTTTTTCTTGTTTTCTTCTTGTTAAAAATATAGCAGAGCTTAAAGTTAGCTTTTTTTGCAGATACTCATAGAGATTTTCGCATTCCTCCGAGCACAGCCGACGATGGTGGAGATCAGCGTGCCGGAGAAGCAGAAATTCACAATTTGCGGCGACGTTCACGGCCAGTTCTTCGATCTCTGCAACATTTTCGACATCAACGGCCTTCCCAGCGAAAAGAACCCCTATGTAACAAAAAGAAACAACATAAATAGGGAAAACTGTGCATTTCCCAGCTTTTCAACGGGGATTTCGTTGATCGTGGCTCGTTCAGCGTTGAGACGATATTCACCATGTTTGGCTTCAAACTTTTGTACCCCAACCACTTCTTTTTGTCTCGAGGGAACCACGAAAGTGACGTCATGAACAAGGTTCGAGATTTGGAAGTCTTTTCTGTGATTTCGAAACGTTTGAGATGTACGGATTCGAGGGCGAGGTGAAAAAGAAGTACAGTCAGCAGATGAGCGACTTCTTCACTGAGATCTTCTGCCACTTGCCACTCTGCCATCTCATCAATTCGAAGATTTTTGTTAGTTGTCCGAATCTTGAGGTCCAGGAAAACTGAGCCAACGGACTTCATGAAACAGGAACCTTCTATTCGAATGTTTTAAAAAATCTGGAAAAAATCTGAGCTCAGAGAATTTATTAGGGAGTTTTGATCACACATCGTAGCTGTTTTTTTTAAAATAATTATTCTGGATATTTTAATTTCTATTGAGAAGGGTTGAAGTCTCTGAAAAGAGTACCTGGAATCATACTGAAACTTGAAGGTGTGCCACGGAGGCCTGTTCAAGGAGGATGGCGTCACCCTCGACGACATCAAGAAAACGGACCGCGTGCGGCAGCCGCCGGACGAAGGAATCATGTGCGACCTTCTTTGGTGAGTCTCCTGTGGGAAAACCTCTCGTAGAAGAAACTACTTTTTGAAGATTTAAAAAAAAAGATAAGAATTCGACTAGGCTCTATTTAGTTCAATTTTTTGATAAATTATAATAGGAAGTTTTTTTCATTAGTTTTTTTCTTAGAAACTATTTGAAATTTGAATTTTTGAAAAAAAAAAAAACTTTTTCCAATTCTTGTTTCCCTGCTAGGAGCCATAATTTACTCAACTAAAAACGCTTCTAGTAAAAGAATTTTCGGTGTCTCTTATTCACTTGCTGCATTTTTAAAGTTCTTTTTTTTGTCACATGGGCGTTTTATTGATAGTTACGAAGCGAAGAAAGTTGCCTTATTTCATCAAAGTCTATTAAATTTCAAAGGCCCCGAAAAGGGGCTAAGAAAAGAGAAAAACGAACTGCTTTTTTCTTACCGATTGTTGGATAAGCTCAGTCATTGCTCTGTAATTGGACTGCCTTCCAGGTCGGACCCGCAGCCTCTGAATGGCCGTTGTCCGTCGAAACGAGGCGTCGGATGCCAGTTCGGACCTGACGTCACCGTGAGGTGGTGCAAGGAGAACAAAGTCGACTATGTTGTTAGGTTAGGGATCGGATCGGATTTCTTCTCACTGAGAACCCTTTCAGGAGCCACGAAGTCAAACCCGAGGGCTACGAGGAGCACCACAACGGCCAATGCTACACTGTAAGCACCCTATCTTTTTCCTATATATTTTCTTCTTCCAGGTTTTCTCCGCTCCCAATTATTGCGACCAGATGGGTAATAAAGGCGCATTCATTACAATTACGGGGGACAATCTCAAGGTGAATTCTGGCTTCTTTTCCTCAGTTCATCCTCTTCTTCAGCCAAAATTCACAACGTTCGACTGCGTCGCTCATCCGAACCTGCCTCCGATGGCCTACGCCAACAACCTTTTCGGGTTCTAAACCGCTAAATTAGGTCGTATCGCACACTCGATAGGATTCCCGTTGATCTGTTTTGTTTTCTTACTTGATTGTTCCACTCATCTCCGTTTTTTCCACCTTTCCGTCATTGTTTGTTACTATCGCATGCTTAAAGGTTCTTTAATAAGTACGGCTCGTCATAAATGTTGAGTTTGCCTTCCATAAGATACATTTATTCATACAATAATCTATATGCAAAGTATATACGAACTAGAAACATAAGGCGCTTTCAATTAGTCAACCTAGTGCTTGTGGGACTTCTTGTGATGTTTCTTGTGGTGCTTGTGATGATGCTCCGGCTCGCTTTCCGATGAAGACGACGACGAGCTGGACGAGCTGGAGGAGGAGCTGGACGACTGGGCCTTCTTGTGACCTTTAACGTGCTTCTTATGGTGCTTGTGATGATGTTCGGGCTCGCTTTCCGAGGAGGACGAGCTGGACGAGCTTGAAGAGGAGCTTGAGGACGCAGCTTTCTTGTGAGACTTGACGTGCTTCTTATGGTGCTTGTGATGATGTTCAAGCTCGCTTTCTGATGAAGACGACGAGCTTGAAGAGGAGCTTGAGGACACAGCTTTCTTGTGAGACTTGACGTGCTTCTTGTGGTGCTTGTGGTGGTGCTCCGGCTCGCTTTCTGATGAAGACGACGAGCTGGACGAGCTTGAAGAGGAACTTGAGGGCGCAGCTTTCTTGTGAGACTTGACGTGCTTCTTGTGGTGCTTGTGGTGGTGCTCCGGCTCGCTTTCCGAAGAAGACGAGCTGGAGGAGCTTGAAGAGGAGCTTGAGGACTCAGCTTTCTTGTGGCCTTTCACGTGCTTCTTGTGGTGCTTGTGATGGTGTTCGGGCTCGCTGTCAGAAGAAGAAGATGATGATGAGCTGGAAGAGCTTGATGAAGAGCTCGACGAAGCGGCCTTCTTGTGGCTCTTGACGTGTTTCTTGTGGTGCTTGTGCTCCTCTTCGCTTTCCGAAGAGGACGAACTCGAGCTTGATGATGAGCTAGAGGAGCTGCTCTTCGCGTGGTGGTGCTTCACGACATGATGCTTCTTGTGTCTGGAAATAAAAAGGATAATTATGGATTTTCCGAATAATTTTGAGGAAAATATCAAAAAAATCTTTCTACAAATTGAAGTGGTGGAAAAAAGCGGAAAATTTACCCATGGTGTCCGCCGTGTTCATGGTGTCCGGGATGAGTGTGGTGGCCATGGTGTACTGGGTAATGGTGCGGATGATGGTGTCCATAGTGATGCGGATGGTAACCGTGATGAGCGTGGTGCAGCGAGGAATCGTGGTGGCCGTGGTGGCCGTAGTGGTGAGGATGGCTATGATGTCCAGAATGGTGCGGAAGATGACCATAGCCATGGTGGAGCGAAGAGTCGTGATGTCCGTGGTGATGATGGTGAGGATGACTTCCGTAGTGATGACCATGGGGATGATGTCCATGGTGTCCGTAGTGGTGTGGATGATGGCCTTGGTGGAGCGACGAATCGTGATGTCCATGGTGATGAGGATGGCTGTGGTGTCCAGAGTGGTGCGGGTGATGGCCGTGGTGGAGCGACGAGTCGTGATGTCCAAGGTGATGAGGATGGCTGTGGTGTCCTGAGTGGTGCGGATGATGACCGTGGTGGAGCGACGAATCGTGATGTCCAAGGTGATGAGGATGGCTGTGGTGTCCTGAGTGGTGCGGATGATGACCGTGGTGGAGCGAAGAATCGTGATGACCATGGGGATGATGTCCGTGATGTCCGTAGTGGTGTGGATGATGGCCGTGGTGGAGCGACGAATCGTGGTGTCCATGGTGGTAGCCGTGATGTCCATAGTGGTGAGGATGGCCGTAGCCATGGCTGTGATGATGGCTCAAATGCCCATGGTGTTCGTGGTGACCGCCGTGATGGTGGTGCGGATGATGTCCGTGGTGGCCATAGACATGAGCGTCGTAATGATGAGGATGATGACCATAGCCGTGGTGCAGCGACGAATCGTGGTGTCCGTAGTGATGATGGTGAGGATGGTGGCTGTAATGATGGCCGGAGTGGTGATGAGGATGAGTTCCATAATGATGATCATGAGGATGATGTGGATGATGGCCGTGGTGAACCGAAGAATCGTGGTGGCCCTTCTTGTGATGCTTCTTATGCTTGTGCTCGTCCTCAGACTCCGAAGATGATGAGGAAGAGGAGCTCGAGGAAGAGCTTGAAGAGCTTGAGGACGACGCCGCCTTCACGTGCTTCTTGTGATGTTTCTTGTGATGCTTCTTCTTTTCGTCTTCGGACTCAGAAGATGAAGACGACGACGAGGAAGAAGAGGAGCTCGAGGAAGATGCATCCGTCTTGCGCTTCTTTTCGTCGTGTTTCTCAGTTTCGCTCTCCGAAGAAGAAGATGAACTTGAAGAACTGGAGGACTGAAAAGTGTACAATTTTTTTGGAAAACTTTTCTTCATGCCGCACCTTGGCGTGATTTTTCGTCTTCTTGCCATGGTGATGATGGTGCTCATGAGGCTGGGCGAAGTGAAGGAATCCTTAAAGTTCGATTTTCTTTCTTTTTGTCATATTTCATCGTACTGGAGTGCACAGATCACCACGTGGAAAAATTGCCTTATCAGGCAATCCGATTTAAAAGATAACGAGGGTGTTTCCCATTTTATCAATCAGTGTTCTTTTTATCACTGCTGGAAAATCGAGAAGGGAAAGAAAAGCCGACCGGAAAAATCTAATAATCCTTCGTGGGAATATTGTTTCCATCCATCACGGAAGCTCAGATCTTTGCGAACGTGTTTGAGTTCGCTCACAGCTTTTTCCGCCTCGGACTTGTTCAGCTTCTCGGTGTGCTCCGTCGCGTGAAGATCGAAGATCTTCTCTGAAATCCGTTTTTTGAGTTCTTTTTACTTGATTTCCTTTTTTATTTAGTGCTGACTTCGTAAAATATTTGGCTTTCCGCGATCCACGAAACAGTCTGTGAAAAAAAGACACTCGAACAAATCATTTTTTGTCCTTAGATAGCGGTGAATGGACTGTAGCTCCGAAAAATCGTTCAAAAAACACGCTTTGTCTCACAAAAGGAGTTTTAGCTATTGAAAATATCGAAATTTGTGTATTTTTGATCTAAATATCCAAAAGGTATTGGGAAGGCATCCAAAGGAAGTTTCAGCACTAATAAGTCGAACAGTGACAATCGCTATACTGCTTTTGTCACTAATTGGAACATCGTTTCGTGACTTTTTCTGCAGTCTCAAAATGGTTTTAAATTTTGTCGCGTTTACAATTTCATTGATATCGAAACTTTTGGGCAATTTCGGAAAAATTGCAGATCTTTTTGACGACCTCTTGCTCCAATAACTGCCTCGGAGTTGGAAGATGTGACGAACGCAATTTGCTAGTCAAAGCCGAACCTGCAGCTCGGAGGCTCAGGTCGGCTAGGACGGCCGCGAGGCGGACGAAGAAATCGGCCCCGGGGTAGAGGGTGAGGAAAGAAGTCGACTTACTGATGTGCTTGACGGAGGAGTGGTGGTGATGATGGCGCGGCATCTTCGACTGTCTCAGCTCCGCTCTTCGTCCCCTTTTATACCGCGACCCGCCGTTAATTGCTTCTCGTCGTCTTATCAGCTCGTTTTCGGTTCTGATGTAATCGCCCTAGCGTTGGCATTGTGAACAATGATGTGCAAACAGAATCTGGATATTTGAGGAATCTGAAGCCTCTGGAAGTTGTTCGAGAGATTCTTTGCAAGCCTCGGCTGTACGTTAACGAATCTGGAACTATGACACGTCCTTTTTCACATGTTCATTCAACTTCAAAATAGTCAAAACTAAATAGAAGAAAACTTTGAAATTGGCTCAAATTATGAAGAAGCGGCTCTTTCATATCCACCACTGACTACTAGACAAAAAAGAAACTGTAGAAATGCTACTTTTTCACACTTTTTTTGCTAATCTTTTTAGAGATTCCAATAAATGATTTCTGAAGCAGTCAACAAAGTTTCTCACTTCTGTGGAAAAGTCTGACTTGTCTGTAAAGTCTGACTTGTCTGTATCTTGACTTGATCTCTCTTCGTCGCTCTCTCGATTTTCATTCTCTCTTTGGTAAGAATAGAGAGCGCAGACAAGGCAGATTGTTGCAATTTGAATCTTTTCACCTTGATATTCACGTACCCCATTCAGGATAGAAAAGAAATATTTGAAAACAAAACTGCGAAATTATTTTAAATTCCTTCAAAGGATGTTTCTTCATGTCTGAATCTTTTTCCATTTCTGAGAATCATCAACTCATTAGAATTTCCACGACCTCCAAGCTGAACGACCAAAAACCGACATATTTTATGTCATGCAGAAGGGCTATTATTATCCTCGCTTCTGATGAGAAAAGTGTGTATAAAACCGTCACAAAGTCATTAAAATAGTGCGTAATTCTCCATACTATCTTCACTTAACGACCTTGATGATAAAAAAAACTTGGATATCAATGGCATGACTGATTATCACAAGAAAGCTTCTTGTTTTTGATAAATTTTGTGTGAGAAAGTAGAATAAAATCAAGCGAAGAGAAGTTATTTTCTCTTCAATTCAAAACAAGAACTTCCAACTTCAAATTTTTGAAAATTTCAATTCTTCGAAATTGAATCAGTATGAATTTTCGCGACTAATTTCTATAGTCTGTTCAGATTTTGAATGTCAAGCAGCTAACTCCACCCCCAAGGCTACAATATCTTTCGCGTCAATATTTTATCTACAGATGACGATGGCCCTTTAATAAGGCTGCATTTTTGACTTCTTTTTCTATCTTTTAGATCAAAAAAGATCAAAATTAGTCCCGCGCGTTAAAACATCGACGCGAAAGGGTACCGTCTCGGCAGGGGCGGAGTTAGCTGGTTGACATTCAAAATCTGAACAGACTATATTCCTTCATTCCAGAAATATTGCCAACTTCATCCTTTGGAAAGACATAAAACTCAGAACATTTCAAGTCAAAAATATTTTTAAAATTTTAAAATTTATTTTGATTTTTGAACTCGCTAAAAAGAGCTTTTCTGTTCAGTTTTTGAATTTTTTCACGATTGTTCAGATTTTCTTCTCTCCACTTATTCCGGTTTTTAAGAATAACTCGACAGATCACCATCAATAAATGAGAATTTCCACTGCCACTGCCGAAATTCCAGGCACGCGAGCAATTAAATTCCATGAAGACCGCGGAGTCCTGACAGACTTATCGACACCCGTTGGTGTTTTGCCGCTTATCAGGCATGATATCGTTGGAGCACGCGTGACAAGACAAAGATCGCCCCCGGGACGAGATCGAACGACGCTGCCACGTCCTGACAGCTTGTTTGTGCCATTGCACCCGGAATATCGCTTTTACGCAGTCTCTCGATTGAAAAAAAGATGCGATAAGAAGGACGGCTGCGTCAGCACGCAACCTCTGTCAGGAGTTGCGTCAACGGCATCAAAAATGACTCGACAGTTTCACTGATTGTACTATCATTATCAATCGTGTTAACGAATTGATTCCAAAGATTCCCATCTAGTAAAAGGCCACAATGAAAGAACTGAAGAATGGATTGACTTGAAAGTTTTGTCCTTTCTTTTATTCGATCTGCCTACACAGTAGATAACTTCTTTATACATATCACAACTTAACAATCAACAAAAACCTGTAACAAAAACTTAATAAATATGTTTAAAGCAATAATTAGCAAGAACTTTGGGTAAGAACTATATAGAGACATACAGAATCACTCCACAGACTCGTAAAACACAGACGCGAGGTAGAAGCGGACGAAAAAGGCGAAGAACGAGCCGAGGACCTGGAGGCCGAGAAGCGTCAACGTCAGACGGCTCTCCTTCATCGGGCCGCAGAACTTGAGCACCAAGTTGATTATGGTCAAGTTGTTGATCTCCAGCCACCTGTCAAATTATAAAATGGAAAGTTGATCCGAAAACCTGGCGTTTGAAACTACTCCATTCGCCACAGCTCAGAACGCTTTGGTAGGAATCGAAACGATCCACTGCATAGAGGTTTATTTAACATACTAACTTTTTTCCTACTTGAAGTTTACAATACAGGTTTGCGTAACAGAAGTTTGGTCTGGTGCAACATTATGTAAACCGCTACGCAGTCGTTACCAATCAGGCAATTTTCTGGGCAGAAAAAAGTTCAAAGCCGGTGCGAATCGACTATAAGCTCAGATTAGAGTTTCTCAAATTTATTTGGAAAGGCTCTTTGCATATTTAACCTAGAGACTAGGTTCTCCTCAAAGACCACCTTATCTCCTCTCATAAGGGGCACTTGAGCTTGCAAAAGTGCCCCTATACTTAAGGATAAGAGGCTTAGAGGTCTGCGCCTAAAATTCTATAGGGACCACCCACATTTTAACCTTCTAGGTATTTATATTTTGTATTTTGTCCGCTATGAGGGAATTTCCCCCTAACCCTCTTGGGACCACTCTTGCGTTCCTGAGTACATGTACAAAGCAGTGCGAAGGAAATTCTTACGTTTCGCCGTCTTTCTCGAACTCGCGCTGATACAGTAGCCCAGCTAACCGGAAGACCGTCAGGGAAATTTTGCCAAGAGATTTGAGTTCACTCTTTTTGAACACGGCAGTGCTCATGAAAAGCTGAAATACCATAATTTTGCTTCCCAATGAAATATTTGAACCTTGTCAGATTCCGCATCAAACTTCGGCAGGCGATGTCGAGGACACGGTACGAAATGGAAAAGCTGCGGGATCGAGTACAGAAAATTGAATGTCTTAACAAATTCTTTCTTTTTTTCGCTGAAATACTGTGAATACTTGAGGAATTAGGAAGAGCATGAGAGTTTTGCTGAAATGGCCGAGGATCGAAACGACGGCCAAGGTCATGCCGGCCCAGTAGCAGAAAGTGTCGCCGACAAAAACTTTCGCTGGGTACTTGAAGAAATGTTTGGTTTTTATTTTTCTGAAAAGACGAAATTCACCTTATTGAAATGATACAAGACGAGGGTGATTGAGGCGAAAGGAATGAGGAAATAAAGAGAAACCAAATGGTGCCAGTATTGCGCATCGACTCGAACAAGCTGTAATGAAAATAAAATTATTTAATCCTTCGAACACTTTGATCTAGATGAAAATGAATCAAACCTGGACAATATTGAAAACAATGATGCTGAAAGCAATCACAACAGATTGGCCGCTTTCCAGCCCGTTGATACCTGAATGATGAAGTCGTGAAAAAAATGCGGGAACTCTTTGTGAAGTATTTTAAAGCCTTGCAAAAAAGGCAAAAAAACTTCTCAAAAGTCTGAGATCATCAAAAGACATTCTAGACCATCACAAAAAAAATCAGTGACCTGCTAAAATATTGATGGCGTTGGTGCAGAAGACAATAACCATGCCCATGAAAACGTAGTACAAGTAGAAGATGTTGACAGTGACTGGAACGACGAAAGGAAATCCGGCCGAGCTCAGGAAAGTCCGGAGAACCGACGGCACGATGACTGTCGTCGAATTCCCTTAACGTCCTTTCTTTCCAACATTTCTACTACCCGTAGAAAGAGGTTTGCATGTTCTGCCTCCTAAGCTTCGAAAAAATTCAGAAAAAAAACCGGTGGTATGAAAAAAAGACCATCGAAAATTCAAACGGCGACTTTTCCGATTTTTTCATATCGCTAGGGAACTTTCCGACGGCCACCATTCCGACGAATCTTTTTCCCCTTTTTGATCTCGATAAAATCTTCGTTTTAAATCTTCCTATATAAAGTAAGAGTTGGTTCATGATTAAAACACAAAGGAATAGGAAAAAAAACGCTTATGGATGTTTTATAAACCGAAAAAGATAAGGAAAAAAAAAAGTCGGAAAGGGATTCGGCGGAAAGGTGGCCATCGGAAAGTTCCCTAGCGATTTGTAAAAATCGGAAAAGTCGCCGTTTGAATTTTCGCTGGGGGTTTTTTTTTCATACCACCAAAAAACCAGTATCCTTTCACTTTGGAAAATCTTATTTTGGATAGCGAGCTTTTATTTTGAAAAATCTGGTTGATAACCTCTCTCCCTTCTTACTGCTATTCGATTCAAAATCACCATTCGTGCCTAGTAAGAATTTTATTTTTATTATCCAAAGAACACTTCATTAAGATCCAAATCTCAATTTGAAAATCTTCGATTCAACAAAATGGATTTGATTACGCCACAGGCAAAACTTTTTCAGTGAAGCGGCCGATCTTGCTGTCTTGGCGGACAATCTCTCTTGTTTCTGGATATTTTTACTCATCATAATTCAACACAACTCTAGAATATCGAGTCGAAAGGATATTTTCTTTTCCCAGAAACAAATTGAAGGAACGTCATTGACTAACCCGATACGTAATAGACCATGAGAAGCGGGAGAGACGAAAGAGTGGGAAATAGGAGTTTGTGACGCCATCGGAGGTCGAGCATGTCGTCAGCGAAGCCGAGAAGGATCGCCGTGCTGATGGAAATGAGGCCGGAAAGGATGGCGAGCAGTCGCGCGTAAGGGAAAATAATACTGAGGAGGCAAAGGTTTGAGGAGAAGCCAAGGAAGTCCTACTCGGCCCCGATCCACTCGAAGAAGGGCACTGGGATGAAAAGAAACATGACGATGAGGTAGACCGCCGCGCAAATCACTCCCATCGGCTCAGGTACCGGATCGTTGCTGACCTGGAAGAAAGGAGAAATTTGAGTCATACTCCTCGTCTTTCTACTGGGATCCGTCATGAATAATTTATTGAAAGAGACATTTTACATATAGATCAGAGATTTGCAGTTATTAAATCCTCGTAAGCGAGCCTTTTCGATCCGTTCAAAACTGCTTTCAAAACTTTCAATTTTTTTGAAAGTGTTTCCAAAACAAACGGAAAAAGGCTAATCCTAAATAAATATTTTTAAGGAAAATGTGCAGAGTTATACTGAACTTCCCGAAATTTTCAATTTCTTCATGAAAGAATGTTACAAAACGAGCAAAAATGCAGTTCTAACAAATAACACATATTTAATATGTGCCAAGGCCAAAAAACATTGAGTGCAAAATTCGAAACAAAGTATTGAAAAACCTTGCACTGGTCGTTGCCGTACATCTTGCGCTGGATGAAAATGGGAATGTAGGAGAGAATCAACCGGTAACAGATCCAACTGCCGACTCCGCTCAGAGCTGCGTTCAGCAGCAGGGATATCAACGACATGCCTTCGAATAAGTTTTTTCGGGATTTAAGAAAACGGATTCAAAATATGAAGTGCAAAATACACCTTCTTTGGTAAATAAAGCCAGCGAAAGACATAAAATTTTATTAGGGGAGGAAAATAACAACAATAGAAAACAAACAGAGCTATTCGAAAGGACTAAATCTGATAGAATCTAAAAAAAATGATATTATGTTACAGCCAAAGGGTTTTCCAAGTTTTGGTTCTCGTGATCGTGGAAGCGGCTTCCGGAGAGTCGGACATTGCTGAAGCTGCTTCTCCGAGGTCTTCTTTCAACTGAAAGAAACGGTTGTTGAACAATTCTGTTTATGATATTTAATACTTTTCTTGTTCCTCTATCATGACATTATTTACGGAACTATGTTTCTAAACCCCTTAATTTTCTTACAAAAGTAGAAGGATACCTGTTTCAAATGAGCAGCAAAATGTGTCCAGGCTTCGCTGATATTCCAGAGTTTTTCGCGCTTCAAATTGTCCAAAACTACCTCGTTCCACGGCTGGGATTTCCTCTCACGACTGGAAAAAAAAATATGTATTTCGTCTTGAAATGAGATAAAAACTCGATGAAAATGCCTGATTCTCCAGCAGTCTCCGGATCCGCCAACGCATACAAGACCGGCCGAACCGCTTTTTCCGTCCTTCTTTCGCCCATGCCAAAACTGCAAGAAAGTAATTTCTTGTTATTTTGGCTGGTCTTACAAAAATTTAAATTTTGCTAATTAAAAAAAATCATACGTAGTAATTAAAAAAAAGACTACAGTTATGCTAATTTTTCTAACTCCTTCTAATCGGCGCGTTGAAAACTTTGCTGGAGCTTTTAAGTATGAGAACTGCTAATTTTTTAAACATTCCCTTGATTTTTGGCAACTCACATCTCTTCAAAACCTTCTGCTAAAAAGTACTAACTACCGAACAAATTTCAGAAACTTCCAATAATTTTCAATCTTTTCGAGTTTATTTTCAATTATTAATATCTTGTGAGTTTTGTGGTGAGAGCTTATTTTTCTTCAGCTGAATAACTATTTATGAAAAAAAAATGATGAATTTTTTGAGAAGAAATTCAACATTACCGACCTGACAATTTTGAGAAGCCATCGGCTGAGGAAGAAGGTCTGGCCGTCCATTTGAGCAGAAAGATTCGACTTTGTTCGTCCCGGGTCGGCGACCAAAACCGATACATTTGTTCCTAAAAAATGCGATAATTCGAATGTTTTGTTTCAAATAGCAAATAGATGCATTTTTATGGATAAATACTAACCTGTTTTTAGTTTGAACTCTTACTTCGATGACACGAGGATAAATGTATCATTGTTACTAAACCTTTGGTTCTGTCGGAAAGTTCGCGGGCGAAAAGCGCGGCGGCCAGTTTGCTGTGTTTGTAGACGTCGTAGCCGTCGTACTTCTTCATGTGCTCGGCGTTGAGATCGTCGAAGTTGATGTCGCAGTTTCGGTCGATGACGTTCGAGTTGAGGAAGACGATGCGGACGGGATTCGTCTGCGCCAGAAGTTTCTCCATGATGAGGCCCGTCAGCAGGAAGCTTCCTAGGTGGTTCACCGCCAACGTTTTTTCGATCCCTTCCTGACAGAAGAAGATTAAATATTCATTCTTTTTCAATTTTCTGTCCTTTCATTTTTTTTTCTTATAAATTTTCGCCCTCCTTCAATTTTCTGTAAAGTTTTTTAAAATAAAATTTTGTGAATTGATAAGGTGCTTGTGTTATTGCACGTCTGAAATATTCCATTAATCAGGCCAGTTTGAAATTTAAAACAAATATTTAAATGTATAGTTGAGAAAATTTTAAACTCAGAACTGTAAATGTTGTCCTTTTCCGTGAATTCCATCTCCAAAGGTTTTTTTTCCGAATTTACCTTGTTGACCTGTCGTTCGCCACTCATCGTGGCCGCATTGTGAACAACTCCATCGATCCTGTCCAGCTCGAACTTTCCTGCAAAAAAGTGAGTCAAAAACGGAAAAGAAAGCGCAAAACCTTTGCTGAGTTTCTGCACGAAGGCTCTGATGCTGTCAAAGTCCTCCAAATCGCATTGGCGGCAATAAACCTGCAAAAAGACGATCCTTCCAAAAAGGAAGGAGAAAGAGCGACCTGTTTGTTCCTAGTGCTGAGGACGATGTCGCGCCGAACCTGCACACATTTGTCTCGGTTTCTGCAGAATGGTACTTGAAAAAATTCTTTTAAAAACATATAAAATGTTTGAACAAACATTTTTCAAAAAACTTTTTCAGTTTAGCTTTTCTACCATCTTTTCTAGCTGTTCTTTCTTCTCATCAACTCCTTTCAGAGGCCCCCATGATATTCATTTATTCTAAGAATCTATTCAGAGACGATAACATTTCTTTTAAAAGAGAGGAACTTGGTGTTTGGATTTTAGTATCTTAGTAAATCCGCGCAAAATTATAAGATTTATTGGACTTTTGAGAGCACAGTCCAAGGAAGATCATTGGAACATTTTTTTCAAAAAAATAGAAAAGAATTCAGTGTTTCAAGAGACTTTTTGGTGAAGAGCTCACGCAGAATTTAGTTAAATCTTAACAATTTTCAAAAAAAAGTGAAAAAATTTTCAGCGTTTTCTCAAGGGCTCCCCTTGGTGATTGTCTCTGAGTTAAAAAAAAAAGCCGAGCTTTCATGTTTTAGAGCGAATCTGATATCTTTGACAATTTTTTTAAAAAAAATAAAGCCTTCAGATTGAAAACAAAAAAGTTTCGAAATGAAAACCTGCAAGCCATGATAACACGTGCATTTCGTTTAGCCAGTTCTTCGGCGGTGGCCTGAAAATGTTCGAAAATAACTGTACGTATTTAAATGAATTCTCACCTGTCCAATGCCGGAAGTGGCACCTGTGACGATATAAGTTTTGCCGGCGAGATCTTCATACAAATCGTATTTGGTTCCAGACTGCGTCGAGCTGAACTTCTTCTGTTTATACAGTATTTCAGAAATTTCTGAATTTGATAACTCCTCAAGCCAAAAAATCACGCAAATCAGTTCAGAATTTTCTCCGCTTGTTTAGAAAGACAAGAAGTTCAGAAGACAATCATCTGTTCATTTCTCTCGCAGACTAACGGCTAAAATGTATTTTGAATGCTTCTTTCAATTTCACAGGATTTGCAGAAGATTCAAAACGAACTCCCAGATGTGGTAGAGACCGTAAGCGAGACCGAATCCCGAGAATCCCAGACTCCAAGGCGACGTCAAACCTCGGATGAATCGTTTCGCGGCCATACTGAAACCTCTCATCAGCCCCATTTCCTTCCATTCATTCTCGATATAATCAGCTGCTTCAAACGGAATTCTCACTGTCCAAAAAATTTAATATCAATTCATTTATTTAACTCTATATTAACACATAAAATCACTGAAGTAAAGTCAAATCAAAAGCGACAATGACAAAAAAAAGCCCCAAGAACTGAGCACTTCAGGCAAAAATAAATAAATAAATAAAACTATGAAAGGCAAAAAAAAATTCCCAGTAAAGACAGCGATTGATTAAAAGGCGGAACCAGTAATGAAGGGACCTCTGGAAGGATACCCAAAAAAGAAAAAATCACCAAACATCAGGAACAGGGACAAAGGGTGATAATAAAAAAGAAAAACGTGTTTTAAACCAATTTCTTGGCCTCGAAGAACCCGCGAAGATGTCTCATCTGCCACCAACCCGTCACGGCCAAAACGACGATCTGAAAGAAATGAATTCGAACTTTTTATTGCTCACAAGATATATTCTTGATGCGGAAAAAATAACGAGAACTTTTCATTTATCTACTTTCAAAAACAACGGAGTTCAAAGAAATTTCGAAAATCATCAGCAAAAATTTAAGGGCGTAAGTTTATTTTTCGTATTCCGTGTTCGAAATAATTTCAGCGAAATGCAAAAATATATCTCCGGCTTATTTGTTTCGCGGAATCACTTTGAACACGACATAAATAAGAAGTTACTTTCAAAATTGTTGTTGAAGAGTTCGAAAAAATTAAATAGCTTGATGGCCGCGTTTCTCTTTTTGAAAAAAACTTATTATTATTATGACAAAGAGCCTGGAAAAAAATTTTTAACTTTTTAAGTCAAACTGGATGGTAAGTTTCGGTAGCTTCATAAAGCAACAAAAAAATGAATGTTTATAATCGAAAAACAAATAAATTTAAAAAAATTAACAACGAAAAAAAATTTTTTTTGAAGGAAGAAAAATTTAGCAAAAACTTGAACCACAATCGTTTCCTTCTCAATGAAAAAAAGGGATTTCTGAAAAATCAATCAATCCTATCTCTCTCTGACTTTACTGACATTTTACATTCAAAGTTTATTTTTCTAAGCTCAAGAAAGTAAAAGAAAAGCCAAACCTGAGCAAGTGACCAGTAAAAAACTCGAGAATCGGTCGACTCGGAGGTCTGTCGGAAACGTTCTTCTCTGAAATATCAATTTGAGAGGCGAGAAAAAAAAGGAAGGAAATAAATTAAATGAGAAATTGATGAACCTGTAACGCTGGTAGTTCTGCTCCTTTGTGATCTGATCGACTTGGTCCAAAAGCTGCCGAACGCGCAGTTGCAACTCGTTGAGTTTGTCCTTGGCGGCTATCTAAGAACACGAGAATGGTTCTAAGGTTAAAGTGAGGTGAAATTTTTGAAAAAAAAATAGCCGGGTGAAGTAACTAAGCACAAATGGGCAGACCGTTCTGAACCCCTCCTCTGAAGTTTTTCTAAATAAAAGTTGATACTATCTCCCTGGGGCTAAAACTCGTATTATTGTGGGCAAAATCACCTCTCGGAGGTTGAAACTTGGTTTTATTCTCTAATTTTCCAAATTTTTTGAAGGAAAACCCCTCCTCCGGGCAGTAAGAGTTCTGTACTTGCCCATCTATGTGACTAAATATTGCAATATCTAAAACCAAAAAAACCAAAAAAGGGTGAAAAACCTGCTGGTAGTCCTGGGTGTGCTCGCCGGCCTGGATGTCGAGGTGGACGCGCAACTGCGCTCCGCTGAACCACGACGAGCTGTTCGAGTACAGGCAGATGACGTGCTCTCCAGGAGTATTAGAAGTGAAAGTGAAACGGCCTTCCGCCGTGTACAACTTGGACAGGATCACCTCAAAATCACGCGTTAGACAAGGTGAGTTTAGGCCAAAACTTCCATTTTTTGAAGCTTCGTAAAATGTTCAACTCAATTCAAATATGTTCAATGAATATTTTGAAAGAAGATTCGTCACTAGATCGAAAAAGATAACTCGAAAGCTCCAAAAACGAGTTTTCGATGTGGCTTATCCACTTCATTTATGAAATTTCTCAGTCATTTCAGCTAACTGAAAAAAATTTTTCATTAAAATAAAGTTACTGAAAAATCACGGTGAGGCTATTCCAAAAAATTTTCTATTTTATCTCCAAAGAATTCTCTTCAACAAATATCTGCAGTTTCGAGATTTTTTCTATTCGAAAGAACAAACTCAGATTCAAAACACGATGAAATAGACCAAATTAAACTAAGAATTCTTTGTAATCTCAACTCATTATATATAAGCCTCAAAGTTCCTTTCAAAACGTTAAAATCTCGAATCATACCTTCTCATCGGGATCCTTGACTTCGACGTGCATTCCGATGTTAGGGTAGTCACCGTATCCTTTGGTGTTAGGATCGTATAGTTGAACCTTATAGTTACCCGTAACCTGAAAATAATCAATTGAGTATATAATCCAGAATTTGATGAACCATAGTTTCATCCGGAATTTCCTCGATGAAACATTTCTTCTCAGTCTCTGCGATGTGGAAGTACAACGCTTGAGAATAGCACACAACGGCCAGCAGAATAAGAAGACGCATTCTCAAAAGTTTGAATCATGGAAAGAGGAAAAATCTCCATCGAATTAGGTAAGATCATATCGACTTTAACGATGGAAATGAATATTTCTCAATGAAAAAAATAATAGATATAATACATTTATTAAAAGAGATGAATGAACTGAACGAAACGTTATAAATGGCAAAATTCACACAAAATGGCAACTTTAAGTTAAAGCAAGATGAAAAAAGTCATGGAAAGGTGTTTAACTCCGTAATATTAAAAATATGGCAAGCGAAAAAAAGGCACGAAAATTGGTTAAGTAAAATGATAAAAACAAAGATGAAAGTCATGAAAAATCTGATATCACAGAAACCTAATAATTCAAAAAAAAAAAGCTACATGCAATACATAATTCGAATCTCAAACTGATGGAGAGGTGATTATAAATTATAAAAACAAAAACAAAAAACAAACAGAGGAACTCATTGAGAAAAAATGGCAGCCTTTTGGAACGTCCATTTCTGTTTTTCGGAGCTGACGATGCAATTCGTAGCGCTCAACTGCCAATCTCCAGATTCCGTCTGTAATTCCATGAATAGTCAGAAAATAAATAAATAAAAATAAAAAAAAACATTATGTGCAACAAAAATGGAAGATTTGAACTATTTATGAATTCACAGTAAAAAAATAAGTAAAAAAATTGAACTTTTTTTGTTTTTTTAATACCTTTTCTTCTTCTTCTTCTTACGCCTTTGTACCGCTTGAGCGGCGTCGGCACATATTTATGAGAACGGCTAAAAAAGGCACACTCTAATGTTTTCAAGATGTTTCCCCTGATTTAATTATATATTTTTTTTAATTCAACAAAAGCTACTGTTCGTAATTTCATGTTCTATAGACACCAATAAGAATCAGAATAAAGAGTTAATCAAGATATCCTGGAGGAAACTAGAATGAAAAGAAAAAGATACTGACTTGTACGGCAGCGAGACACTTTCCTCCTTGCACCAACCAGCCTTCCGTCGTCATCACCTTGAACGGAGTGCGAACCTGGAAAAAATAGCCGAATGAAAAAGATCTCCAGGAAGAGGAGCTTGAAATTCAAAGAGTAAGAAAGAAATATTAACCTCGTCACATTTTTTCAAGACAACCTCCTCATCCTCGAATGTAAGACAAACACGACTCGTAACGCTTTTGAAACGGCCGAGACCAGAATCGAAGACCCATTCCTACAAAAAACGTTTTAGAATATTTTTTTTCACTTTCCCTAAGCGCCTTAACAAATCACCCTAACTGAAATTTAAATTTCAAATACAGAGCAAAATTGAACAACTTTAGCGTTTAAAGTAGTTTTCGGACTTGAAAATTCGAACTTTAACGTGGGACCAATAAATATGGCGAATTCGGAAATCGAAATCCCTGCTTTTATGTTTGCAAAAATGTAAAAAAATTATAGACTTAAAGAGAAGAAAGTTTGTTTTCAATGTTACATTAAATTATGGAAGATGTCAGCGCCTTTGAACATCCAAATACTGAACTTTGAACAAAAAATACTTATAAGAACATTTCTTTGCAAGGATTAAAAAAAAACCAATTAAGCAAAAATGAATGAAACTGTTAGAAAAACGTCGACCTCCATTTATTTCTATAAAGAGACACGTTGGTGCGGCAACGCGGTGAATGCACACTTCGACGCACTCTCACGTCAAATTTCACAACAAAATTTGTTTCTGGTTTTTTTCTTTTTTTTTTTGTTTTCGTTTTAAGAATAACCTGATTGCCGCCGGTGCCGTGACAGACGTAGAGACCGGGAGATTCGCCTTCTTTTCTTCCCATTGAATCCAAACACATTTGTCCGAATTTCAAGTAATAGGCTTCTCCGGAGTCACGTTGAGGAACGCTTAATTTGAAATTATTAGTTGAACTACTTGTTGAAACAAACTCGAGTTCAGGATAAACATTCTTCAGGTACCAGGAGAAAGACTTGCACTGAAGCTTTTCTCTGATGGCGAGTCGCTCCGAAATGCTAAAACAAGTTTTTATGAAAGAGCTTTTTACAACAAGACGTACTCTCCAAACTTGACGAATCGCGCCGATGGCACATTTTTCAAATAAATTGACTTGTACTCGTCCATCCAGACTTCTGCGGCACGACGAGTATTTCTTGAAAATCAGATTGGATAAGAAAATAAGGGGATATTTAGAAAGGTCCCGATGATGCGAAAATAAAGTGATGGTTTGAAAAAAAAGGTTGTGAATGGTCGTCTGTATGGAAATCAAAGTATTGTGGATTTGATATGTAAACAGAAAGTCAAGAATGAAAAAAAGTTCAAATTTGGATGGACTATATCTTTTATTTCTTCAAATTCCAAGTCAAGTATGAACAAACTTTTGGAAAACGTTGCCAGAGCCTCCAGGAAAGCTGTAAGGGTGTTTCTTGCGGAAAACGTGTCCCACTCGGCTACATGGAAGGATTTCCAGAGTCCCGCCACATTGCCATACACGGAAAGACATTTCTGAAATGTGAAGAAATGAATTCGGCTGCGGCAAATCAATCCCCAACCAAGATTCTCTCCTCCCCAAACTTCCATGTCCAAATCGTAGGTGCCCAGTTCTTCGAACCACTCCTTCGAAATCGAGAAAAGTCCGCCGGCCATTGTCGGAGATCTGAAAATAATATGAAATCTTACGAAATCTCATTTTATTTCAACTTTATCGGCGCAGTAGGATGAGCGTGACGATCATCGCGAAGTTTACCGTTCAAAAACTCCCACTTGAAAACCAAACTCCAGTCGAAGCCTGGACTAAAAAATAGAACAAAGAGGCTTTTTTCTGTAACCTCCTCTCAAATCAGCGCTCGCCCCAACATAGTTGAAGTTATCGACGTTGATGACGTCAATGATGGGAGCGACGACGCTTTTTGGACTCTGAAAGAGTTTTATTCCTTTGCGACTCTGATGGGACGACGGACTTCTGCGATTCTGGCAAGAAGGGGCTCAAGCCAGACGACGTTGCATTCGATGTGACTGTCCAGGAAAGTGAGGATCCGGCCATTCGCCACAACGGACCCCTTGACTCTAGAGCGGATCAGGCCTTCAAATATCGGTGTTGGAATATTTTTGCCAAAATTATACTGAGACATTTTTTCTTCATTTCCTTCAGAACATTTTTATTTAAAGCTTTTGTGATAAAGCAAAAAAAAAGTGAACTACTAAGATTTTTAATGAAAAAAAGTTGAACGCATCTTCTTCAAAGTACCTTCACGTTTCGTGTTGCGAAGGACTACAACTTTTGCGATTTGAGCGAGTTCCTGTCCCATAGAAACTGGAAATTATATTCATATTCTAGAGAGCTTATTTTTCGGAAGCCTACAATCTTCAGAAAAGTCGTCGACAAGAATGATTTCCGTGATCAGATGCTCCGGAGACTGTCTGAAGATACTGAAAATAGTCCTCAAAAGGGCGGATCTCGCTTCGTTGTGATAAGTGACAATGACACTTGTAGCATTGAGTTCCGAAGGAAAAGTCAACGGCCGACAGCTGAAAAAGCGGATTTCGTTTGTGACAAAGAAGAGAAAATGAGAAAACATACACAGCTTCGCGACTATCGGGAATAGATCGATTAGGAGAAATCGAATCGGAAGCTTCTTGGTTGAATGAGTTAGCTCGATATTTATCCTGAGAATGAACTTGATTAATTTTGTGAAACGGAAAACATATAATTATAAGATTTTGTCAATAATAGAGGAGCACTTTTTTTTTATCATAACCGCTTATTCCTAAAATCTGATTGAAAAAAGAGTATTTATTTCAAAACGAACATCTCCTTTAGCCAAAGCTCCTTTGGATATGAACTTTTTCGTGTCGAAAATCGTCCAGTGTACTCCTGTGCCGTTCCTCGAATGGATGAGCGTATTCTCTTGAAATATCCATTATTTCAAAACAAAATCGTAGAAACAAACTCATGACATCAATCGAAGACCAGGGATCGGCTGTAGTAGGAAAAAATAAAGGCTTCGGCCGAATCGTGGGCTTAACTACGAGCTTGCCTCCCTGTTCACTGCCCTAGATTCAAAGATTTTTTGATAATTATATCTTAATGAAGGTAGGAAACTCTTGAAGCTTGCCAAACGTTTCTTCCTAAACCTTACAGTACTTTTTTCCTGAAGGATGAGGCTAGGGGAAAAATTTATCCGACCAATCTTTTCTAGATTCATTGGAGTTTTGCAGAATATGCATATCAAATTCATTGCTGAGCGGTTGAAAAAAAAAATTCACGTTGCAGTAAATGCTTCAAAAATAATTTTTCAAATGTGTTTCAATTTATGCTATAAGACCATTTTATTCCCAATTCCTTCGAACAGTGACAGAAAAAAGCTCAAAAACAAAAAAAAATCAAAAGAGATCCTTTATCAACTACTTTATGTCTGTTCAGAAGTTTGATGACCTCTGAACCGGAAAAAGAAAGTTCGGACCTTGACTTCGCGACTTGACATGTTGAGAAGGATGTAGCCGACGCCGCCAAACCAACACAACATGACGACGGCGACCAGCGACCGAAGCCGTGGAAAACGCCGCATTTTCCAGGCGAAAGACTGAAATCGGCCGAATATGGAGAGAGCGACTAATGGAATGTCAATCGCAGCAGTGCAAAAGGCGCCAGAAATATACGGGAAATCCGATATCCTGGGTTGAAGCCTTCTGAGAATACTGAAAGAACGAACCTTTTCTGGACGCTCTCGGGCTCCACGGAAAGATAGAAAAAGTCAAATGTCTGCTAGATTTAGATCCTTTTCCGTTCCATCTACAAAAACTGGGTCTTTTTGAAAAAAGTGACCTCAAACTGTGTTGAAATATTCAAGGCTTTCAAGCCCTAGAAATAAAAGAATCCAAAACAAAAGCCTATAAAATTTTAATATCCTAGAAAACAATAAATGTTATGACAACAACAAAATCAACAAAAGAGAACGGACTAGCCATTTGAAATGAGCGGAATCGATAGGGGGAAAGGAGGAAATAAACAAGCGAGACAGCTCGTATTTCTTTTTCGGTGGGATCACTTCGGAGTCGACAACTTTTCAACAATGATGGGCAGAACCCTCCGAAAAAGGAGAGGACATGAATGGAAGGGAAGGCTACACGTAGAAAAAGAGAGGGAGGGGCTCGGATTACAGCGCGCAGATTCATCATAATCACTCATTTATGAGGTGATTACACCGACTAAATGTTCTGGCCGATCATCGCAAAACCACATTAAAGTTCTCGGACAAGTGCCGTTCGATGTCCTTGTGAATCAAATTGACCTGAAATTGATATATTTTCCGAGCTCAAAGGTTTTGCCCAAAAAAATCTTATTGATATCACAAAAACAGGCAATGAAAATCAAACCGATCTCCATTAAATGTTCGCTCAACTATACAAAAAAAGTTGGAAAACTTTAAGGAATTAACTTCGACCAAAGAAAAAGATAATTAGCAGTCGCGTAGAAACTCCAAAATTCGAAGCCTTCACTGTAGAGAAAAAAACTGGTATTATAGAAATTATAAATTTCAATACTATCTTATAATATAGTTGCTGTTTTTTTCTGAAATAAATAACTCTCGAGGATCGTTTGAAGATGCCAAAAAAAGTTTGAAGGCAATCGAACTCCCATCCATTTATCGAACTTGACCCTCAGGAACTTTACAAAGCTTCATAAATTTTTAATTTTTTTTTCTCGTGTATTGAATCTTTCTGACATGTAAAATAAGAGTAAATGGCATCTGCAAAATGTTCCCGGTTTTTATTTTCTTAAACGTTCACCCAGACCCCTTTAAAAGTTATCAAACAAAAAAATGCTTAAGGCGGAAAAACATTAATAAGCCTTAGGTCCGCAATCAATACATTCTCCTCCTTGAAACTTTTATAATCCCATAAAGCAAAAGAAATTCCATATAATTTCTTTCAATAAAAAAATAAATGGCTACCTCATCTTTAGTCAAAGCTTTCTCGTTGCTTCTGTAGACAATGCGATATGTTTGACTTTTCTTTCCTTTTTTCGCGTTTTCAAATTCGTCCGTCAACGAAACCTCAAAGAAATGTTTTGATACGATCGAAAGATATTCTCCACCTGTTCGATCAACTCTCCGCCAATACTTCTGATCGTGTCGTAGACATTAGAAGTCATGTCATTGAACTGCACATTTGGCGGGAGGAAAAAAGAAATATCGAAAATGACCTGAAATTTAGCTTGAGAAAATACATTTTCATTGAAAATGCCTGAGGGTGGGAGCTGATTGGTTTGTAGGTGATGTCTTCGTGAAGAGTTTTCCCTTCAAACTGCGACAAAAACCCAGAATCTTTGCTCCAAAACAGTCTTAAAAAGAGAATGGAAAGGACTGAGAAATAATTCAAACCTAATATCCGGGATTGAGTAAAGGACCATCGCTATTCTCTCTAAACCGATTCCGAAGGCCCACCCGATTTTGTCCTTTATCCCACATGAATTGAGCAACTTTTGCTCCATAACTCCGCAGCCGAGCACTTCCAACCACTTGTCGTTGTAGAAAATCTGAATAAATAATGAATTATAACGTCTTTGAATATAAATTACAATATTGCGGACGAAGATCTAAATTTTCTCAAGTTATGTGAAACTCCTATTCATTCATTCCTATTCATCCTATTTCTTTCGAACTTCTCCGAGTAAAACACGAGCTTTGAAATAAATAGATTCGTAAATATCTGGATAACAAAATATTCTGAACTTTTGCAAAGGTTGTCAATTATTTTTTCTCGACCATAATTTGAAAAAAGGGATACCTCCAGTTCGAATGAAGGATGCGTGAAGGGGAAATAAGCTTCAACCCAGCGTTTCTCGCATTTTTGTCCGAAAAGGTGGTCGGTCAGGTTCTGAGTTGAAATGAACAAATGACGCGAAGTTTTCTGGAAACCTCGAGCGTCGCCTTCAGTTCGATTTCGATAGCCTTGGCCGCGTCTTCGGCGTGAGTTTCCTGCTTTCCGGGGGTCCTGACGCCGCTTCCAGAGGGGACCAACAAAGAATTCGTTTCGGAGTTCTCTCCAAGCAGTTGTCCGGGAGAGTAGAGCCGAACGCCTTCCACCTGTAGAGTTTCTCGGTTTTATCTGATCTGTTAAGGACTTGAGGAAACTTGATGAAAACATGGGTAATGGGTTCTGTCAACTTCGTCTCTCCGGTAGACGTCTCCGATGACCAAAAACGCGTCGAGTCCTTGCTTCATCAGCGAGTGTTGGTGGGCAGAAGTGTGGGCTCGGAGGCAATGTTCGGCGTTGATGTAGTAGGTGTCCGAAGGACGACTGGAATTGAACTTTCTTAGTAAAGACTGATGAAAAAATGAAGACTAAATTACATGGTTTTCAACGTTTTAGAACTTTATCAAAATCTCACTAGCAAAAAACAGTTCTAATTGTTTTAAAACAGAGATTTCACATCGAACAAGTTAGTAGCTTTTAAATTTTCCACCCTCGCAAAAAAGTAACCAAGGTCGGTTTTGAAGTCACAAAAATTTCTCTTTTATACTCCGTGCTTTGTAAAGAATGCTGAACCCACCGAGACACATGGTCGGCTGGAGTCAGCAGAGAATCGAAATTGTCATAAGTTGTGACTATGCGAGGCTCATTCTCACAAATCGTGTATAAAGGCGACCTCCCGCCTGGAAAGTTGATTGAAATATACAAATTCCAAAGATTATTCTTCCCTGGTCGAAAAATAACCTATTCGGAAACAGTTTCCCTATCAAGAAAGCGTTTTACCTGGTTTTCTGTATTGCGAATGAACAAAATCGATGAGTTTGCTTTTGAGCAAAGACAGAGGATTCGCCTTTTCGAAGAGCAGCCGTCGTTGGAGCAACTTCAGAGCAGCTGGCGACAGATTCCAGTTTTCGTCCGTCTCGTAGGTTCTCCCATCTAACTGAATTGAAAACGTGGAAAATGTGTGAATAAAGAAGATATTTTTGAAATAGAACGTTAAAACCATTTTGAGCTATAGCTAAACTCCTGTTGAAAATAACCGAAAAATACCTCGAAAACAGATGGCCTGGAATTGGAATAGGATTGCTTGCCAACAGCTTCAGCCGCACTGGACAAGTTCCGAGATATCCTCCAGAGGATTGAATTATTTTTGCAAAAAACTGCCACTTTCGCATTCATCTAACTCAACATTAAAATATCTGAACAGTCTTGAAATAGCCGCTAAAACAACTGGATAGAAGAAAAATGAGCCGTATAATGGAGAAAACAAATTCATTGGAGCCGAAAAATGTCACAGGATATTACAATGGTACAATAATATTTACAGAGATCGGAGAAAAAAAACTACAAAAATAAATATTTAATGTTTTGTCAACTTGAGAAGCTTTAAAACAGCCCGAAGGCGGTAGTGCGTTAAAACTAATTTGAAAGCTCGAGAATTAAACTAAAGCTCGGAGGTGAAGGAACAAGGACGGAAATATGCAGACGAGAAGGAAATCTGGCATGCAGTCCACGTGGACGGCGACTACTCCAGCTTACTCCTCTATAATTTTCATTTCATCTCAAAGGCTCTTTTGTTGAATTAATCGCTCACTTTCATCAAAACGCCAACATGTGCTGCAACGTCTCGTTTTGCGCGTTCCGCTTCTGGTCCTTGCATCCAAGAACTGTTGAGCAAAGCACTGGCGCTGGGTCTTTTCGCAACCTTAAATTACCCCAAAACTATTCAACAACAATTTGCGTCCCTTACGTCAACCGTCAGCATTTGAGTGATCGCTTTTTTAGTTTCCGCAGAAATTCGCCTCCATTGAGCGTGGAAAATAAGTCTTCCTGAAATTAGAAAAAGTCTTGCGGCCAGAAACTCTTCTAATTACCAGTTCTGACCTGTTCGGCCATGGTCATGTCGTTGTAATCCTCGCTGAATGCCGGATAGCCAACAAAAGCAGTGAACAGAACACATCCCAGGCTCCAGCTGATGATCGTTTCCGTTCCATTAACTCTGATATCAACTCACACGTCGACTTTCGGTGTGTATTCGTTCCTTTCCTTATCGTTCACTTCGGGCGCAATATAAGATGGAGTGCCGCAATGAGTCTTCATAGCGTTTTTCGCTTTCGCCATCCCGAAGTCAGAGAGCTGTAATTGAAAGATTTAATAATTGAATCCAAACACAAATCCATCCCTATGTTTCGAAAGTTTTGAAAGAATCGCAATTAAATCGATGATTTTTTTCTTCATTCTACTCTTTTTATAAGTCTACTAGTCTCGCAAAACTTTCCTGAAGTTATTTCGAACAGAATTGAAAGACATGTTTTAAACGAATAAACCGGATTCCTATAATCGCAAGTGCACAATAATCAACAGCATGAAGAGTTTTTTTTAGAGACTATTCTCATTTTTGCCCCCTGTTAACTTTTATGAATACCTAAAAAAAAGGTGAGGTAAGAAGTACGAAGATTGTTTTTTCTGACTAAGGCTACCCAGCTGTTCATTTAGAGGACGTTAGCTAAATGAGATTTTAAAAATCTAATTATTCGTTGATTTAAGTTTGGTTTTTTTTTTTTTGACTTTGCAAACTTTTTTTTCAAACCTTTTTAATACCCTGACCAATTTTTCTCTTCACGAATATTTAGGAATTCAAAGACACAAAATTAAGTGTAATTTACCTTCACAATTGTGTACTCGGCTGCACTCGCACATAGGATATTTTCTGGTTTGATGTCACGATGAGTAATTTGACGACCATGGAGATACTAAGGAAGAAAATCATTTTTCATCATTCGACTCAGAAACTCACCGCGATCGCACTGAGAAGCTGATAGGAGTAATATTTTCCGAGAGTATCTCCCAGTCCCTATAATCCTCATCGTCTCTAGACACAAGCTCAACAATACCTGTCTTTCGTACTTTGGATCAACTATTCTTTCGAAAAACTCGCCGCCAGACACGTATTCTAGAACCAAAAAAGACCTTCCAGAAACGTTGATCCAATCGAAAATTCGGATACAGTTCGCCTGTTTCACCAATCTTTTGGAAACTTTGATACAAACTAACATGGTTGACATGCAACATAACTTCCACCTCATTGTTGATATCTTTCGTTTTTGCCAGAGCCCGACTGCACCTAGATTGGAAATCCAAGGTGTTGAGTACTTTCACAGCAACCTAAAGTCACAATTTTTGAATAAAAATGTCTATCATTCCGATTACCATGCATCGATGCTCAGTTTTCGTATACGCTAGTAAAACCTGAAAAGCAACTTTATAGAGATTTTTTATTTTCTTTCTCCGAAAACTTTCATTTCGGATATGTCACCGTAAATTGGATAACATTAGAAAACTGAATGATTCCTAATAAAAAGGCTCAAATGCATACTCACTTTTCCATAGCCACCTTTGCCGAGAGAATGATTCGTCATTATATATTTCTTCGAAAGCTCTTCTGGGAACGTTTCACTCAAAACGTCTTGGTAAACGAAAACTGAAACTTTTCATTCAATGTAAATCACAAATGAACCACGTTCCTATCATTTTGGGAGTTCCTATGCTTATGACATCGCCAGTGACCAACTCAACGGTTTTATTCAGTCCCACCATTTCCTGGTTCACCAAAGTCCCGTTGCGTGAAGTATCAGTTAAAGTCGTTTTTTCGCTCTTGTAGTCCTGAAAACTTTATTTTTTTTCGTCAAATTTTGAACTAACTAAAATAAAAATATTATGCTAAGAATCATCTACACTAGTCAATCATACTTTTTTGTTATTTTTTTGGCTTTCAAAATTATTCCAGAAGCTTTTACTTACTCTCGTAATGAAAAACTGCTTTTTGCTTATGTACTTGTATATTGTGTTATCTTTAATCAGTCCGGTGAATGAATAGTTGACGGGAAACCCGATTCCTCCTCTACCACAAATGAAACTCTCTTCGTGTAAGTCTGAAGAAAAAACAAGTTGAAATAAAGTAAATATTCCAAACCTATGGTACTCACACCACGATTCATTCCCACTAAACGACCATAGGTTTTTCGAGGAGCCAAATCCACATCAAATTGAGATTCGTCCACGAGTTGTGTGTCATCGCCGCTGAGACTTACAACTGCACTGAAATAGATTAGACTAAAAGAGCAAATCTTGATTAAAACATACACATTAGAACAGTCGAATTTGCGTTTCCGAGTTGTCTCCATCATTTAGCCAGACTTATGAAGGTTTTCTGAAAATAAAACGAAGAGAAAACGTTTTTTTCTACATAAATTATCTTGCACAAAATTGCATCTAATTATTTTTCTTCCTGTTCTTACAGTTCGAATTTGTTTCGAAATTATTTTCAAGTCTTCGTTTCAAAATTAATTTTTCAATATTTTTGACATTAAGTGATCGGGCACGAGCTTAATTTTAAAAAGCAATTTTTAAGGAAATGAAATGATTTTTTTTTTGAAAATTTTGACATGAAAAGAGACAGAGATTTCGAGATATCGGAATACTATAAAAAAATGACCATTCAAAGGAAAAATTATCGATTAGAAAAAAATAAACTCAAAAGTTTTTTTGAAAATCATATCAAAAAAATTGAATTTGAGAATTGGGCGAAGCCTCTTTACACGCGGCAAATCAAAAAAAGTTGCGTTAGCGCGCGTTTAACGTCTGAATGATTTGTTTTTCATTTTTTTAATCGACCTGTTTGTATTTTTGCCACAGTACAAAAGTAGTTTCGGAGGATTCGCACTAATCGTCAAAAAATTAAAAAAGAGAACGAAAACTTTGGGAGAGTCGGAGTTTTCAAAATTACTAAATACTTTTTAATGTGTTTTCTGCATGCATGTCTCTTTCAGCAAAAAAAAAAAGTTTTGCAGTTTCATTATGGATTATCCTGAACCGAAGTATCCGCAAACTTTCATCGATATCAATCAGGGAGGGATGGACCAGATGGGATTTTATTCTGGAGGCTCCTACGAAAGCAGCATGAACTCTAACGTTCCTCTCGGTATTTAGTTTAAACCTTATTCTTCATGAGTTTCAGGTGACTCTATTTCAAGTGGGAATATTTCTTTGTCGGCTTATCGAAAGACCAACGCAGGTGCCGCAGGAAAACTGCTCGAAAACAAAGGCTTCGGCTGGTTGTTGGAAGTCAATGAAGAAGAAGAAAACCAACTTCCTCTACTGTAAAATTCTAAAAGACTATCTTATCGTCAATCAGGAACTTTAGGGAAGAGCTCGACATTGATCTCACTGATATTTATTATAAAATTCGGTGTGTTCTGCTCCCTCTACCGTACTTCAGAATGAAGCTGAACATCGTCCGAGAATCCCCAGACTTTTGGGGTCCACTGGCTATTGTTATTTCTTATGCACTACTCTCCATCTACGGCCAGTTCAGCGTGAGTATTTTCTCTGAAAACTTCTAATCATGTCTTCTTTTGAACAACTTTCCTGTTTAAGGTCGTTTCTTGGATTTTAACTATTTGGTGCTGTGGCGGATTCATAGTTTATTTTATTGCACGGGCCTTAGGAGGAGACGTCGGGTACACCCAGGTTCAGAATCTTTTCAGTTTAAAGGAAATAAATTTTCAGGTTCTTGGAGTGATCGGATACTGTTTGATTCCACTTGTCGTGATGTCTCTTGTTATACCTCTCTTTTCAAGGTAATCAATTTTGCATTCGTGAATTTAAATGAGAGAACCGCTGAGAATTCGAAGGGGTTTCAGAATTTACTGTCTTTTCTCAAAATTTTGAATTTGAAATAGCCAGCAGCTCGTCTAACACTTGCTTTTTTCAACAGTTTGCTCTGGAAAATGATAATATTTTGAGTGTTCCGATTGTGGCGAAGGCTCTCGGGATGTTCGGCACTGCGTGGAGCGTCTACAGCGCGGGAACTTTGTTGTGCGTCGACGAGTTGCAGACGAAAAAGCCTCTAGTCATCTACCCCGTCTTCTTGTTGTACATTTACTTTTTCTCTTTGTATTCAGGCGTTTGAACAGCGAAAAGCATAATAATTTCCAACTAATTTATATAACGTTCGTTGCAACACCAAAATGGACGTTCTCGCTAGTATCTACTTCTCTAACCAGCGTTTTAGAAACGACTCGGCAAAAAGTAAAAAATGTACAACTATTACACGATAGTGTTAATATGCTACGTAAGAAATAACAAGTTGGGGGCTATTTCCAAATTGCGAACACCAGCCAAGTTACAAGTATTCAAGGGATGGTTTCAGCTAACGGAATGTGTGAAAATTGTAAGAAACTGTGTAACTAAGGTAATGGCCTAAAGCAAAGTTTTGTCAACACATAAGTAATTGATGGAGAACGAATACTGCACAACTCAAAGTGGGGGCGAACCGAATTAGAAAGTGGCTAATACTTGAAGTGGGGTAGTAAAGAAAACTATCAACATGAAGACACGATATGTTAGTCAAGAAGGATACATATAGAACAAGGCGCTGATAAGAGTGAAACAAATAGGAAAAAAAACAACTTATTGAACAGACAGAAGCTCCAGAAACCGTTAAACGGCTCGGGCAAGCTACACAAATTGAGGAAAACTACAACAAGATATCAACATCTAGAAAGTTAGTGAAAGAATAGCCGCAACCAACGACTTAACACAATGGCGGCTATTCCTTCAATGATAGAGAAAACGTCTACGGAAATTGGCAATTATCCTAAAAAGCGATCGATAATGTTCCCAAATGTACAAATACAATTAGTCTTCTGAGTCCCCACAGAAATAACGCGTGTCGAATCGCAGTAAATAGGCATGAGACAGCTAGGCTGTACGACATAAGACGAGCGAAATATCCATTCAAAAGTGATTGAAAAATATGTAAAAAGACCTAAATAGACCTATATCACCCCAAAAACGACCAGCAATATATCCTATGACTCATATCATCAATCCTATGTGTTGAGTTCTCAGAAGGCAGGATGGTTGCTCCAGATCTTCTCGATGTCGTTCAGAAGATCTCGCATTTTGTCGTCCTCGGCAGGAGTTCCTTGAGGCTTTCCGTCCAAGGAGCCGCGGAACTGCGACCACGTCTCCGCCGGCGATCGCATAGCTCCCAGCATCTGAAAACATTGTCTACTTTTTATGTCTTTCCCAATAAGTCTGATTTCTCTAGTCGGATAAGTTGAAATTCTTAAATTTTGTAAAAGTGACGTCTATTTTCCGCCCATACTTTAAATCTTTCTTTGACATAATCATCTTTTATTAGAATTCTTTGTCTATTATCTTTTAATTTTCGGTTCCTAATGTGTTTATTTATGACGCCAAGCTCACGACCCACACAAAACCAAAAAAAACCACTTCAATGAAAAAAAAAAGAGTTTGTGAAAGGACCTTGGAGTGGTCGAGGCCGGAGAAGGAGAGATCTCGAATGAACTTGTCGGCGTTGAAGTTGGGGACCATTTGTTTGCCTTGTAGGTTCAGAGAGTTGGGTCGCGACATCGAAGGAAAGTTCTGGTCGTAGGACCCGAACAAGTCCTGAAATAGTCTATGACTGTCAGTTCGAAGAAAAATTTCCTAAGTCACACTTGGAACTATCTATCGAAAATCATGGAGAGATGGTTAGATAGAAAAGGCAGATAACAGCCGTCAGTCACTCAAAATCACATGAAACGGTAAGGGAAGACGCCATGCAAACAATCCTGATTTGAGATTAAACTCCGAGAGAGTGACGAGTCAGATTTCCGAGAATGAAAACCTGCAAGGGATAATCGCCGCTGGTGGAAGAGCAGGCGCTGCTCTCGTCGATGACGCAGTTGCGAGGGAGTTGGCCGCGAGCCAAAGTCGCTCCGTAGGAGTTGTTGGGGACAGTGGCGGGCGTCGGGAGGGTCTCCGTCTGCCGGTACGGACGCGTCACGCCGTGAGGCATCGAGGCGGCCAGAGGCTTGTTCGGCTGGCGTCTCTTCCAGCCGTCCACCGACGCCATCTCGTAGAAGAAGCCATCTGTGTTCGGGTCGTAATACCTGGAAAAAAGTTGAAAAATTAAATGGGTTCTTCTGAAAAAAATATTATTAAATAAATTTGAATTTGAATAATTATTCTAGATATCAACCGGATGGAATGAAAAGAGTCGGGTTGTCTGGAAAATGAAGTCCGAAAGACTCACTTCATGGCCGGTTGCTGATGTTGGGCTTGCTGTTGGGCGAGCATGGCGTGCTGGAAAAGAGCATGGGCTTGGGCGGCCGCGGCTTGCGACGTCATCAGGTTCATCTTCTCGTTGTTACCAGAGGCCCGGGCTGCTTCCTGTAAAGTTTCACTTTTTGAGAATATCGAAAAAAATCTTTAAGCAAATAGCCGTTTCCCCAATATCAACAAAAATAAGCTTTTTGCGGATATTTGAGATGAAAAACTGGATCTCTTTAAAAACAAACGGCTTTCGGATCAAAAGACGAACTCGCGATTGTAAACAAATCAACTGGTAATTGAAAACGGCTGTGTTTTACGAGCGGGGGTTTTCGATGAAGCGGCATCAATTGCGCCCGGCTGCTAAACGTTTGGGAATGGTTTACGAAGGCTATCATGAGAGAAACAATTGTGGATGTAATGGGACAAGAGGGGCCGCTCGAATTGGTTTGGTTCAATGAGTTACACCTCTGAGTCACAAACTTGAAAGAAAAAACACTACGTTAGCCGCAAGGTGTTAGCAAAAAGAATGCATATTGAAAATAGTTTTAAGCCTTTTCGTACACCCCTTCACCATATGTAAAAATTAGTTCTGGGAGACCGACTGTTGAATTATGAAACTTCCACAGACTTCAGAATCGTAGGAAAGAGGTGATAACCTGTTCTTTCATATGGAGCAAGGCAGAGTTGGGCATTCGACGTCTCCAGCCCTTGGCGCCGCTTTGTTCGTAGTAGTAGCCGTCGGAAGCGAGGTCGTAGTACCAGTAGTCTTCGGGTCGGAGCGACGTCGGGAGGCTCGCCGCAGCTTCTGCCGCTTCCGCTTGCTCTTCGAAGTAATCTTCTGAATGTTCCAGAGGTCATAATGGAGACGCAAACAAAGGAAAAATCAGCCAAGTTCATCGCGATCCTGGCAAGCTTCTCATCGACCAACAGAACTCACCGCTGCTCTCGCTCATGGCCTGGTTGGCGACGAACTCGGCCTTCTTCATGGCGGTGCTGATCGGTTTCCTGATTCGACGCTTCTTTTTTTCCTCGACCGCCATCCGCGGCACCTCCGCCTCGTGCTCTGCAATTTCTTTTTTGCCATTTCCGTCTGAATATCAAAGAGCGAGTCTGGAAATCGATGGAAGCAGCCACCACGTGCCGTGTATAAAACGGTCACATGACAACGGCTTTTCTACACGCCGCAGCTATTCAAATAACTCTGCCACATCGGCTAACGAGAACCATTTGTGCGAATTTTGCGCTTATGTAATTCTCCTAGGTTCCGGAAACTCCATCGGTTCGGTTTGAGAATGGAGCTATCACAAAGTCAGAAGAATAAGAAGTGAAGAGATTTTCAAAGAATAAGCTTGATCTGACAAAATCCTACCTTGGCGTTTGTCGAAAAGGTCCTCGTTCATGAACCAGCCGAGAGTTTTCGGTCCTCGTGAGCCCGTCAGAGCCCCGCTTTGTTTCGTCGAAGGCCCATAAAATCTGCAAACCGACGGTTGTGTTCGGTTTCAACATCTGGTAACACGATGAGAGTGGTTGCAATTTCTTCCTACCAATAAACATTACCCGCCTCCCGTTTCCCTCTAATTTCGTACAGTTATTACCACCAGTACAATAGAACCATCCCATTTTTACAATGAAGTCGCTGCTTCTTTCCGTTTTCTGCCGCCAGAAATACAATAACCCTCATGGAAAAAGAAAGAAAAGTGTTCCTACACTATCTCAAGTACGTCAACTTTCACTATGGCTGGGAACGATTCGACAAGTCATAAAAAAGCATATTCCTTTTTTCCAAGCGAAAAAATCGAGTCAACGTTTTAATACATTCGAATGTTTTGAACAATTTATATACTATTTTTTTGAATAGCAAAGTTCAAAAAGCCCATTAAAATTTCGTGTGAATAAAAAAATTAGGCAATTTTTTTTCAACTCATCCTCAGAAAACTTCTAGGGGAATCAAGGAACTCATAGAAAATCATTTCTTATTAAATTAAACTTATGGTTTACTTCGATTTAATCGTTTGGGGAAAAAGCTTCTTCAGAAAATCCCATATTGGCGGCATGTAGGATTTTTTGTCACTCACGAGATGAAGTTAAAAAATTAGAAAAAGCTCACAAAAAACAGAAATTTTTTAACTTCTGAATTTTTGTAAAATACTTTAATCTAGATGTGAGAACTTTTTTGTAGGTTGAGTTGAAGAAAGAAAAAATTGAAGCATATCTCTTGTTTTACAATTTTCTTACAGACGACTTCAGCATTCGGACTCGTCCAACTCAAACAATCTCAGGAATTGAGAACATACCGGTTGGGTTTGGGTACGATTTGCGGCGCCTGCATGATTCTGGCGCCCTTGGATTCGTTCCTGACGACTCCGCCGACGGCGTCAATCGCGTCGTGAGCGCAAACGCTCGATTGCTTCTCTCGCGCCGTTTTGCACAGCTTTCGGTCACGGACTTTCCGCGACAAGACAAAAATTAAACGTTTTTGTGAGGTTTCGGCCTGAAAATCATCAAATTTCGATTGGACATTGGCCAAAAATGTGAAAGAATAGAGCGCGTCGTGTGAAAGAGAAAACGTGGGAAAAGCGAAGAGAAACTTCTATCAAAATGACCAGCACGTGTGAAAACTTTTGGAGAAAAAAGAGAAAATTCGGAAAAACCGTTCTAGAAAGAGTTTGGTGAGGAATGATCAAGGTTTAAAAGCGGGATGATAAGAAAGAGCGAGCAAGGAAAAAGTAAACACAAGTGGTTGAGACGAGGGAGTGGGAGTATTGTGACATCACCTCAACAATGAGCAACAGGAAGTTTCGAGTTCCGATTCGCAGAAGGTGGGAATATATCGAAGCCTCGGAAAGTGACGGCTTCTAGTATGAGCAACAGGAAATGAAAGCGGCACGATATTATAACGCTCATGTGATGAGAACACGAGGGAGGGGCCAGATTCAATGCGAGGAAAACAAAAAGTCCAAGAAAATTTGGAAAACCAGAGACGAAAAACACAAGAACTACTATACTTAGTCCAAGTGTCTGTCGTCTTAAGAGCGGTTCTGAATAAGAATCATTAAATTCTCATTGAGCGTGTCTTTTTCGACTAATGATGAAAGTGATTTTTTTTTCCATTCAGAGCCTACGAAATTGTTTAAAACTGAATTCTGATCAAACTTCACAAAAATGTTCGCTATTTCAAAATCCAAAACATTTATTGTGACGAAATATCGCGCAATGAGTCGTTTTGGTTGGTTTACATTTTGATTCGGAACTAAAAGCCCAACAAACATGGTAAAAGAGAGGTTCACGTGATGAATGGCAAGAGAGCAAGATAAGAATTGAAATTTTCCCGAGTTCCCCAGGGCGAAGGCGGACCCTCAGGGCGTCCTCCTCGCTGACTCATATTTGGGCATCGATCCGATCACGCGCCTTTCAAAGCGTTTCGTCGTGTTTACGAAGCAAAAGCTCCCATGATGAAGTTTTTTTTCATTTAAACTGGATAATTAAAGACGAAAAAGGTCACTATCGCATTGACTAACCTAGAAAAACATATTTTTTAATACACAAAAAGAATACTAAAAGATGTGAATGCATTCAAAACTTTTTCTGAAACTTGAACTTGAATCATTTGACGGAGCAAAAATCTGATTTTGGAGGAGTCTGGAGAACATCAATTTCTAGCGAATAGATGCAAAAAAAGGTTCTTACTCATGGGAGTACATGACTCATTTCTTACTCATCAAACTGTCAAAAATGAATCAAACTCAATTTCCTGAACTCTTTGTAAGAAAAAAAAAAAGAGACAGCGGGAAAATTTCCAAAAAAAAAACTTGCTCAGACCCTAAACAAAACTGGAGAGAAATGAAAGGTTAATACTGAGGAAAATTGATCGAAAAGAGAGACATAAGTCAAGAAGCAGCATCAAAAACCGACGAAAAGCAGAGGAAAGGCGAACGGGGACGACGAGAGGCGACCAGAAATCGAAAAAGGACAGGATCTCGTGAGTGGTCAGCTGATGACACGCAAGGCACGCGGTGTGCCCCCAGAGCAAAAAGCGTTCTCCCACAAAACAAGCCTCGATTCACTCCTTTCACACCGTTCTGCCTTCAAATCGCAATCAGTCATAAAATATTGATTCACAAATACCAAAAGGTGAGTCTGACAAGAAAGAAAAGAACCGTCTTTTACACATTGAGGAAAAAAGTCAATGAGAGATATTTCGCATCATAGATGATAATGAAAATAAAAAACCGAACGGTAACGGTTGACTTTGGTACTTTCCATCTCTATTTCCCATTGAGACACTGCTACGTTTTTTTTTTTTGAAAAATGACTTTCAAATTCCAGAAAAAAAACCGTGAAATGAAATTTCGTAGTGGCCGCAAAAGATCCATTGAATATCAAAAGTAAAAATGTATTTAATTTATTAAGCTCTTCATGAAGCGACCACTATACAAGACGGTCACAGTGAAATTTTTCCATCAACTTCCTGGTTTACAAATGAGAAAAAAGGCGTTTTCCCTGCTGGGCTGAGAAAACGAACGGCGTTGTAAGGCTGTGTGAACCGATTTAGCGCCTCTAACAGTTTTTTGACTGTTCCAAATTAGCCGCTGCGTACACATCTCCTAGAAGTGTCTGCTTATTCGGTTTCCATCACCTTTAACAATTGCTATGGTCGAAGATTAGCTTGAGGAAAACATTTGCGACTTATCACTGCGGTCACCTCGTGCAAAATGTGACGACGCTTATCAATCGGGTTCACATGTGATTTCGCGGAAATAAAAAATTAGGCCAAGCATTTCCTTCAAAACTTGAAATCCACTTTTTTCTTTACTTTTCGTTGACAAAAAAAAAATTCTTCAACTTGAGGACACAAATCAAAACACGAATCTCCAACCTCTCTATACTACTTCTCTCACTCTCTTCACTTCCAGAAAGCTCGAAAAATATACGTGGAAAAAAAAAACGATGGTCGTATCAAGTGGAAAAACCAGATGGACGATACATCGTCAATAGGATGGATGGAAAAAACAAAGAATAAAACGAGAAAAAGAACGCTTGTATGTTAACTGACTGAAGAAAACAGCCAAAAACTGGCTGAGACGGGAAAGAAAATCGAGGATAATGGGTCAGTTTTCGCCTCGCGCTCACTACAAAACTGTTTAAGCGATTTGAGAACGATTGGAATTTTTTTAAAAAGAAGAAAAAAATATTGAACTATTTATTTTCGAAAAAAAGGAAGCGGGAATAAAAAAATTATTCCATAGACTGTTAGATATGATTCGACTACAGTTTTGTTTGTTGCAGAGGTGTGGAGGAAAGTCAACAGGCGCGGCGACGTGAATCACCTGCCTGATAGGACACGAAAGATGGGCGGAGCATAGGAAGAAACGCCCATATCTTCCACTCTTTTTTGCACATTGCGACGTTCAAATCCATGGAGAATGTATCACGTGCCCAGAGCGTGATGCTGACAAAAAAGGACCACGAGGGCTGAAATTCGTCGGCTTTTTGAGCAGTTTGTTTACAAAAAGCCTTTGAGAAAAGACTTGGTTTCAATGTTATTTATGAATTCAAACGATCAACGATTGCGGTTAAATAAATGAATTCTGGAAAAGTGTGATTTTTTTGATTCGAAAACTTTTTATGAGCTTTCGCTTCCAAAATCTTGAAAGAAACATAAGAACGATTATCTTTTAAAAAAATTCTAGCGTTTTGTTAAAAGGAAGTAAAATGAGTTTGCCAACCTCTGCAAATTTGAATTCAACCCATTATAGCTGAACTAAGAGCCTAAGCACAAAATCCATTCACGATGACTTTGCAAGTCGAAAACCTTCCAGAAGACGACCAAAAATACTTCGAAAAACAGGAAAAAACTCGTGTGAAATCAAAACGTGCCTTTAAAAGACACCTGCTCAAGACATAAATTAAGAAATGGGATCGGAAAACATTCGAAAAACTTCGGAAAGAATGCGAACGTATCGAGGGACTCAAGGTCAACGCGCCGAGGCCTGGGAGAACACAGACAATGGGTCGAGGCATGTGTCGCACCTCCCGGCACGCCTAACCTGAGCAATCGCGCAACTTTCGAAACAATTCGAAGACTCGCCAACCGGCCAAAAATGAGAGACTTTGAAAATGATGACCTGTCTGAGTTTCGCAATCGCAACCAAGCAGGAAGCATCGGGAATGAATGGAAAGGGAAAGAAAGAGTGGGAAAGCCTTCAACTATTTTTGGTTTCCTGAGGATTTATGATAAAAAAAAATCTTGGTTTCTTTCTCACGTGAAAAAGTTTATTCACTACTATTTTGTCGATAGAAAAATATCTTGTAGGGTCAAGGAAAAATTTTTAAATTCTCTCGAATTTTCTAAAAAATTGAATTATCAAATGTGGAGACCGCGGTGGACCAAGTAACCCTCTTGGAAAGCTGTCAGAGCCGTTGCTATTCGGACAAATGGAAAAGGAAAGAATGGAAAGAATTGGGGGCGGAGCGATCCCAATGGTTGTGACCATCTCAAGGACGACGTACTCCGGTTGCCCTCACGTCCGTGTACTTTTCAGGACCGATGCTTGCCCTTTTTTGTTCCTTTACTGGCAAAAGTCCGAGAAAGTGCGCGGCCTTTTTGAGGCATACGAGAGGAATATATTACGAAATACTGCTCCAGGAAAAGGATCACGCGGCTGTCTAAGCCTCCCCACGGCCAGCCAATCCTACAAATGAACTCCTGATTAAGCTCAAATATAATTACATTCAGATGAGAGAGCTGGGTGGCAGAGAGGCTTCAAAAATGGAGCAGAGAAGTAAAAACTGGGCTGTTTGAAACGAAATTAATATGTAGAACTCGGTATATTAATTGGAGCAGTTGAGAAATTTTGAGCTAAACCGCTACCGTTACGCAGTCCTACCGTAATTTCATTGCGTTTTTACCTTTACTCAAACAGAAGGAACTATTTTTGCAACCGAAAAATTTCCGTCTCATAAAACACTGACACATAGCCATAAAAAGAACATAAAAAGGGCATTCGAGTGCGAAAGATTGCTGTTTCAAATCAGAAAATTTGAAAATACTATTTTCGCGCCCAGAATTTGATCTCTGATCGACCAAAAAACGCTCTTTTCAGAATAAATTAAAAAACATGAAAGATTTTGGGAGCTCGAGGTGTGTCTTCAAGGTCGTGTCAGTCACAAAACGAAAAACATTCTTATCAGCGAAAAAAAATTTTTAAAAAAATCTTTTTAACGTGAACTCAACTTCATTTTCATGAGAAAAATGAAGGAAACGCTGAAAATGTCTAATTGAAAAGAAAAGGGCAAAAGCTGATGAGAAGAACAAGTGTCACGCATCCTTTGCGGAAGCAATCTCATTGTCGAAATAAATCAATGCCCTAGAGAGAGAAAACGGCCTTAAATATTTAAAGGCTTGCCGACAAGCGTTCTGAAGTGAGAAAAGAGCGATGGTCAGTGGCGGGAAACTCGGCGGCTGCAGAAATGGGGAGATTTGAAAAAGGAAGAGAAGAGAACACGGAGAGAACGAGTTGTTGCGGGTTCGAACATTGCAAAACGAAACCAGGAAAGATTGGAGAGGATCAAAAAGAAATATATCTGCCGGTAGCATGAAATTTTTTATAACTTTAACTATTTTAATTTTTCCCTCAAAGCCCCTCGATGAAATTGAAGGATAGTTTCAAAAAAACTCATCTTTTAAAGTTTTTTTCGTTAAGAAAAAAAGTTTCGAAGATTCTTCTTTCCCAGTGAAATTCAAGGCGTCAATTTTTCAAAAAAATAAGAGTTATGGCAGTTTCGACTTCTAAGAACTCTGCCATTTACATCAAAAAGTGTTATGTGAACTCGTAGAAAACTTTTAAAAAAAAAAGACTTTTTTTTTGGATTCAAAACACAACCAACCAGGCAATCGCATAAAATTTCGACGTAAAACATAAAACGAGGGCTCATGTACAGATAAAAGCGACCAATTAGATGTCTTGGAAGGGCGGGAAAATGAACGCGTGGACAGGAATGAAAAGGAAAGAATTGAGGAAACGTTGACAATTTGCATGGAAAGAGGCAAGGCGCACCCGGAAAGAGATCAATAGCCAAGAGCCGTCGAATCGCCTTTGTCTCGCAACACCACCAATTAAGGGCCCATGACTGGCTCCGGCTCTTTTCGCCCAAATGAGTGTCCTTCCGAGCGTTTCCAAGCGTGACGGCTTCCCCTTGGGACAGCTTCCCGCGTTTGATTTTGTAGCCGTTCTCTGATATTTGAAGAGCTATGCTTCCACTTGGAAAACTCTTCTACAAAAAAGCCGCGAAGAACGATTCGGTCCATAAAAAGAACTTCCTCGATTGATTTCTCGCGTCTTCCCAACCACTTGGGCAGCTATGATATCCAGTTCGGAAGTCCATCTTCGGATTATCATCTCCACGATTTTTAATCGTTTGTCCAAGCTTAGAAAATTCGGCAGAGGTCAGAAAAAAGGGCTGATGGCTGGAGTTCAGAAGATCGCCGCTACAGGTCTTCTGATTTCGACAGATTCTTCGGGGGGAAAAAATGACGGCTGTTGGCTCAAGAAAGTATTAGACGAAAGAAGAAAGACTGAAAGTGAATTTAATTATCAAAATCCTTCCACATCCTCCGAGCGTCAGTTGCTGTTCAGGCTCATGTGTTCAACAAAAAGTGCAGCGAGCATCAAAAAAAAAAGAACACAAAAATAGAAACAATAGGGAAGAAAAATCAACAACTGTTTGCCGAACTTTTTTTGAAAAACTTGAGAGAAAAAGAATGAGAAGACAAAGCCGTTCTTTTGAGTTGAAGAGAAATGAAAGTCTTCTGAAATTATACTAAACAGAAACTTTAACTCAAAGCACCCAAGATTATTCCGAACTTGATAGTAAGAAATTTTATGCCATAAAATTTATTTTTTGTTCGATCTCAAGTGAAAAATTCATATTGGATTAGCAGACATCAGATCCATTCTTTTCAATGGTGATTATGGAGAAAAAACGGAACTATTTTTTTCTGAAGCAAAATGGACCACGGTCAAAGAAACTTCGAACTTGAAGTAACTATGAAAAAAAGTGTATAAATGAATTGCCGACTAATTGCTCGAGACCGACGAGCAGATCAGGCGCTCAAGTTGGTCGCCGACTTTTGCAACATGTGGCTCGGCAAACCAGCCATTCATCTAGCTCAAACGTCCGTTAAACGTGCACTTCCACGGGTCAACCATCTGCTGCAGAAAAGACATGTGCAACGCCTAAGTTGCACTAAGAATCGTAAACAT